AATAAAGGAGAATATCTGGTAGCTCAGGGTTGAAATGAAGGGGACCTTGATGCTCTCTGAGCTTGGTGGTTTCTTGCAGACGTTTCATGACCCAACTAGGTAACATCATCAGTAGTTTGTTGGAAGCCACTCTTACACCGATGATGTTACCCAGTTTTGATAATGAAACGTCTGCAAGGAAACAACCAAGCTCAGATGCCTATGGAGATTCTCAGTCATCCAGGTCATGTTTGTCTCAAAGATGCTTTTTCAAGAGGCAGCTGGACTTTCTGGTTTTTCTTTGAAGACATTTCTCTTCTCATCCAAGAAGCTTTTTCAGCTCTCCTTCCATTCCTCACCATCCAGTGAGAGCTGAAGAAGCTCCTTGGATGAGAAGTGAAACGTCTTCAAAGAGAAACCAGAAAGTCCATTTGCCTCTCGAAAAAGCTCTTTTGGGACAGCCAAGCTCAGAGAGCACCAAGGAGCCCTAGCTGGAATTATAACAAAGGCTCTGGACAACTTCTGTAAGCTCAGAGGCACCCTTTTCTTTAGTACCTTTCGGACAATGCTCTCTTGCTTCTAACCTTCTCTTTAGAATGGCCCCCATCTGCTTCAGGAGAGCCGGGTTCAAGCCCATTGCTTGCTCTTTTTGGCTCACTGAGAATATCTGCAGGGCTTTGAAAATGCAATCCAGCGTATGTTTTTTTTCAGAAATTATGAAAACCAGAAAACAAGAGTGGCCTCAAAGCTTCCATCTCTGCAGGCTACCATAAATCAACTCCAGGCAAAGCCTCAAAGGGGGGTTTTCACCTGAGTGCAACTAAGAGGAGTTAAGTACAACTTTTGGCAAAACGTGGCTTCCTCCTTAGCCAACAACATGCGTTGATCTCTCTGCCTTTCTGACATTCCATAGTCTCTGCGCAAGCTCAGATATCACATTTCCCCCTCTTTTTTCCCTTCCTTTTTTTTTTAATTGAAAAATTTTTAAAAACTTTTACAAAGACAGAAAAAAAAACAAAATACAACCCTCCCCCAACCCCTCCCAAATCACCCCCTCCCTCCCCCCCAGAGCTTCCCAGAGCAGAATATAGGCTTAATTAAAAGAAATTAACAAAATTATAAGATAATTAAGAACAAAATATATATGAATAAAGAATTATAAACCTTAAAAAGAAAAAATATTTTTTTAAAAAAAAAGCAAAGAAAAGAAAAAAAAAGTAGAGTTTTTATACAAGTTATAAAAAAGCTAAATGGTATTTTTTCATATCCAATTTAAATTGTATAAAATTTATCCATTTTTCCCATACAGCAAAAAATTTCTCTTGCGATTGCTCCTTTAAAAAAGCCGAAATCTTTGCCATTTCCGCCAGATATGAAACTTTAAAAAACCACTCTTGCAAAGTAGGCAAAGATTCCTTCTTCCAATATTGACCTACTAGCAGCCTTGCGGCTGTAATCAAATTCAACATCAATATAACCTCCTTAGCATCACAATCAGTAACAATACCAAGCAAAAACAATTGTGGAGTAAATTTTACCCTCTTTCTAAAAATTCTCTGAATATTCCACCATATCTTAATCCAAAAAGCTTTTATATTTTTACACGACCACCAAATATGATAATAAGTGGCATCCAAACAGCCACATCTCCAACATTTAGGCTGTAAGTCAGGATACATGAGAGACATCTTTTGTGGATCAAGGTGCCATCAAACCTCAGCTCCCTCCAAGCCTCTTTGCTCCTCTCTCTTGACGATGCCATTTTGGTTATGAGACCATTCCCATGTCGAAAGCAGAACGCAGGAAGAAGGAACGAGAGTTTTCAGTTCTCATTGACAAGAAAAGGGGAGATGGGTGAGACCAGCAGGGACCACCAGAGGGGAGTGAAATCAAAGGCCCATTTTGCAGACAGGTGGGGGTGAAAGAAATACAACCACGAGATTTATACTTTGCACGGAGGCTTATAAATTTCCCATTTATATAATAACAGCTCAGGCGCCCCCCCCCCCAATACTTCTAAGAGAATTAGTCACTGCAGCTAAAGGGTCATGGAACAATTCAAAACTGCAGCATTGTTTCTTTAAAGAAAACACTCACATGATGCTCAGTGCAAACACATTTTCCATTTTTGATAGGGCACCTGCCTTTTAAAAATGTGAAATAATAAGGAAATGGGGAACGAGGTTTTCCTGACAGAGACAGTGAACCCAAGTATATCAAACTATTTAAACAGGGAAATAAAACTTTGGTCTTTTTATAGAGTGCTGCAGGCAAACCTCTTAAGGGCTTTTTTTTTAATTCATAGCCAGCCTACAGCTAGTAGAGTTACTCAGAAGTAATCCTCACAGGTCTCCAAGGGGCTTCCTCTGAAGTAATTTGCATAGAACTGGAACTTCAGTGTTCTTCCTATGTGTCATGTACAGTAATTACAAATTAGCTGACCTGATCAAGAAAAAAAAAATACATTTACCAACAGCAAGTGAAAGAAGTCAAGCATACTTTTAAAGGCCTGGCTTGTGGTCACTCATATCTTGGCCACCTCCTGTCTGGATTACTGCAATGTGCTATACATGGGGCTGTCCTTGAAGCCCACCTGGGAACTTTAACTGGTCCAGAATGCCACAGTAATGGGGACCCCTAACTTTGTCCGTGTAACTCCTCTGTTGCTTCTCAGGTGCACCGAGTACCAGTCTCCTTCCAGGTGCAATTCAAGGTGGTGGTCACTACCTGCAGGACCTAAGGACATCTAGCTGTCCTACCAGGCCCAACTGAGCGGGCATACTCCTTCCCCTTTCCCCTAAATATTGCCATCTTATGTGAGCTAGGAAGTGTACCTTCTCTGTGGCAGACTCTGTCCTGTGGAACTCCCTATCCCTGTCTATGGAGATTCTCAGTCACTGTTGTCCCAAAGATGCTTTTTCAGGAGGCAACTGGACTTCCTTTGTTTTTTCTTTGAAGACATTTCACTTCTCATCCCAGAAGCTTCTTCAGCTCTGACTGAATCATTCCATTCCCCACCATCCAGTCAGAGCTGAAGAAACTTGTTGGAGGAGAAGTGAAATGTCTTCAAAGAAAAAACAAGGAAGTCCAGTTGCCTCCTGAAAAAACACTTTTGGGGTCCCTACACCCCTGAAATTTGGGGGTAGAGAGAGGACTGAAGGCAGGAGCAGAAGGGGATGGCAGAGGATGAGATGGTTTGATAGTGTCATCAACATAATGAACATGAATTTGGGCCAAGTCTGGGAGGCAAGGGAGGACAGGGGACCTGTTGTGCTGTGGTCCATGGGATTGTGAACAGTCAGACACGACTTAGCAACTGAACAACAACACGGAAATATCCATCATCCTGCCATAGGAAAGGTGGTGTCACGAGGATGAAATAAATAAGAGAGAACCACTGATCAAGTTGGCATTCTGAATAACAGAATAAGAGACCTTGGAGGTCCTCTAGTCCAACCCCCTGCTCAGACAGGACACCCTATACCATTTCAGACAAATGGTTGTCCAATCTCTTCTTAAAAACCTCCAGTGATGGAGCACCCACAACTTCTGAAGGCAACTTCTGTTCCATTGATTAATTGTTCTAACTATCAGCAAATTGCTCCTTAGTTCCAGGTTGCTTCTCTCCTTGATTGGTTTCCATCCATTGCTTCTTGTCCTGCCTTCAGGTGCTTTGGAGAATAGGTTGACCCCCTCTTCTTTATGGCAGCCCCTGAGATATTAGATACTATTCTAGTATCACCAAAGTCTTCCAATGCAGCATTATTGGAGAAAACTTACTGGCTCCAAGTTGTACTTATGGAGTTTGGAGAGATATTGATTCGATAGTTGGAGAATAGGAATTGGGAATAGGCAGATTAAACTGGCGCAGAGAAACCCAAGGCCTAGATTCTCAGAGCATTTTCGTGTTCAGCCTTTCTCGGATGTGTGCTTCCTGAGTCCTTCGCTGGTGGATCAGGGGGAGGGTCAGAGCCCAGGTTTGAAAAATTCAAATGGTGATACCGAAAGACGAAACAGCAAGGTGGTTGATCATGCCCATCTCCGCTCAGGCACAGCCCCTTGGGGGACACCAAAACTCAACCCCCCCATGGGGATAGATGAGTTAACTGAAACTTTGCACACCAGCTGCTCACTGATGACAAGGCTAGCAGGATTTTCAAAACTTGCTTTTTTAAAAATAATCAACATCAGTCTGGACGTGGGTTACCAGGGCAAAGAGAACTTCACAAGAATGAGGCCAGGTCAGTTCGGCATTGCCAAGTTCACATCTTTGTGATTATCCACTTTGCTTCAAGGAAGCAAGAAATCCTTTTCGCTGAGAAAGCCAGGCCTGTGTGTCACTTTTGCAATTGGGCCCTGTGGGTGCCCTCCTGTGAACAGGACTTGACAAGATCTGAGATCTGCAATATTGACACTGCCAGAGCATTGGACAGGGTGTCAAATTGAGGGCCTCTGGCTTACTAATGAGGCGATAGGGCAGTTGACAAGCAAATAAATAAACCTGATCTTCGGCCTGTTGACTTAGCTCTGAGTTGGCAACACCAATGCTGTGAGGCAGGAGGTGTTTCCCACAGATTCAGTCTGTCACCCGACCTCACACTTGTCAACTAGGGAGAAGGTCTAGGGAGGTCAGAAAGAGATTCATTGCCCAGGTCTGAGATGTTGAGATGTTCTGTTTTCCTTAACCTCATATCCCAGGATAACTCTTCTATCTGCGGGATGTGCGTCCAAGACAATCAGCTCTCAATCGCAACTAGCTATGACGGCAAAGCAAACCTTGAGTTTCAAATTGTAGAGCCTCTAGATTCAGGGGTGGTGTGGAGAGAGAAGCAATGGCAGACAGCTTGGTCTTTAAGCCATGCATATGATCTGGTGGGAAACGTGATTGGAAGCAGGTGCTGGATTGGAGAGACCTTAGTGTGGAATCAGCATCCACGGGATGGATCTAATATGGATGTTCTTCGCATGTTCTTCAAAACAGCTTCCAAGTAGGTCCAAGAAGAGAGTGTTCCCCCTCCTGGTGTTGCATGCATTTCTCTCTATTTGCCATCTTTGCATTTATGCTATCAAGCTTCCTCTTAAAATTAGCCCTAGCCATAACTGCTCCACTTTTCCAGTTGGCTCTGAAAAAGGAAGGAAGAAGTGATAAGCTGGGGAAGGTGGCTAGTCAACAGCTGTTTCCTCCAAATACTCGCCATCAATACTTTGCTATCTTCTAGTTCACTCAAGCTTTTCTTCCTGATACTTTGCTCTAGTGTTTGCCTGTTCCCTGTTATGTTTACCTCCAGCTTGTCTGGCTTGCTCTGGAGTGCTGGTTCCCAGACCTGAGAAGTTTCATCTCTTCGGCTTCCTCCTGCTGTTTTCCATTTCTCTCCTCCTATGATCCCATGGCTCCTTGCTTGTTTACTCCACTTCTCTGGGCCAAGTTCCTTTTATCAGATATAGGAATAATGTCCCAATCCATCTTGTAAACATGATTAATATGATTTAACAGTTTTGCTCATGGCAATGATTGGGCCATGCTGAGCTGAGTTGGACTTTTAGTGACTTCCTTGTATGCAGCAATGCCATTTTCCTGACAACAATCCCACAGTAATTGGCTCTTCTTCTTATTCAGAGATTCTGAAGAGTCCTCCAATCTCCTGAGGACGTCCCTTCCAACTTTTTAACAGTTCCATCTGGCATTGTTCACCCCCTAATCTGAGGTCAGAAGGTGACATCAAGTCATAAAGTAATTCATTTGGCCTTGGGCTGACCATGTTGAGGAACTAAATGAATTGTTGTTTTTTTTTCAATATACAGCAGTTAAACAAACCATAGTTTTGCATATTTTATGAATCCAGCTAATACTTACCAACATCTGAACCTTGGGTGGCAGCAGAGTCCTGTATGTTTCTGTGCTCATCAGAGGTATCCACAATATAGGGTCAATATAAGTGAAGAGTGATGTCAAGATTGGAGTCCACCAAACCATGGGGTTCTTCAATAGTTCTAGAGGGGTAAAGTCAGCTCCAGGGGTCTTCCCCCTCCTGAGCTGACCAGTAAGGGACTCAATTTCAGACAAGAGCCATTCAGGTAAGTCCTCCATCTTCTTCATTGAGGTTTCAGGTTTCATCCTCTGAAAATGTAACTCCAAGGCTTCAGGAGGTATCTTCTTCTTGTGCCATATCCGTTATCGGACGTTGGCGATCATGTTGGCGATCCTGTTTTTATCAGCAGCCGCATGAAAAAGTGCTGCAGAGTTTTGTCCAAACCAGTCCCTTAGATTTTGAAGCCATGATGTTCTTCTTCTGCCTGAACCTCGTTTGCCTTCAGTCTTTCCCTGGAGGATTAAATGGAGTATGCCGTATTTTTCTGGGTGTTGCATCACATGTCCGAAATATTCTAATTTTTGTTTTTTAATTGTTTTGATGATTTCCCTTGGCTTTCCCAGGCGGCTTATCACCTCTTCATTTCTGATCTTGTCAGCCCAGCCTATACGTAACAGCCACCTGTAAATCCACATTTCAAATGCTTCTAGTCTCTTCAGATGGCCTTCTGTCAGAATCCAACTCTCTACTCCACAGAGCAGGATAGAAAAAATATAGCATCTGACAAGCCTGATTTTCAGTCTTAGGCTTATGTTGTGACTGCAGAAGACCTTTTTCATTTTGAAGAATGCTGTTCGAGCTTTGTCTGTCCTTGTCTTTACTTCAGTGGTCATGTCCCAGCTTTCATGTAGATTAGAACCGAGGTGTGTGATCCTTTCAACTTTTTCTAGTGGTATTCCTTCTGAATTTATTGGTGGTAAATTAACGGGTTGTTTGCTGACGACCATGATCTTGGTTTTTGAGGTGTTAAGCTTCAAGCCATATTTTTCAGATATTTCTGTGACTCTGTTGATGAGGAGCTGAAAGTCTTCATGCTTACTGGCAAGCAGAACTGTATTGTCAGCATATCTTAAGTTGTTGATCCAAACACCGTTTACTTTGATGCCAGCATTGATGTTCTTCAGTGCCTCATTAAACACTCATTAAAGATTGACTCAGAGTAGATATTGAACAACAGTGGAGACAGAATACATCCCTGTCTTCTTATTTCTGCATCAGCTGAGTACTTTTGGCCTAGTCTCACATTTGCTACCTGATGCCAATACAGATTCTTTATGATTTGGATGTCTTTGTCATCTAGTCCCCCTTGTTTCAGGATTTCTAATAGTTTGCTGTGTCTTATTTTATCAAAAGCTTTTTCAAAATCAGTGAAGCACATGTAAACACTGTGATTGACATTTCTACAACACTGTACAAGAACTTGAATGCTGAATAGTGCATCTCGTGTACCAAGATTGTTTCTGAAACCAAATTGTGTGTTACCTCGACGCTCTTCAATTTTGTTGTATATTCTTGTGTGAATTATTCTCAGGAATATTTTCAGGGCATGACTCATTAAGCTTATTGTTCTGTATTCGGTACACTTCTTTGCATTTATTTTTGGGGGGATTGTCACAAAGGTTGATTTTAGCCAATCATTTGGTATCTTTCATGTTTCGTATATCCAATTGAAGAGCTGCAGTAAAAAAATTCTTCCCATTGTCTTCCAGCAATTTTAAAATTTCTACTGGGATATCATTAGTCCTATGGCTTTTCTTGTTTTTGCTATTTTTATTGCATGTTCAACCTTCTCCATAGTGATATTTGGTTCAGTTGTTATACTTCCCATATCTATATCATCCCTAGTGTCCTCAAAAAGTTCTTCAATATATTCCTTCCATCTTTTTAGTTTTTCATCCTCATCTAAGATAATTTCCCCTCTTTGCCAACTAAATTATTGGTTTTCTTTTTGTAGAGGCCTACTGCTTCTTTCACTTTTTTGTGTAAATTGAAATTATCATGCCTACATTCTGTCTCTTCTATTTCCTTGCATCTCTTTGCAAGCCACTTTTCTTTTGCCAGTCGAATTTTTCATTAACATGATTTTCCTGGGAAATATATAGTGTAGTAGTCTGTAATAGTCAGGAGGTATATATATATATGGTCAAATAAGGTGGTATCTGTGATGGTGCAGTTGAAGCACCACCTGCTTTTTGTGGGTGATGGACTATCTCAGATATCTTCTTGACCTGTTTGATGGAACCATGTGGATAATCTGGGTGCTTACATAAAATCCTGAGGGACACAAGTATCTTGATTCCAAAATACCGGTAGGTATGAGCTCCTGACCTATAGAATGTTGCTTTGGTCCACTAGAAAGGGAGCTTTTTTTCAAAGATAATTTTTATTAAATTTTTAAAATTTTACAAAAACAAAACAATCTTCCCCCCAACCTCCCCAACCCTCCCATTCCCTCCCCCGACCTTCCCAGAGCTGAATATAGGCTTAATTAAAATTTCACCAAGAAGTCTTAAAAAAAGATATAAACCATAAATGAATTTAACATTAGTTAAAAATCTAAATACATTAATTAGAAAAATTATAAAATAATTAACAAAAGGGAGCTTTTGATGGTATTTCTGCTTTGATCTTCTTGAAGAGAAGACAAATTGCAGTGTGGGCTTATTTGCAAGGGAGTAATAGCTTTGTCGGAATTAAAAATGTGCAGGACTTTGTATAGAGCATTTAGAACATCTTTTAGAAATGTAACTTCCCCAAAGAGTCTTCGTAGTTTGGGGCTGTTCCCATCAGCAATCTATAATTCCTAGGTGCCTCTGGGAAGAAGGATTGATGGTTTACCTAGTTGTGAAAGGCAATAATTTTGAAATGTCCCAACACCTATTTAAGAAAGGCTCAACAATTTCCTGAATAAGTTGGCTCCATGTGCAAATTTAAGAAACCCTGCTTATGCATTTTTTTTTTAAATTTGGGCAATGTGTGGGAAGGTGTGAGAAAGCATTTTACGCAATTCCTTTTTAATTTGTTTTTTATTGTTTTAGTTGCGAGCCAAGATCTCCAACTGGCTGGCTAATAAAACACTCGGATTAAGTTTTACGATACTTATTTTTTGCAAGTCTGTGAGAGTGTGTGCGCTTGTTTCTTTATCAAGCAAACGTTTGCTTTTCAAGGGCTTCTACAAACAGGGAAAGATTTCCATTGTAGCTTCTCAAAAGCTTATTATTTTAATGTTATTGTGGTGCAATTATATTGGAGAACCAAGAGGGGGAGGAGGGGGAGGGAAAAGAAACACAACTGTTTGCTTTCATTTGCACAGCAAAAAGAAAAAAGAAATAACAATGATAGGTTGTCACCTGCCAAAGTCTTGGGTGTAAAGTCCGAACACTGAGCTTCAAACAGAGTCAGCCGTGCAAAGCCTCTTATGATGACAGTTGCTGTTTCCAAAGGGAAGTTGGCTTAAAGAGCAATGGCTAAGATTGGTGTGAAATAAGTCCCTTTAAAAAACAATTTAGAAGGAACTTAGCGATGCCAATGGAAAGTTGGCACCCTTTACTAAAGGTTTTACCATTCTCTGCTCCTTGGAAAGGTGGGAACTGTGAAGACCTTGGTGGCCTCCGAGCTTGGTTGTTTTCTTGCAGATGTTTCATTACCCGTAGAATGGATTAGTCAATAAATTAAATCACAGAGACTCTCTGATTTTAAAGCGAGAGAGAGCTGGCTGAAGTAACTTGGCTTCTTGTCTAGAAATTGACATGATCTGGGAATGTCAGGGGAATTACACCATGGCTGGCATAATACCACATTCCTCAAAACTGGAAGGTTGTCCAAAGATTTAAGGTTGGTTTTTAAAGAGTTTACCTCCAGATAATTATTTATAGCTTGTTTTTTAAAAAATAAAATAAAATACAGAATCAGCCTCCCCTCCCCTGATCCTAGAAAGCCTTGTTTGCACTATAATTCCCAGGTTGTTATTTGTTGATTGATTTATTCAATTTCTACAGTCACCTGTCTCTCGCAAGGGACTCAATTAAACCAATTAAACAATAATAATAAAAATTCCCAGAGGATGCCCCCGGGGGCTCTGCACAAGCCTTGCAAACAATCACACTGTTCCTTAATTCAGTGTTTTTCAACTCTGGCAAGATTTGGATTTCATGTGGACTTCATGGGTGGCTGGGGAATCCTGGGAGTTGAAGTCCACCCCTCTTACACTTGCCAGGTTTGAAAAACGCTGATTTAAAGGAAGCGTCTTTGCTGTACTAAAGAGGGGAATAACGCTGATAATATTTTCCCAGCTTCTGCAGCTGAGCAGCCCCTGCCATCCCGCCCCTACCAAGGAGTCCGAGTTAAAGAGCCGGTAAAAGAGTTACTGAAGAGGAAACGGGGCAGCGCTCAAAATGTCAAAGTGGCTCCTGAAGGCATGGCGGTAAGAGACAGCCAGGTAGAAGGTTGGACATTTTTCGATTGATTGTTTCATCCTTGCCCTTCCACAATCACTCCTGGGACAGGATCCCCCAGGCTTGTCACCAGCCACTTCCCATTAGAGCAGTGTTTCTCAAGCTTGTCAGCTTTTAGATGTGTGGACTTCAGTTCCCAGAAACCGCCAACCATCAGGGTTTAAGTTCTGTGGACTTCAACTCCCTGATTCCCTCAACTGCCATGGTTTAAAATGTGTGTATCTCAACTGCCAAATCCCCCCAATCACTATGCCTTAAGATGTGTGGACTTCACTTCCCAAAATCCCCCAACCAGCATGCTTCAGAAAGTGTGGACTTCAACTCCCAGAATTCCCCAGCCAGCCATGCTGGCTGGGGAATTCTGGGAATTGAAGTCCGCACAGCTTTAAGTGACATATTTTGAAAAAAAAAAATCTGCTTTAGAATGATAAGCAACTTCCTCTGGCTCTAACTGCCTCTGACATTAAAGCCAGATGTGGTCACATCAGTAACAGCGATGAAAAGTAGCTGTGGGCCAAGATGTGAATATTTGGGAGTTTTCCACCCTCCTCAGACACAGGCCTTTCCCCCCCCCCCGACTCTTTAATTTTGACATGGAGTCGCCGTTTGAGCATTACTGATAGTTTCCTAGTCATCCTTTGAGTAATTCTTGTGGTTTAGCTCTCTTAAATAATACCAACCTCTGATTTTCCTTTAGGTGTTTTTCCCTCACCAGTCGCTTCCATCCTACTCACCCACCGGTAAGAATTTCAAAATTTGGAAAGCCTTTCCTCCCCACCCCAAAAAGCATATCTTTTCTCATTCTCCATCTTGGGTTCAGCTTCACTTTTCCCATGTCTCTCTTTTTCTGAAGGTCAAGTTTACTCAGAAACAGATTTGGTCACCTCTTCGCTGCCCCTGATGGAAGAAGGAGCCCTTTATTCAGGGTGGTTGAGTCAGCCACCCCCGGCCACCTTGCAACCTCTGACGCAGTGGACCACGTCCCCGGATTACGTGTCTCACGAAGTGGTCAGCTGCCCTTACACGGCGGACATGTTTGTTCAGCCGGTCTGCCCCAGTTACACACTTGTGGGGACCTCCTCGGTGCTGACCTACACCTCCCAGCCACTGATCACAAACTTTGGGGTGAGTTTGATATGGGACCCTCCCTATCACCATTGGCTTCTTCTCCATTAAGGGGTGGGAGGTCGGGTGGAAATCTTCCAAAGTGTGCTGGAGGTTTCTCTGCTCTTTGAGCATCATGGATGTGATGACCAAAACCACACAAGGTCTTTCATAGCAATAGCAATAGTACTTAGACCAGTGGTTCTCAACCTTTTTAATGCCGCGACCCCCAGCCGGTCGTAAGTCGAGGACTACTCAACTGGTGCAGCGTCGTTTGCAGAATGGGACTTTTGGCGGGCTCAGCAGGGCAGAGATAGCCTGGACAATTCCTATTGGCTTTTGAAAGCCAATAGAATTAGACTCTATTCAAGAGAGTCTATTCTATTGGCTTTCAAGAGCCAATAGAATAAAAGGGAGTAGCACAGCTAAGGAAAAGGGGGGAAAAATGGCGGACTGCGTTGTTTGGCGACCGCCGTGAAATGGTCGTTCGACCCCAAATGGGATCCCAACCCACAGGTTGAGAACCACTGACTTAGACTTATATACCGCTTCACAGAGAGGTTTACAGAGTCAGCATTATTTGCCCCCAACAATCTGGGTCCTCATTTTACCGACTTTGGAAGGATGGAAGGCTGAGTCAACCTTGAGCTGGTCAGGATTGAACTCCTGGCTGGGGGCAGTGACTTAGCCTGCAATACGCCTTCTAACCACTACGCCATCACTGCTCCATAGAGCAAGGCTTACTTGAAGACAGGTGAGGTGATCCCCCTATTGGTTGTGTTATTCCATGATGGAGACGTGCAATTGTGACATTGTTCTGTTTCTGCCATGGGATGTATGAAGGGGGAAATGCCAGCACAGGGCACCAAAGAAGGTTTTGGAAGTAGCAACACACTCCTTCATTGTTCTTTCAAGAATGGTCACCCTCCCATTAGAGGGGATTCCAAACTTTGTTATTCTGTTATTTGCAATTCAATTGCTCAGAGGTTTGCCTCAAGAAAAATTGCACATGGTCGGATAGCCTCTCTGCTTTAGTCAATACTGCAACTAGGTCAAATACCAGCAAGGGGAATTAATTATCCCGGGGTGTGAAACACCCCTAGGAAATATGCAATGAGCATTCTGCAAAGCTTTGAGCAGCTGGTAAATATTTGACATCAAAATTCTCAGAGGACCATCTTGAGTACAATGATTTTGGATGCAAATTTTCTTTGCTTCAGATTGTAGCCCAGGTGGTGACCGAAGGAAGAGTGTTTGGGTGAGAAAGTAAAGCATCCTTTGGTGATTATTGTTTGCAGCTCAGAGAAAAAGAGGTCACACAATTGTCTGGTTTCTGCCCTGGGTGGGCCTGAACAAAGAGCTTTGCGGTTCCAATCTGCAACTTGGGCACTGATTGTAATTAAAGACTGCCATAAATTGCATTGTTCTGTCTCGGGACTCAGAATATTGAATATTACATTTGAATATCTGCAGGGAGAACCTGGATGATATATTTCAAGTTTTGTCCTCGTTAATCACCACGATAGTTCTGCTGTCTTTTGCAGCTGGTTCTCAAGTGCAATTCCTTGCCCTTTCCTTTGATAGAGTTTGGGTGTTCGAGGTTAAAAGACACCACACAATTAAATAAAAGGGGTCTTAACATCTGTATTTTCTGGGCTCCCAGCCAATGCCCCAGAATTATCTTCCTGCCTTGATAGGTTCTCCATTCATTTGGTGAGTCTTGCCACTGAATTGTGTGAAGAATGAAAGGTCCTTGGTGCTCTTTGAGCTTTGTTGTTTTCTTGCAGACATTTCATTACCCAACTAGGTAGCATCACCAGGGTAAGCCATTAGTATATAAACAAAGACCAAACTCCATTCCTTCCTAGACTGATGACGCTACCTAATTTGGGTAATGAAAGGTCTGCAAGAAAACAACCAAGCTCAGGAGCACTAAGGATCCCACAGTCTATCTCCTTCTTTCTCCTTTCTCCTTTCTCCTTTCTCCTCCTCCTCCTCACAACTCCCCCTTCTAGCATGCTGATGTTACCTAAAGAGTGACCCACATGTTTTTTTGTCCCTCAGGCTCGGTCGGCCTCAAGCCCAGCTGTGGTGCCTCATCTGGATGCGATTGACCAGCAAGCTCCCCTGAGTTACTTCCCCTGGACTCAGCCAATCCCAACTTTACCAGCAACTTCCCTGCAATACCAGCCGACTTCAATGGCCCTCTCTGCCCCCCAGTTTGTCCCCCTTCCCATTTTAGGAGCTGATCCACTCCCCCAAGCATTAGAAGATACCAGGAAGGAGATGCCTCCTCTGACGCTTGAGAAACTTCTGCAGGATGACACAAGTGATACATACGATTTAAACAACAGTCTGCCAGTGGAAGGACTCTGAGACTGGATTCTTAGCTGAGAGAGCTTCTCTGTAGTTCCATTCCTTGTTTCTCCTCTTCTTCCTTCCTTCATTCTCTCTCTCTATCTTTCACTGTCCTTTCTAGATGATCCTCAGCTTCTCTTGCTTTCTTTTTCAAAGTTTCAGAAACATGGGACAGAAACACCAGGATCTGTTTTGGAAAAGAAGCTGCAATTTTGAATCTTTGCAACCAGAACTTTGCAACCAGAAACAGCCTTCTTCCTTGGATAACTGCACTGTGGGAATGATAAAACATGCCTCAAAAATGTGGTCCCCAACTCCTTTTGAGATGACCATGCAGATCTTTTGAGCCCAGTGGTCAAAAACTGGCAGCCAAATTCCTCCCCCATAATCATAGCAACAAGAACAGCCAATATTTGGGGAAACCCTAACATTACTGTAAAAGTGAAGAGTCCATTGAAGCAGGGTTGAGTCCTAGAAGGAGTTTGACATTTCGTATAACCAATTGTTTCTCAAAACTGGAGATATGGCATCTCTTGGTGGTCTCCACCCAACCCTTAACCACTTTAAAACAACTGATCTCGTGATGGTGGCCAAGGTGGCCAATATCTGTAGCTCAGGTGGAAGATGAGGGTGGAGGGTCATTCTTGAAGCTTGTCTGTTGATTTCCAAATGTTTCATTACCAGGCTAGGACCCATCACAAGACCCTCACTTGATACAAACCACACCTGACCCATCACAAGACCGTCACCTGACACAACTTCCCCATAACAAGACCTATTGACCACACAAAGCCCTTATAAACAGAAGAACACTGAAACTGGCACCCCCTAAATTTCACTGAAGATGTTACCTAACCTGGTAATGAAACATCTGAAAATCAGCCCACAAGCTTGGAGAACGAACCTTCACCCACACAACTGATCCTCCCTCAGCTCATTTACTATCAGGAAGGTCCATGGTCTTTCACTTTTCATGAACAGCCATGAAATATTGCGTGTCTCTCCTGCAAAGAGGTCTCTTCTATCTCAGTGGGCTTGGAAACAAAGAAGTTTAATGAAATGCAGACAACTTCTGCAGTCCTGCAGGTGGGACTTCAAGTCTTGCAGGGGTAGAAGGCTGGAGGGACTGCAGACAGTGCAACCAGAAGCCCAGATTTTTTTTCCCATACCTCTAAACCAAATTCTTGTTGAGCAATTAAGAAGCCCTTACTTGGTTAGAGGTTATGGATTCCATGGCACGGAGTTCAGTTTTTCCCTTTAGAAACCCAACACAGCTCAGTGGAAGGAAGCTGGTTTATGCTGTGGCAACTCCCCACTTTGAATTGTGGTATTTTTCTACCTTTGGAAAAAAAGGTCTTGGCAAAATAGATCTTGGCATTCTTATCTCTTCTTCTTCTTTTTATTTTGAATGTTTGATATTTAGTTTTCAGGACAGTAAGGAAGATCTGACGGCTTTTTGTGTTTGTGCATGGGTAAATATATCCATAGATATTTACACAGAACGCATCAATTAAGATCCAAGGGGTCTGGGTTTCTGTCGTTATTGAAAATCTGGGCTGTCTCCACTTGGTGTGGAGGGAAATACAAGGAGGGAGGAGGAGGAGGAAGAGGAGGAGGAGGAGGAGGAGGAAAAGGAAGATGGGGAGAAGGATGGGGGAGGAGGAAGAGGAGGAGGAAAAGGAGAAGGAGAAGAAGCTCATTCTGTTATTCTGAGAAGGAGGAGGAAGAGGAGGAGGAGGAGAAGAAGAAGGAGAAGGAGAAGAAGCTCATTCTGTTATTCAGAGGAGGAGGGGGAGGAGGAGGGGGAGAAAAGGAGAAGCATCATCTGCAGAAAAATCTAAGGTCATGGCTGCCAAAGCTACCAGCTGCCCAGAAGCTTGTAGCCTGCATCATGTAGCTCTACTCAGCTCCACTCTCCTTCTCTGGCCAGGCCAGGTGTCTATTTCATGTAATCTTTTCCAGGATTGTAAAATGGGCAGAGACCTTATTCCTTCCCCCACCCCCCAAATACTAGACTGGTATTACTGTCCCCATAAGTCCAGGTGGACAAGCCCAGTCTTGGTGGCTGCAGGGAGGTGGGGGTTGAGAGATGGGCTTGCAGATAAGCAGCCTCGCCCAACTCCAGGGAGGCCCGACCAAGCTGAATCCCGCCAAAGGAAGGAAAGCCTTCAGCAGAGCCTTGGCAAAGGCTCTTGCTTCATTTCCGAAAAGCCTGTTGACATTCCAAGCATTCAATCTCTTGAGTTTCTTTCTTTCTTTCTTTTTTATCGTGTGTATAGCCTGAGCAGGAGCTGTGTTTGCAGAAGCCCAGGGCCAAGCAGAGCAGACTCGTAAAGAAAAGAAAGGCTTAAGATTCTTCCCACCCCCGCACTTTTCTTGGAGGGGGGGGGCTTGGATTTCAGCCCAAAGACACACACAATTGGCTCTTTGATTGCAGGGAGAATTTGAGCAGTGGTAAAGGAAGACCTGGCTGTCATTTTCAGAGAAAGAAACATGGCGTCGGAGATGTTGAATGGCAACTGTCGGATCCATCCTGCAGAACGAAATCCGAGTGAGCCCATGTGGCTGGGCACCCATAACCTTGTTCAAGAGAAGAGCAACAAAGTTGATTAGGGGGCTGGAGGTTAAAACATAAGAAGAATGGTTGCAGAAAATGTCTAGTTTAATGAAAAGGAAGATTAGGGATGACATGAAAGCAGTCTTCCAATATCTAAGTCAGGAGTCTGCAACCTTGACAACTTTAAGACTTGTGGACCTCAGCTGCCAGAATTCCTCAGCCAGCTATGCTGGGAGCTGAATTCCACAAGTCTTAAAGTTGTCAAGGTTGCAGACCCCTGATCCAAGGGGTGCCACAAAAAAGAGGGAGTCCAGCTGTTCTCCAAAGCCCCTGAAGGCAAAATGAGAAGCAACAGATAGAAACTCATCAAGGAGAGAAGCAACTTGGAACTAAGGAGAAATCTCCTGACAGTGAGCACAATCATTCAGTGGAACTTCAGAAGTTTGTTTTCTGTGATTTGTTTAACAACCACAGCAAAAAAGATTGTAACATTGGGTACCACTTAACCATTGCCTTCCTTTGTAACAGAGGTTCCAGTCCCAATTGTGACTGTAAGCCAAGGATTACCTGTAGTAAGAGAGTACTTCCTAGAAGTAGGCTGGAGAAGTTAGGAAGGATCAACTACAAGTAATGCTCGACTTACAACAATTCGAAGTTACAACGGCACTGAAAAAGGTGATTTATGGCCATTTTTCACACTTTATGACCTTTGCAACTTTCCTGGGGTCACATAATCAAAATTCAGACGCTTGGCAATTGGTTCCTATTTATGACTGTTCTGAGAAGCAAAGTCAATGGGGAAACTAGATTCACTTAACAACCAGGTTGCTAACTTATCAATTGCAGTGATTTATTTAACAACTGAGACAAGAAAATGGGGCAAAGCTCACTTAACAAATGTCTCACTGAACAACAGAAATGTTGGGCTCAATCGTGGTCATAAGGCAAGAACTACCACTACATGTCAGTTCTCCCATCCAGCTTTTGCCTGGGGTTCAGCCATGCCCTGGCCACCTTTTTTGAAGATTTGCAGACTTTCACCTTTTGCAAATATTCGTTCCTGCTGAAGACAAGCCAACAGCCTTGCCTTTAACTGCTGGGCAAATACCAGCGCTAATCAGAGCCATTCAAAACAAAACAAAACACTGGACTTAAAGTGTATAAATATTTACTGTATTCTACTGGACTCAAAAAGTCCAGCAGTTTTAAGTGGGAGAGAAGTGACTTAGGAAAGCAAAATAATTTTGGGGGAAAAGTACCCTTCTCTTTGCCTAAGTCACATTTTGTAAGAGATTAAACTTAAAAAGACAGAAACAAATCTCCCGTGGGCAAGGATTTCTTCATTTTTTGAAAAGTTTGTCTTGCAAATCTTCCCCTTGACATTTGCAGTTAACCGTTGACCTTGAGGTCTCAGGAATGTGTGTGCTACCTGACCTTCCTTAATAGCTTGCTTAAAGTCCAGGTTGTCTGTGGATGACAGCTATAGATTATTCCCTCCAGGGGTGTTTATTTTCCCTCTCTCATGCATACCCATCCACGTGCACACACATTTTGGGGGTTATTTTTCTGGAGCCAAAGCATGGGGCAATTACTCATCTGCATCTGTCTGCATCTGCTTCTGATTATCTCCCTGGCTTTCTGATTGCACTGATAGGATCACCTGAAAATTGCAGTTTTATCTGGCTGGTGTCTCTGCAACACTCATTCCCCTTCAAGGAAAAGATATCTTTTGCTTTTCTTCTTCAAACAGAAGGATTGGGGTCATTTCTGAAGCCACGCCTGACCTTCAGAGCATGACCCGGGGCAACATTTTTGCTCTGCAGACACGAGAAAGAATGACCAGGAGGAAGTCTGCAATGTGCTGTGTCCTCATGGCACAACTGGGGCTGGTTTCCTGCTCTCCCCAGTCTCCTTCGCAGTGTTTGCAAACCAGAGACCAAATTTCCATAAATATGGTCTCCTATTAAAGTTATGGCACACAGGTTGGTGGGCAGGATTAGCTGGAGATGAAAGGAGCAAACATTTTAATCTCACAAGGCTTCACCACTTTAGTTCCATGTCCTTCAAGAAAGGATTCGGAATGGACATCAGACCTGCAACTCAAAGGACCACAAATTCAAGGCTATATTTATTAAAAATGAAAACAGCAGAAGTCCCATCCTTCTCTATCCAAATCTGTTCAAATTCAAGGGGCTAGGGAAATGGGAAAGAATTTGGAGGAAAAACAAAAGAGGGCATGAGGAACTGTTGGGAGCTGGTGGTCGTGAATGGCAGAAGAAGATACCATGCACCAGAGGTTCCTCAATTTTAACAATATATCTGATCACTGTTATAGGGAGTGATCCTTGGTTTCCCTCCTCTGTTTCAGCCACCCTGAATGTACTCACTAAAGGTGGAAGGGTGACCTGTGCTTTACAATCAGGTAAACAGTGGGAGCCATTGTTGAGGTCAACCTTTCTATTGCTGGGAAGGACCTTCTCTGTGTAACCCCCCAATATGACATCACTGCATTCCTGATGGGATGGGGGCTTTAAAAGACTTCACCTGCTCTGAATTAGGAGTCAGACTGGTGCTGGGTGCAGGCAAAGAAAAGGCTCATAAAGATTATCTGTCTGTTAAGGTGTGGCCTTTAGGACAGCAGCCGGGGACTGGGGCATCCATTGCTTCCAGGTGGGTTGCAGGTGGCCCAACACCTGGGACTGCCAGTTGGAGAGGGAAGGGTGGCTGGCCCCCAGCTGCTGCAAATTAAGGGAGAAGGGAGTAGGAGGTAAAACAATTAAATGTTTAATAAATAGATAACCTAGCTTTCGATGGCTGTATTGCTGCCATCATCATCAGGGTGTTAAAAGCCAGAGGGTGGGGGAGCTTGTTTATAAGCACAAACGCTCCTGCACAGGCTCGTAGACCTCGTTATGGGGCCCGGTCATTGATCCTCTCATCACTCATGTCAGAAGTATTTCTGAGTTCTAACGAGGTCTATGAGCCGTGTGCAGGCGCGTTTGTGCTTATAAACAAGCTCCCCCACCCTCTGGCTTTTAACACCCTGACAATGATGGCAGCAATACAGCCATCGAAAGCTAGGTTATCTATTTATTAAACATTTAATTGTTTTACCTCCTCAATTTTTAGGTTAATTTTATATATAAGACCACACATTGCTGCTCGAAGCACGAAGCTGAAAACACCAGCCTGAAGATGACGAATGGGACTTCGTCGAAACGTCGCCAAGACACTTCCAATTTTACGCGGGAGAAAACCCGAACAACCAAAGACCTACATACAAACACCCTGGCTGTCCAGTCTCTTCTTAAAAGTCTGCAGTAATGGAGCACCCACGATTTCTGGTAGCAAGTCATTCCACTGGTTGATTGTTCTCAGGAAATTTCTCCTTAATTCGAGGTTGCTTCTCTCCTAGATTAGTTTCCATCTGTTGCTCCTTGGTCCATAATTGTCAAAATTGAGAAACTCTGTCTTGACCAAGTGCTACTCTAGTGCCTTTGATCTGTCTGAGGTGTTCCCCATATGCTGCTTGGTTTAGCCATAGTTTATGACTAGAAACCACAATAGTCTACACCATGTTTGAACATTAAACCATGGCTTACAAAGCACAAAGGCTGGGTTGGTTACCAGTCTCAATGTGATTGCTTTCATTTTGTTGCACAATCTAATTTGACAAGCTGAGTATGGTTGTGCGAAGGTGCAGTGTTAAATTTGGTTAGTTTTAACTCTGGTGGGTCAGTAACCAGGCAAAGCAGGTTGTGTGAATGGAGAAAGGAATGTGAAGAGAGGCCAGTTGTGGGCCAGCCAAAATTGGTGACAAAAAGGACTTTTCTCCTGTCTTTCCCTACATATAAGCCACGTTCCTGGCTGTGAAATTAATTTTGGTTCAGGAATATTTGTGACTTCCTTGATTGGGCTGGTCCTTCTGGGAATAAAGAAAGAAATGAGTGAAGATGCTTAACAAGACTTTCGAAATCACTTTTTGTCAGGCTCAGGACATCCTTCTCCACGTTGTGATCCCCTCTTTTGCATGTTGCACTTCAGTTTCTGCCTGGCAAAGCTCTTGACGAAGGAGGGCCTCGGCAGCAGCGCCGACAGAGATTTTAGCAAAACAGGAAAACAGATTTTAAAAGCTCCTATTGAAAAGCTGGAACAAAATTGTAATCTTTGTCCCATATCCACCAGGAGTCACTGTTTTGCAGCCGGTGTTTTACAAAAAATGCACTGGAAAATAAAATATGCTATTCCCCCCGCCCCCAATGCATGTGAGAATAGATGTTGGCACAGAAACGCATGTCAGAAGCTGGCTTTGTCTTTCAATGCAGCAGAGGGAATGAATGTGATAAAGAGAAGCAGCTGTCACTGTTCTATCATCTCATCTTGCACCGTTATAAAATCACAGTGGCACCACAATCAAACCCTCACAATCATGTTGAAGGATCAGGAATTTTGAGTGGAATTTTTAGCTTAGAAATCCCAGTTTGCGGCAGAGCAAATAAGGCAGGATATAGAAAATTCCCCAGATCTCCTCTTAGCTCTGCCACTGATTTTTTTTTTTGAAATTATTTCTGTCACCACTCCTACCTCCTTTTCCTCCAAAGAATGAATGCTGATGGTCCTGGACTTACAATCCACAACTGAGCCCAACATTTCCGTTGCAAAGTGAGACAGTTGTTAAGTGAGTTTTGCCCCCTTTTACGACTTTCGTTGCCACAGTTGTTAAATGAATTGCTTCAGTTAGTAAATAGGGTGGTTAAGCTTTTTTTTGTCTTTCAAAGTGCTGTTTTTAAAAAAAATATTTTTACTGAACGTTTTCATAACAATAGTGAAGTTTATTAAAAGAAAGTAAATAGTAAAGTTACAAACTGAACTCAGAAAGAAGGACAAGTCGTGAAAAAGGAGAAAACAGATCAAATAAAACACACGTCTTCATTTAATGAAATCTTAAAACATACAGACTGATTACTTGGGAGAAGAAATATTGGCATGTGGTTCATAAGTTTGTTTGCTTCCTTAAGGAAACCCGACAGGAAAAAAAAACCTAAGGTGAATTCAACTTAGATGATTATCAGTTCGCTGGAAAAATATGCATACTTACTTGAACAGAGTGCAAGAATATACATGTCGCTTTTATGAGAGTGATCAAGTCAAGCACTGGGCATTTTGTTGGTAGAGGTATGCAAGCTTCCAGATCTCACAGAATTCTTCAATAGGGAGGCAATGAAATTTTCAGGGCTGGCCATTTTAAACGTACAAATAGTCCCCAGTGAATTTTCTCTCTATGGGTAAATATTATACTATTGTTGCTTCACACTCTGAAATCTTGCAGCAGTTATTCCTAGAGGATTAACTTTGTGGGGGTAAAAAAAAAAAATCACAATTGATTTATTGATTGTTCTTTAAAGTGCATTCTTAGCTCTTGGAAATGTGGCTCATATGGGCTTCCATTGATGGCATGGCAAACACCAGAATGGAGAAAATTGTCAAATAAGATGGTACTGGAAGGGCCAGGGTTGGAGTGCAGAGCACAACAAATTATACAAAATAAGAGGCAGTTTGCAAATGCACCCAACAGGTTGCAGAAATCAATTTCTCTTGGTACAGAATTTGGATATTTCATGGCAAATCTTAGTGAAGACAGGTTGTTTTAGCCCAAATCAAGGTTTAGAAGGATTCCTCACTTTCTACTCAACCCATTGATGAATTCCAGAAACCTCTAAATCAGGAGTGTCCATCCTTGGCTGCTCGAAGACTCGTGGACTTCATCTCCCGTGGCTGGCTGGGGAATTCTGGGAGTTGAAGTCCAGAAGTCTTCAGGTGGCCACGGTTGGAGACCCCTGCCCTAAAGCTTGCATCCTGCCCTTTCCATGTTGGTTGACCTGAGAAAGGTATCATTTGGAGCCCTTGGCAAACCCACAATGGGGGACCTGAGTCCAGAGAACTCCTGCATTCACAAGTGCGGGCGGCCGTCGCTAGGTTAACTGTAGCACAGGTCCCAACTCCTATCCTTCCAGACGTCATCTGTCACAGAGACCGAAGGGGCATAGTCTTTGCAATCCAGAGCGGCGTAGGGAAAGAATTCGGAAGCTCGAAAAGTGTCCAAGTGCTGGGAACCGCACGGGGTGCAGGAGCACGTCGATAGGCCGGAGGTGTGTGGGATGTGGTTTTGTGGCTGGCAGGTGCCTTCCTCTGGGGGCGAATACATGCAACTCGTGCCATCCAGAGCCGAGCAGCTGTAGCTGAGTGGGGCGAAAGGAGGCATCTGAGATGGGGAATAGCTGTAATCGAAGGCGCTGGAGGGATCAGAAACCTCGGGGGATCCGGAACCCTAAAACGAGAAAACGAGGATGAAGCACCGGGTCTTCCGTCTGCAAATTTCATTCTGAGTTCACAGGACGATCGTAGGCATGCTTGCTTGGAAGTAAGTAGGTAAGAAGTAAGAAATCGTGGGCGCTCCATCCCTGGAGATTTTTAAAAAGAGGCTACATGGTCACTTGTCTGAGATGGTATAGGTTCTCCTGCTTGAGCAGGGGGGCTGGACTAGAAGACCTCCAAGGTCCCTTCCAGCTCTATTCTATTCTACAGTTGGCTCCATAGGACTCCGGGAAGAGTGCACCAGGTAGTGCTAATCAGCTAAAGGAGGGGTGCCCAACCTTTGGCCAACTTGAAGACCTGTGGACTTCAAGTCCCGGAATTCCCCAGCCCGCATGGGCGGGCTGGGGAATTCTGGGAGTTGAAGTCCACAGGTCTTCAAGTTCCCTTGATTGGGTAACCCCATGGATAAAGCAAGAGAGCGCAATCGGAGTCCCTAGACTGCACATCGTCCTCAAGCAGGAAGGGACAGGTTTGCAAAAGTAAAACGGAGACCCCTACAAATGGATGGATTTGCTCCCTGTTGGCCAAGGGATTGCCTGCCGATTCTCTCAACTGCACCAGTTCTCCCCTGCTCTTTTAGACTCTTAGCCACCTGCCCCTCTTCTCTTTCACCAAAGCAGGCCTTTTCTCCTAGGGACCGGGGGATCCAGATTTGGGAAGCTCCCCCTTCGAATCTGTCGATACCAGAAACCCAAGTACCAGGCAGGTGAGGGCTGGCTGGAAGCTCTCAGGTGAGCAAGCCAGGTTGTCCTGTGCCAGGGTCAAGGGCACCTCCAGCAGTGGCTCAGCTTGAAGGCAAGAGTCCACCAGCTGCTCCAAATAATGGGGAATTTCCTCGCAGGAGCTCCCGTTCTGGAACTGCCAAGGTGGTAAACCGCCGGATAAGGAAGATTCAGGAGCCGTGTTGATGTAAGGAACTGAGAAAAGAAAACAAAGGGGAAGAACTCAGCTCTGCTGTGAAATAGAAGTTGGCAGAAACTTTAGCTAGCTTGGCCAATAACAAATACCCAGGAGAACATTGGCCCAGCAAAAATGTGCGTTAAAAAGACAGGTGGTTCTCGACTTACAATCCACAATTGTGAGACATTTGTTAAGTGAGTTTTGCCCCATTTTACCACCTAACTGAATCCCTGCAGTGGTTCAGTTAATCACACGGTTGTTAAGTGAATCTGACTTCCCCCATTGATTTGCCTTGACAGAAGGTCGCAAAAGGGGATCACATGACCCCAGGACATGGCGACCATCATAAATATGAGTCAGTGGCCAAGTGTCCGAATTTTGACCTCGTGGCCATGAGCATGCTTCAACGCTCCTGTGTGTGAAAAATGGTCATAAGTCCCTTTTTTTCAGTGCTGTTGTAACTTTGAACGGTCACTAAACAAACCATTGTAAGTCAAGGACGTATTACCTGTATGCCTGACAAAATATTTTTCAGGATGCCACTGAAGGGCTGAAGCAGGATTTGAAAATCCAAAAATTCAACGAGCCCATAGGATCTCCTACCTCAACTCTTATTCAAACTATATTTTTTCCTTCCTATTTCTGTTTTTCTCTCTTAAGAGAATCAATTCCCCCCCCCCTTATTCTGAGTTCCTCTAAAGAGCTCACAATTTGCTCTTTAGATTTGCTGCTTCTTAACTCAGCTGCTCACTTTCAATTGCTCAAGGTTTCTTTATCCTTTGGTAGCTTAAGGATTGGGAGAAAAGTGCCTGCTTTTCTGCCACTGAAAAACCTATTACATCCCGGAGAATTGTGTTGCGTTGATACGAGATATAAAAAGATTAATTTCTTTGGGATTTCTGGAAGAGAGAGAGAGAGAGAGAGGGAGGGAGGGAGGGAGAGAGAGAGGGAGGGAGGGGAATAACTGCAGGAGGGAAAAATAAAAGCAAGTATGGCTGGTTGTAAACAAACCGATCCCAAAATAAGTTAGCTTTGCAAGAAGAGGAAAAGGAAATGAATCCAGCCGGTGCCTTTAAATCCACTCCAGAAAAAGCACACCACAAATTCATCTGGATTTTTTTTCTTTTTTTCTTTTTAAAGCTTGTTTGCTCCCACCTACCTTCTCCACCCAGCCCGGATGCTCATCTGCACTTAGCAAGCTCCTGCCCAACGCGGATTGGCCATTTTCACAATTAAATGCCCCTGCCCAGCTGAAAGTCAGGATTCAAGAAGAAACTGGTAGGAATAGGTATAGAAAGCTCGGAAAAAGAAGGGACACGTGTTTGTGGGAGCTGGGGAGAGGAGAAGGGGGCTGTTTTGTACCAACCTGTGCAGGGAGGTGAAAAAGCCTCTCCAGCCTGGACGTTTCCGCTGCATTCTCCAAAAACCTGAGAATAAAAAAGGAACAAAGCAAAACAAATCTGGGGGTGTTTCTCTCCAATAATAAAACAGGGAAGGACTCGCGGCCCTCACCCCCTTCCTTCACGCCCTTACATGGCTGAGGTAAGTCCAGGATTCCTCTCCAAAAGTGGAGAATTTTTTGAGATGCTGTAAGGCAATTAATGAAAGTTCTTTCTTTATTGAGTGTATTTAATCTGGGGTCCTCCTCAATGTTATTCCTTGGCTAAATGTAATTTAGGGATGCCTGCTCCCCCAAAGCTTTGCAGCCTTTAAATGTAATGGATCTTCCATTGTCTATAAAACCTGCATCCTGAGAGGGCAGTTTGTGAAAAGGAAGGAAGGAAGGAAGGGAGGGAGGGAGGGAGGGAGGGAGGGAGGGAAATAGAGAAGGAGAAAGGAAAGGAAAGGAAAAAAATGCTAATGTATAAGTGAATCACATTTGGGCAAGATTTATTTGCAGCTGGAGTCTTGGGAATTGACCACCTTCTTCTGCTTGCTCATCTTGTTAGCAGCTTCTTTTACACAACATGCAACAACGAAGCTTTCAAACTCCTGTCATAATTGACTCAGACGCAAGGGCCTTGTGCTCCCAAGAGGTAATTTTCAAAAACTATTTCTGGGCCTATAGAAATTTCTCTTGAAATGCTTGCAGTGCCCCTCACAAGAATATTCCGCCTTTGCTTTTCAGCTCCTGTCCTTGCCAAGGCTGAAGGCCAAAGTCAAAGGAGACATACAGAAGAAAACACCTTCCCAGATGGGGAGCAGATGAGGAAGATACTGGAGGAGACCAGAATTTCTGTCCTGGCCAGGAGTTGCACTAGGTCAGAGTTTTTCAAACATGGCCCCTTTAAGGTATGTGGACTTCAACTCCCAGAATTCCCCAGCCAGCCATTCTGGGAATTCTGGATCTTGAAGTCCACACATTTTCAAGTTGCCAAGGTTGAGCAACATTGGAGTAGCTACCTCTTGAATCCTCTCTGATGTGCTTTCCATGGGAGAACAGGAGCAATTTTTTTCCTGGAACAAGGAACAGAAACAAACTGGTGTGTTACCAAAAAGGCTCCAAAAGGACCCAAAAGGTTTTGATGGCCGGTGATTTTTCCCTAGTTCATTCTCTCCTCCAGGTTTGCGCCCTGCCTTTCACACCGCTGGATTTTTCTACGTTCAGCGGCCAAATCTTGCACCTTGTACTCAGCCATAAGTCCTCTGAGGTTCAGTTTACCAAATAGGCTGGGATCCGTGCGGTACACTGAGTCACAAAGGGCTGGGAGACGGAACCCACCAAGGTGTAAATTCCATCCCCACCTTCCTGATGCGACCCACCCACCATTGTGACCAATCCAGAGGAAGGGAAAGGAGGGGAGGTTCACACACGCCCCAGATTCAAAAGAATGGAAACGGCCCTGGGTTTTCAAAGGGCCTTTTGAAACTCTCCTCCAAATGGGAAGACAAACAAAAGAAATGTAATCGGAGTTCTCTGGCAGGAGAACAAATGCTGCAGCCATGACCAGGGGCTGGACGGCTTCCCCCTTGGCGATGAGAGTAACAGGCAGGTTCTCCCGAGACCTTCCTTGGGGGGGGGGGGGGTTTAACAGATCCATGGAAAGCCGTGGGAAGGTTGCAGGTTGCAAGAGAAAGAAATGGCCACCTGCCACCTCTTCTTGGCCAGCTCCACCCGGGAGAACTTCTCCAGCACTCTGTTCTCTCTTTTCAGGGAGGGTTGGAAGCAAAATCTTGTTCATCAGGTTGTGTGGGATTTGGGAGAAAGCCAAGGAAGAACATTGAGGACTACCCCAAGCAGGGCTGGAGTTTGTGAAGTGGGGACTTTGTGAAGCATTGTGAGGCTCTTGGATTCTATTGGCCAGAAGCTGAAGAATAATGGAGGAAAAATGGCACTTTTTTTTATAGCCACCAAATAATTTCTTTGATGCATAGGAGGAGACAACTCATCCACTGATAAAAGAGAATCTCTCTAGTTCAGGGTTGAACTGTGGAGTCCTTGTTGCTCTCTGAGCTTGGTGGCTTCCTTGTAGATGTTTCATGAGCTAACTAGGTAACATCATCGGTGCTAGAAGGGAAGAGGAGAGCGAGGAGGAAGACTGTGGGTGGTCCCTGAGCTTCGTGGATTTCTTGCAGATGTTTCATGACCTATCTAGGTAACATCATCAGTGCTAGAAGAGATTGGGGTTTGCAGGGAGGAGGAGGGCGAGGAGGAGGAGGAGGTCGACAACAACGACTGTGGGATCTTTGTTGCTCTCTGAGCTTGGTTATTTTCTTGCTGACATTTCATGACCCAACTAGGCAACATCATCAGTGCTAATGTTGATGATAGCCCTGAAAATGGAACCAGGACCCCATAGCTGCTCTATTCAAATGGCTCATTTAATATCTAAACTTCAAGAGAGTTTAAAGGGAGATGCTTACAGCTTCAGCCACCGTGGCCTGTTTGGCTCTTCTCTGCTGCAGAAGTTCCTTCACGGTCATCTTCACTCGAACGCCTTGGTAGACCTTCGCCTTCCCTGAAAGGAGAGAGCAAAAAATGCCCCTTCGCAGACCCAGGACACTCGGAAGGGCCCTGGCCGGGCTGGGGTTTCAGCAGTGACTGGAATTCTCTGCCTTCTCCTAAGGGCAACATGTAAAGCATTGAAACAGCCAGCTGTGGCTTTTTTCAAGCCAAGAAGTGACAGCTTAGTATGGTGTGTGAAGACAACAGCTTTGACATCTTCTGACTTTGATCCAATGTTTAATAAACCACAGTTTATTAAATAAACCACACTTGGCAAGGTTTACCCATTATATTAAACCGGTGTTTTTCAAACTTGTCAACTTTAAGATGTGTACCTTCAACTCCCAGAATTCCCCATCCCTTTTTTCCCTCCCTCCCTTCCTCTCATTCCACCTTCCTTCCTTCCTTCCTTCCTTCCTTCCTTCCTTCCTTCCTTCCTCCCTCTCTCCCTCCTTCCTTCCTTCCTCTCTCTCATTCCCATCTCCTTCCTTCCTTCCTTTCATTCCCATCTCCTTCCTTCCTTCCTTCCTTCCTTCCTTCCTTCCTTCCTTCCTTCCTTCCTTCCTTCCTTCCTTCCTTCCTTCTTCACATTCTGTCTTTCCTGCATGAGCTCACAGCATGGGACCTCCGTTTAGTTCATCCCCAAAATAACACGTTGCAAAGAACAGCCAGCTGAGAAAATACAGCCCCAATTCATCCAGGGTGTGTCTAAAGTGAAGGGTGGATTTAAACCTGGATCCCTAAACAGAGGGAAACTCCAGACGCCCAACTGCTTCAAATGTTAGCGACACGATTTAGACACGAGAGACCAATTGAATTCTTTAAAAAAAGTTGCCAAGTTTTTTTTTAAAAGGAGCTTTTGTAGGGAGATTAAGATGAACTTGGCAGGATTATCTTATAGATCTCCACTCCCACCTTGCGTTTTTCCAGAGATCCCCAGCGGGCGCTTTGGAAAAGTCCCAGAGGAACATTTTTAGAACATATTTAACTTGTCTGCTTCAGAGCTCTGCTTTCTACTCAAGCTGACCCTTTAGGACAGGGGTCTTCAGACTTGGCCCTTTTATGACATGTGGACTTCAACTCCCAGAATTCCTCAGCCAGCATCATTTTTCACCAGCTTTGTCTCCCCCCAATAATTTTAGCTGCTCAATTCATCGTTTTGTATAAAAATGCTGCTGTTGCGATCCTATCCTTTCCCTAAGGATTCCAAACACAGGATGAGCTTTTTCACAGGAACAACCCCCATGGGTTCAATGACTTAATTCAACTTTCACTGCCTGGGGGGGGGATTAATTCTGTTAGACACACACACACACACACACACACACACACACACATTGTCTCACTTTAGACCTGCTCGGCTGTGTTGCATCTCTGCCAGTGCCAATTTCTTGCACAAATTGCACACACACACACACACACACACACGTTTCTGGATCCCTCAGAAACTTGGGGTGGGTGGGTGACAAGTTTCTTGCTTACCATTGATCTCTAACCCAGACTCAGTTAAGAACCATTTCAAAAGCATCCACTGTAATGTATAATCATGGGTATTTTAAGCTGTCCTCATGTTTTTTAGACCAGATTCCATCAAGGCGCCCTTTCCATTGTGACTTTATCTAGCACACATTCAACTAAAAACCTCAAAAATGGTATTCTTCAGCCTTTTCTGGGGGCTTAGACTTTGCCTAGTGCTTAGATCACCTGTGTCTCTAAACCCGCTTTCCGAAAACCGGCGCCCTTTTGAGCTCACCGCCCAGGATGGGCAATCTATGGTGGACCTCCGTGAGCTCTGCGGTGGCGGGGGAGGGGGCTCTAGGTTGTAGAAGCTTATTGGAAAGAGAGACTCCCCTTGGGGGTCTGTACCACCTGGGTTTCTTCCCCCCTCCAAGGCATCCTGGGAAGTGTAGTTTAGCCTCCTCTGTGCTTTCAGCCCCCCCCCCCCGCGTCCTGCGATTTGACGCCGGAGCGAGGAGGGTCCCGGACGCTTCTGGGTGGTGCAGCAGCGCCGGCCTTTGTGAGTGAATTGCACGCTCGGTTTTTTTTTTTGGGGGGGGGGGGAAGGCGCAAGGGAGGCGGCCGGCCGATCATTCCGCATCTGAGAGTGGAGGAGGAGGAGGAGGGAAGGCTGGGGTGAAAGGCTGGCCGTTTGGGGTGTCTCTGCATCCCCTCCAGGAATCGGACTATGCGGAGGGGGCCCCGGGGACTGGGTTGCAACCGGGCCGACGCCCCCGCGGTCCGCAAAACGCGTCCCGGAGGCTGCGGCGGGCGCAGGACTGGCAGCGGCATCGCCCAGACGGGGCCGGGGGTGGGAGGAGCGCAAGTCTTGGCCCCGCTCCTGCTTTGCGCTCCACGGTCCGAGGGCGCCGCGCTGCCTTCCCGAGCGGGCTGGGTGGGGCGGCGGGGGGGGGGCGAGCGGACGGGGCGAGCCGCGGCGCCGTCGGGCAGAGAGAAGCCAGCACCAAGCCGGCTGGAGAGCGCCCCGGGGCTGCGCGCGGAGGGTTGGCGCGTCTCTGGATGCCCCTCTCCGGCCGGCCCTGCTCGGGGGTGGCGGTGGGACCCCGCCTCGCTTTCCCCGGGGTCAAGGGGAAGGAAAGGCGCCGGAGGAGACCTCGCCCGCGAAGCAAGCTTTCTGGGGCGCAGCGCGCTCCTCGACTGCGCTTTCATCCTGCAAAGCGACCCCCGACGTCATCCCCCCCCCCCAGCCCATCTTCCCCCCGTCAGTTGCACTCCCAAACACGGCTCGCAGGTCCCCCGCCTGCCTTCCGCGCGCCTCTCCCGGCTTCCCTCAAGCTGCTCCAGAGCCAGGCGGGCGCAGACGGCGCAAAGCGCGCCCCGGAGGTCGTAAGAACGAGCCAGCAGCGCGCAGCCACTTTGCGCGCAGAGGTTTCGCTACGCGGCAGCGCCGCGGCTGGCCGTCAGAAGCATCGCACGGGAGAGGTGGGGGAGCCGGGGGAGCCGAGTCGGTTGGCGACGGGGGGGGGTCTCCCTTGAGCAGTCTCGCACCCCCCAAAAGGGAGGGGCGCATTCCCTCTCTTTTGCGCCCGACCAGCCGGTCTTTCCAAAGCTAGCATTTTTGGGGCCGCGAGATGGAAGTGCGCAATCCTTCTTTATCAAAATTGCAATTCGCTGGTTGGGGTTTTGGGGTACACACGCGCGCACACACACACACACACACACACACACACACACACACACACACACACACACACACACACGTTTTAAAAAAAAGACTTTGCAACCCACTTTGCGCATCCTGAAATGCCAGAAATTCAGTCTACGGTTTTGAAAAAAAAAAATGCACATTTTAACCAGACGGATTAAGAATTAGCCACATAACTTCACCGTGGTTTTTTCTCCCTTCTTCTTCTTCTTCTTCTTTTCCTTTCCCCCCAAAGAGTGCTTTCAACAACCATCTTTGGAGTAGCCACATTCCAGAGCATTCACAGCTGGGAACGTCAGTGTTCCCGGTGTAGCCCTGGCGCAACGGCATTGTGTGTGTGTGTGTGTGTGTGTGTGTGTGTGTGTGTGTGTGGATTTTATGTATATGAGTTTACACCGGATTTGGTTTAACATGCATGCCCTTAAAAATATTCTACTTCGTTGCTCTGTGAATTTGGGAATCCTTCACTCTCTTTTCCCTTTCTTTCCCTTCTTTTTCCCTTTTGTAAAAAATCTTTTGAAGGCAAGCAGTCCCAAAAGGCGTGCGAGAGAAGGACTCGGACCCCACACCCCAAAACCCACCAAAGATTCAATTCTGACTTACCTGACATTCTTCAGGAACAGAGAATGGAGCAATTGGCTTTCCACCCCCAACAGTGTTGTGTGGACCAAATCAAGGACACTCAGCTGGGCTCCCTAAAGCTGAAGGAAAACATGCAAGAAAACAGGAATTTTTGGATTAAAAAAGAATTCTAAAGCCTTGGTGCAGCTCTTGACTGGGAGACAAACAATATTAATCTTTTATACCTACAGATATAAGTTTGAATTTTTCTCCCCACAAGCCAAGTATTTAAAACCTCTAGAATCCATTGATTTGACAATCAAGGATTGCGCGATAGTTTCAATTTGAATATTCAAAGGCTTCAGAAAATGGACTCTCTTGGAGGAAAACCCAGCATAGCCCCATCTAGGACAGGGTCTGGGGGAACAAGATCCACCGGCCCCGTCTTCCTGGGACCCCCCTTTGGGGCTCCTGTCCAGCTTTTTAGCTCCCTGGCCCTAAACGAGGGAGGTGCCCCCAAAGAGAACCCACAGTTTTGCAGATGCCAAATTCTAGGCCATCCCTGCCACTTCCCTGGCCCCCGTCACCTGATGATGCTTCCCTGCAATATTTTGGGGAGACCTTGGAATCGGGGTGCATTGGGGGGCTGCCTGATGCATTTGTGGACAAAGAGGGCCTAAAAGGGGGTGTGGCGTGGCCAGGAAAATAGCACTGAGTCCTGCAAGCAATGACTGTGGGTGAATGGGGGACCTTGTTCCGTGAGTTTTGGGGTCTTCGATGTGTCCCCCAGTTTCTGACTTACTCCCCCCCTTCTTTTCCGCAATGTGGGTGTGATTTTAAGCTTCTCCTTTGCAACAGCTACTCCGATTTGCATTGTGGGAAGCTTTGTGTCTTCAAAAGGTGGTTATTTCCACCTGCCCCCCCCCTCCCTTGCTCTGGCCTTGCAATCACAGGCAAGGCAGGCAGAGGTTGATTTGAACTCCAGAGGAAATTTCTAAATTTTGAATCTGGATTCTTTCATGCCATTTCCTCCCATCCCTTCCTTAGAAGGAACCCGGGGACAGCTGAGTCAACGAAAAACCTAGCCTGCGTTGTTAATGATCTACTATGAATATAATTTGGCCATTGTTCCCGATTCAATTTTTGTTTTGTTGCAAAATAAGGCTTTGACAAATATTCCCGACTGGAGATAAAGAGACGGTGCATTGCTGAATTTATGACGTGATTTCTTTTTGGCCAGAGTTTATCCTCCCTGAGCATCTTTTCCATGTTGAAATATTCTGTTCTCCTTCCATTTTTTTTATTAAAAAAACTGTGCATAATCTGAAAAGGGTTATGTGACACAGGAGAAGTGTGAGAAAGTAACCGGAAGGATTTTACCAAAGGAGAGGGCGGTTTGGGGGCTCTGCCACCCCTTAAAATTCAGAGACTGTCAGCAAGACGTTTGAAACTCTGGCTGGGGAAGACAAGTGCTAAAACATGACCTGAGGGATTTATAAATTGCTGGGGGTGCTTGCCCAAAGATCTGGGCCCCCACCCCACAACTGTTCATCTCTAAAATAGGAACTTTCTAATCTAAAAGGATATAGAATCTAAAATCTAAAATGATTTCTAAAACAAGGGCTGCCTCGTAGTATGGATTCCTGACCTGTAATAATTGGCTGTGAAAGTTTAAGGGAGCCCTGCAAACTTTAATCCTGAGTTCTGGTAGTAGTAGTAGTATTAGAAAGATTAATTGATTGATTGATTAATCAATAAAATTTATATATCTGCCCTTCCCATCAAAGGCAACTCTGGGTGTCGAGCAACAATCAGTAAGAACAATAAATAAAAACCAAAAATGTACACTACAAAAAAAACCCCTTATTAATAAATATCCTACAAGCAAAAATGGATGCACTCTGCATATTCTCAGAAGCCTGCTGCTGCTGAGTCCTGTCACCCCTGCAGGTTGGGGGATTATTGTATTGGTAGTGTGGGTGGAAGTGTATATATTGCTTTTTGTTTTAAAAATGGTCTTGAATTCTGAAAATTTGTTTTCAGACAATGAGATCTATCTTGGCCTTCCCTTTTCAGAAAAAGCAGCAGTGAGTGAAAATGGGGGCATTTATTTTGACTCTTTAAACAGTATATGTGGAGCTCTTAATTCTCAAAACACATGAAGGTATCTAATAGGGGGAACTGCTGTTTAAACTGCAAAACTAAAACTATGTGGATTGATGGATTCCTTTTTTTTTTTTTTTGGTTTGGCCAGCAGAGGGAGATGGACAATTCTATTCCAAACAGGTCAATTTTTATATTCGAAGAGGAAGCAGAGAAGACAAAGGCTATTGGAATTAAATGCTATTTTCATTTATGGGGAAAGTTGACTAACCAGTTTAGAACTTCAGCAGGCAAGTGCTATTTTGTTTTGGTCTCCAGTTTCAGAAATGAGGTGGAAACTCCTGGGAGATTATGCAAAAATTGGAATTTCTCCTCTTCACAGATCTACTAGGCTACTATTCTCATCACCCCAAACAACAATGCTAGCTGGGGATAATGGAAATTGTAGCCTAACAAATCTAGAGGGCACCAAGTGGGAAGAGACTGGACATTTATTGCTGTTCTTGTGATATAATTTTTGACAGGGCATTCAACCTTGACCACTTGAAGACCTGTGGACTTAACTCCCAGAATTCCCCAGCCAGCATGGCTCACTGGAAAATTCTGGGAGTTGAAGTCCACAGGTCTTAAAGTTGCCAAGTGTGAAGATCCCTGGTTTAGAATCTAAACAGTGTCTTCTAAACTCAAATCATTCCCAGGAGGTAAAAATGGTTGAATGTGAATTGACTCTTTCCAAAACTCAACCAGGGAATCCTAATTCCTGGAGTATCAAACGTTGCCAAATTTGGAAATAATCCTCTCTAAATTTCAGGAACAAATCCATATGAGTATGCATAGGACTGGAGTTCATGGTACTAAACAATGGCCTTTGATCTGCATCCACCCCCTGCTCAAGCAGGAAACCTTATACCAGGGATCTGCAACCTTGACAACTTTAAGACTTGCTGGCTGAGGAATTCTGGGAGCTGAAGTCCACAAGTCTTAAAGTTGTCAAGATTGCAGATCCCTGCCTTATACCATTTCAGACAAGTGGGTGTCCAATTTCTTCTTAAAAACATGCAGTGATGGAGAAGGAAGGAAGGAAGGAAGGAAGGAAGGAAGGAAGGAAGGAAGGAAGGAAGGAAGGAAGGAAGGAAGGAAGGAAGGAAGGAAGGGTAGCAGAATAACAGGGCCTTGGAGGTCTTCTAATCAAACCTCTTGCTCAAGCAGGAAACCTTATACTATTTCAGACAAGTGGTTCTCCATTCTCTTCTTAAAAACCTCCAGGCAGGCAGGCAGGCAGGCAGGCAGGCAGGCAGGCAGGCAGAAAGAAAGAAAGAAAGAAAGAAAGAAAGAAAGAAAGAAAGAAAGAAAGAAAGAAAGAAAGAAAGAAAGAATAACAGAGTTGGAAGGGACCTTGGGGGTCTTCTATCCAACCCCTTGATCAGGCAGGAAGCCCTCTACCATTTCAGACAAATGGCTGTCCAATCTCTTCTTAAAAACCTCCCAGTTAAGAGCACCCTCAACTTTTGGAGGCAAATCATTCTTAAAACTGTCAAGGTTGGGAACCCGTGTTTTAGAAGGACGCCACTCAGTGCAAGACTAGGGGTTCTACTCTACAACCAGTAGGAAGACAAATGCACCAGCAAAGCTTGAAATGGTCTTTCGTCTTCCACACAGGTTGCCTGCTAACGCCTTGGCTTCAAGCCTGTGTGGCTGTGTGTTTGTGTGTCCTGCCGACAGTTGCTGGCAGCAGAAAACTGGGGCAGTGCCCAAACAGCAGATTGCAGGCAGAGAAGGACTCTTATCGAGAGAGAGAATCTGCTCCAGACAAGCCCAGGCTACTCGGGTTCTCCTCCACCTGCCTGCCTTCCTGAATCCACTTGTCTTGGGGGCAAAGTCCAGGATGGCTGGAATGCCTTTTTTTCTGCCGTGATTTTCCTGGCCAGACTTTGCTTGACAAAGGCCTCCAAAGAGATGTCGCAACAGCCTGAAGAGCTGGTGTGTGTCTCTCTCTGTGTGTGTCTATCGTATCCCCAGCAGGCTGAGATTGTTCTCCCTCTTAGCGAGTTGGAACAGGACTTTGAGAAGAAGAAAGAAGACAAGGAAGCCCTCCAGGCAAGGGAAGGAATGCTCAAGAAGGCAGGGCAGGGGTTGAAACTTTGGACCTGGAGTCCAGCTGGACTTGGTTGTCCTCCATCCTGTTTCTGGCTGGTTGGCTCAATATCTGAAGAATCTGGTAGAGTTTGAATCTGGTCATAAAAGGAGATCATAAGAACATTGCTGGACTTGGTTTTCAGAAACAATACTTAGAAATTAGCTTTTTAGACTGCATCAGCCTTCCTTCCTTCCTTTCTTCCTGTCCCTTCCCCATCTCTTTGTCTCCTTCCTCCCTCCCTCCCTCCTACTGTCTTCCCTATTTTCCTTCCTTCTTTCCTTCCCTCCCCCCCTTCCTCCCTCCCTCTCTTCCTTCCCTATCTCTTTGTCTCACCTCTTTTCCTTCCTTCCTTCCTTCCTTCCTTCCTTCCTTCCTTCCTTCCTTCCTTCCCTTCCCCATCTCTGTCTTCCCTCTTTTCCTTCCTTCCTTCCTTCCTTCCTTCCTTCCTTCCTTCCTTCCTTCCTTCCTTCCTTCCTGTCGCAATAAAGCCTACAAAGTCTGGAATACATCAAGGGTGTGTATTTCACATTTTTATTGGCTCATGACCTAACATTCTATTTCTACACTTCCGTATATTAATACATTAAACAAGGGAGTGTTCCAAACAATATAGTGAAAAGTCAGCCTTCCACAATGGATCCTCAGCCCCTTCTTTCATCCTGGAAAATGGGGCACCTGGAGTCTGCATTTTTCTACCGAAGGAGCTGGTCTGGAGGGCCGTTGTGTTCCTGGGACAAGTTATCTTCTCCAGCCGTTGATCCAGCTGGTTCAGAATGCCCTTAGTTCCTCAGATGCACCACAGCCTTAGATTAAATTGACTATGTTGACCCGTAGAAACATTTTCACCAGCTCTGCACAGTGACTGAAAGTGTGCAAGTAAGCAGCTGGGAGAGCAAACAGCTCTTTTCAGAAATGCTGCTCAGAGGACTTCATGAAGGTATTCCAAAGTCACGATCTGGGATAAAGGATCTCTACCAGGTGTCCTTGCAGTTCTGCGCACCAGAAGTCCTGCATAGGTCCTGTTTGTTTGGCTGGGGGATCTCTGTTCAAGGCCCTACAGAGTCTTTGCAGACAGTTCTGGAAGGGGGTATAAAACAGTCACCACCCCATTCAAGGGGAACATGGGGCAATGTCTGCAGAGGAGGCCCCCTGCAGTTCAACTGCCTTGCAAGGAATCCAGGATCTTTTAGCAAAGACTGCCACCTGCCGGCTAGAGCTGAGAATACAACATTCCTCCTGGAGATCAACCAGCTGAGAATTTAGGAACTACAGTATGATGTTTTAGCCCACTCCAAAATCACCTTTGATCTCAGGGCATCCCATATCTTAATTCCCTTTTGTGACATTGAACATCTGGACAGGAAGTGGAGAAACCAGAGCCTTGTGGACAGTAACTACACTGGGCCTTCTACTTCTTGGATTCAGCTTGGCTTTCCTGCAGATGTTTAGGTGCCATAACATCTTTCCTAGACACCAAAGTGATAATGGGTCTACTCTCTTGGGAAAGAAAGTACCAGGCCAGCATGGACCACACGGAAGGGAAACTGAATGAATGAGTCCAAAGGAGTCTTTTGCCCTCAACCTGGTGGTGATCCTTAGATCAAACCCCGATGGATTCAGCAATTAACCATTATTTCAAGGCTGAAGGAAGGATTGGTTTCAAGCCAGCTTTGGGCATTAAGAAACCTTCCAGTTTTTGCTTGCATTAGCTGGGAATTTAGGAGTTAATATCCCTCACATTTATAGGGCATCAGGATAAGGAAGAAAGCATTTGAGCAGATTACAACTTTGTGCTAGTTTGATTTTTTTAAAAAAGCTTTTAGTTAAGGGAAACAGGGGGAAAGTGCTCTCTTTACGGTACTGCAGAGAGAAATTTAATCAGAGCACAGCATTGATTCTGTCCTTCGTGTTCCTAGGCTGGCATCTTTATAAGGGGATAATATTTCAGGTTCAACCATTATACTAACCATGGTTTGGTAAGGAAAGTTCACATAACCCAGTAAGCAAAACCAAAACACAATGTGGCAAGAAGGATCCAGGTTCCACTGTGTCTTTGAGAAACAATTTACTGAAGGTGGCTGCCTTTTCAGCATATAGTATGTTAGGGTGTGTTTGGCCAGAATAGGATCATAGAATCATAGAGTTGGAAGGGATCTAGGAGGTCTTCTAGTCCAACCCTAGAGCAGGAGACCCTATACATTCCACACAAATGGCTGTTCAGTCTCTTCTTGAAAGCCTCCAGTGTTGGAGCATCCACAACTTCTAAAGGCAAGTCGTTCCACTGATTGAGTGTCCTCACTGTCAGGAAATTTCTCCTTAGTTCAAGGTTGCTTCTCTTCTTGATGAGTTTCCATCCATTGTTTCTTGTCTTGCTATGTGTCAATAAATGGGATTAAGATTTGGGCTGGGAACAAGAGTAGCATAAATCCATAATTGCCTAAGAGCCAGTCTAGAGAGTCATGAGTTTGGTCTGAGGGAAGAGTTGAGATTCAATGAGTACAAGGAGGAAATGGTTCGTGTTTTGCCAGGAGGGAACAGATGACGCTGCTGGTTGTGGTGCATTGCTGAAGGCAACTTGCATGTGGGATGTTTGTATGGGCAGCTCCATCTTGTGGCCACATCGCACTTTCTGTCTGTATATGTTGCTCTGCTTGTTGTGTTGTGAAGATGCCCTTCATCCCCTAGTTTTGGAAAATGGCTGCTGTAGGCTGCTCAAATATCCATGAAAAGATAGTGGTGGGCCTCTATTTTACAGAATCTTTATAGGGGGCTTTATAGTGTATAGGTAGTCCTCGACTTATAACAATTCATTTAGTGTTCAAAGTTACAACGGCACTAAAAAAACAATGACTTATGACCTTTTCCCACACTTATGACTGTTGCAGCATCCCCACAGTCATTGGATCAAAATTCAAATGCTTGGCAACTGGCTCACATTTATTAGAGTTGCAGCATCCCAGGGTCATGTGATCACCTTTTGCGATGGGGAAGCTGGATTCAAGCCAGATTTAAAGGCGACTTGCTTGCTTTCTTGATGTGGCTCCATCTTTAAGGGCCACTATAGAGTCTTAAAGCTGCCGAGGTTAAGACCCCTGATATAGGCAATGGCAGATCACATAGAGAATGATCAGAGAATGGCGTCTCTGTGAAATATATTTACAAAGTACAGTAGGTAAGTTTCTCAAGATGCTGCAACAAACCAGAGAGTAGCTAAACAGAATGTGCAAACCCAACTTTTTGGCCCGTTCGCTCTGCACTGTCTATGCTAATTGGGCACAGCTCCTTCCTGAGGCCTCCCCCTTGATCCATCAACATCTTCTGCAAGCTAAGAATAGGGTTTCCATGAGCCACGATTGCCCATACACAACTCAACCTTGCCAAAACATACTTTTGATTGTTAGTGTTGGGATGATATGGATGTGATTGCAAGAAAGTCTCAACTACATGAGATCTGGCTTTGAACCAATGTAGTGATCAATCACCTTCCAGCATTTGTAGCAGTGGCTTAAATAAAAGACACACAAAGTCTTGGCTGGCTGTCCTTTCTGCTCAGTAAGTCCTTTGATCCTCATAGGACCCCCAGAGAGGACTTGGGTCTTCCTTGGGCCAGAAAGAACTGCTATCTTGGAGAGCAGCTGTATCTGAAGACTCCTCAGAAGATCCCGGAAGCATTTTGAGCCCAGGGAGATCATTGGCTGCAGCAGCCATGAAGGAGGAGAAGGGCGAGTTTGAAGAGGCAGAGAAAACAGCTGGGTAATGGACATCTTCGAGAGGGTGGAAGGAATAAGACTGAATTCCAGAGAGAGGTAAATTCCAGTTGGGGTTTCTACAGTGGGAAGTGGTTCCTGGCTCATGACCTGAAAGGCAGTTGGAAGCTGAAGCTACTTGGAGAGATTCTGGACATGCTTCCAACTGACCAAAGTTGTCCGGCACAGATTGTTCCCAGGAGTCTCTCTGTTGGAGGAAGAAAAAGGGATGCATTTAAAGATCCAGAAGTGTTAAAGGAGAATACCCTTCCCTGCAGAATTATCAGCAGAGACCACAGAGATGAAGCATGGTCTTCAAAAGACTTTTAGCTTGTCTATATAAAGAGCCCACCAAGATGTTTTTTTTTTTTATGGAAAACCTTTGAAATGTCAAGAGATGAACCACAGGTGGAAGTGTGTGTGAAACTCTGCACTGCACTTTTGCAAGCCCAGAATGTGGCCCTGGGAGCAAACTTTAACACCTCAAGTTCAACCACCTTTGAAAGCATCATAGTTGTTCAAAACAGGAGCTTCTAATCAACTGGTCGATAAAAATAACGTGCTTTGAAAAGCACAGGCAATGTTGTTGCTATCCACTCCATAGAGTATTGGATCAATAACTGCTTTTTTTTTCAGCCTGAACCACACAGAACAGGTTCTGGACTTTCCTCAGATGTGTCTGGCCCACATTCACCATACACAACCTTCTCTTTGCTCTGCTGTCCAACAACCTCATCCTTTTCAATGGATGGGGCCACAACTCAAGGTCTGGTTTAGCATTGGATAGCTGGCAGCTGAGTTTGTGAACTGCCTGCCCTCTAGGATGGAATTGTATACTTTTTGCACAACAATGGGGCTTTCCCCCTTGCTCCTAACCACAGCCCAGATGTTCCCTAGAAGCATCTTTTTCCTGCCGAGTTCCACAACACAGAGGAGAGCCATCTTCCACCTAGGAGGGAAACAGCCTCTTGAGTCATTGTTAGCTGGCCTTCCCCCTTCCCTGACACCAACAAGGGAAGCCTCGAGATGTGTAAAATTGGGTCATCTTTGTTCACCATCATCTTGGAGGGAAGTTGAGGTGCAACAACTGGAAATGGGCAATAAAGGCAGGACAGGAATAAGTGAAGACCATTTTTTTCAAAAGCCAACTGGATTGCTGTTTTTTTCCTTGAGAAAGAAGTTCTGTTCTGGCAGGATGGCGGGGGCTCTGGAAGGATCAGTTCTGACAGAATGGGGAGAGTTGGAAGGACCATATTTCTTTGCAGTCATCTGGTCGTTAGTACTCTCCCTGAGATTAGTCAGAACAAATCCTTCCCCAGCCCCCATCATCGTGCCAGAACTGATGAAGCTTCTTGGATGAGAAGCGAAATGTCTTCTCCTTCCTCAAGGAAAAAAACCCAGACCCAGTCCAGTTGCCTTTTGAAAAAAGCACCTTTGAGACAGCTGTGACCTGGCTGACTGAGAATCTCCACAGACAAGTGAAGAGCAAACATCAAGCCATGGTTTTTTTCTGCCAGCCATAGAACGGAGTGGGGAGCTTCGTTTCAGCAACAGGGGGAGGCCCACAGACTGAGACGAGAAGATGATTAGACTGGTTGCCTCACTAAATTCAAAGCAAAATGAAAGCATGCTATGAGTTCGCACAACTTGAGAATCCACCCACAATGTACTGTACAACATTCAGCACAACCCAACAACTTCAAGGCATTCTGTCATGTGGTTATGGGATCTCCAGAAGATCTCTGGGGCCAGCATGGGAAGCAAAATTACTTATACCCTATAAGCAGTGGTGGGATTCAGCCAGTTTGCACCACTTTGGCAGAACCGGTAGCTAATTTTTTGTTGCTCAGGCCCAGAATGGACTTCCGGAAGCAGCATCCACGCAGAGAACCGGTTGTTCACATATTTGAATCCCACCACTGCCTTTAAGGAAGATGTGGGGAAATTTCATAGAGTCCAATTACTTTCAATGTTCATAGGAATTGTCCATCTGCCCCAACCCCCCTCTCTGTGGTCGAAGATAATGGATATTGTAGAGTAACAATCTTTGGAGAACCATCAGGTTCTCAACACTGCCATGGATTTTTTTTAAAATATTTGAACTCCAGTTTTGGTAGGAATAGAAGGATGGACTATGCTGTGCACTCAAAAACAAAAACTAACCTAGGTCCTTCTCCATTTAACCCAGTTGTCCTCTACTCACACTAAAATAATGAGCTGAATCACTTGGAAAAGATGATGTTGAGTTGCCAAGGACAGCAGAAGCTCCAGAGGGGATAGATCCAGCCCGGTGGTCCACATACTGATCAATTAAGTGAGCATCCAGAGACAAAGAATATCCTTGAGTTGCTGGTGATTCATAAGCCAATGACTTGGGTAGCAAGGAGGAAGTGTAGACTTCGCTGGAGATATCTTTGTTGTTGTGTAAGTCCATATCTGTCACCAAGGATCTTCGAACTCCATAATAACTGGATGCTGTGGGAGAACCTTTGGGCCATGTAGAAATGGATGATCAGGGTGTGGTTGAGTGGGAAGGAGAAACAGGAATATACAGAGAATATTAAAGTGTCATAACTTTAGAGCTATCTTCAAATTAAAGAAGCTTCTGGTGGTTGGTTAAGAGCAGTGGTGGGATTCAGCCGGTTTGCACCAGTTCAGTAGAACTGGTAGCTAATTTTTTGTTGCCCAGGCCCAGAATGGACTTCTGGAAGCAGCATCCGCACAGAGAACCGGTTGTTCACATATTTGAATCCCATCACTTGTCAAAAGCGTCTACTTAATTAATCAATTCATGAAGATGATTTGTTTAATGTTCCTAGGGCAATAAGGATTTGTCTTGGGTTTTGAATGGTGGATGCATGTTTTCATAAGAGGAGGCATGTTTCTGCTTGTGTGTGAAAATGAAGAGGGAATGTCTTGCTTAACATGAGTTGGATCAGGCGTTCCACGTCATGGAAGACTTTTGTTTTTAATAGGAGGGATTGGGAATGCAGTGTACTTATAAAATTAAAATGATAATACTTACTGGACAGTGGAACAAACGATGGTTGAGAGCTCACAACACTTCCCTGAAAGACAAGCACAACATCTTGAAAAGGTATAGTAGGTGAACACTGGAATTTGGGTTGAGTTTGCTTAGCAGCTAAGACTCAAAGAGTGCTTTGCAAGCAGAATAGCTAGAGTCACATGACACGTTAAGCCACCCTTGAACAAAGGACATTGTAGCTTAGCGTGCTACCTGAACTTGGGTGTTGTAAGATGCCATCTTAGACCCAACGAATCAAAAGTGTGGGATCCTTTCTAGATATAGACTGAACTTGAGGTTTCTGACTTGCAAATTCATGCTTCAACCCAGAGTTGTGGCAAGGAGCATCTCTGGGGGAGACGGGGTCAAAGATGGCAGTTTCACACATACACAATTGAATCCTACTCATTTTTCACGTGCATCACAACAACTGGTTTTTATGTTGGGTGGTGATGATGCTGCAGGAGGAAAATTTGGCCGAGGCATCCCACTAGGTTACTCACAGTAGTTTCAGATTCAGCCTATAAAATATTTGCTAATACTTTACACTTTTTCATGTGAAATAAAGAAGCTGGGCGAGGAATAATCCTATTAGCAGCATGCAAGTAATTGAACTGAATTGAAATGAAATCCTATTTATTGGCTTTCTCAGCTCTACCCACTTGTGTGTTCTGGTCAAACCTGCCTTGGTAACCCCAGAGCTCAGAATGTCACTGAAAAAAAAAACCAAGCTATGTTATACCAAGATAAAATCCCAGAAGCTGAGTTTTATACAGAGAGGATGTTAGGATTAGGGTTAGAGAACAGGATAACAAGTAATGAATGGAAACTCATAAAGGAGGGAACCAACCTAGAATTAAGGGGAAACTGCCTAACAGTGAGGACAATTAACCAGTGGAACAGCTTCCCTCCAGAAGTTGTGGGTGCTCCACCACTGGAGGTTTTTAAGAAGAGATTGGACAGCCATGTGTCTGAAATGGCATAGGGTTTCCTGCCTAAGGAGGGGATTGAAGACCTCCAAGTTTCTTTCCAACTCTGTTATTCTGTATTTTGTATATGTATCTAAAAAAAGGGTTACTTTACAGTAGATTTAGCTACTGTGTTGAGACCTAGATTCAATGTTCAACCCTCTACGTATTCCAAGAAAAAGAAGCTAAAGCAAGCTAATTTTTGGCCTAGATCTGCAGAAAGAATGATAAAAAAGATGGCACTGATCTCCTTTCAGAAGTAATTCAAGGACATTCTTCATTCTAGTTTTTCAGTTCGTCAATTAAGTACAACCCAATTGCCCTGAATAGCAAATGCTATCCTTAGTTTTCAGCCAGGCAAAGCAAAATGCAACCTCCTTCAGTTTGCATACTGTAAATAGGAGTTTCCTGCCCTAGCAAGCAACCAAATTTAGAGGTCTGGATTTGAATTAAAATTTGCCAGTGTCAAGATTACCTTTTGGTGACCAACACCCAGCTTTCACCTGGACACCAGCGAGTCCATGGAAATTAGCTCATTAGAACTCATGGCTGTTACCAGCAAGATGTAAAAACAGAAAGCAAATCTAAACATCCAAAGGTGGGGAGCAGGTGGAGAACTTCAGATGCCACCACCAACACCACCTTGGTGGAACTAGGACAGATGGATTGGAAGCAATTTGTACAAGGTTTTTTTTTTTTTTTTTTTTTTGGTAATGTTTCTCAACCTCAGGAACTTTAAGATGGATGAACTTCAGTTCCCAGAATTCACCCATTCAGCATGCTATGAGGATGAGATAGCACTGTAAGAAGAAATTGCTCAAGACTAAGTGGACTACAAAGAAGGAAGGTCTTGCTCACAAAACTGTCCATCTGGCCAGTCAGCTGCCCAAGGCTAGCCTGCTCCAAAGAGCTTGGTCCACCAGAAGAGTATCTCCAATCAATCATAATAGAGCTGAAAGGGACCTTGGAGGTCTTCTAGTCCAATCCCCTGCTCAAACAGGAGACTCTGTACCATTTCAGACAAGTGGCTGTCCATTCTCTTCTTAAAAACCTCCAGTGATGAAGCATCCAAAACTTCTGAAGGCAAGCTAAGTTCCACTGATTAATTGTCCTCACTGTTAGAAAGTTTCTCCTTAATTCCAGGTTGCTTCTCTCCTTGAATAGTTTCCATCCATTGTTTTTTGTTTTGCCTTCTGGTGCTTTGGAAAATAAGTTGACCTCCTCTTCTTTGGGGCAGCCCCTCAAATACTGGAATACTGCTATCATGTCACCCCTAGGCCTTCTGGAGACTGGCCATACCTGTTGTGTCCTGAGCCTGCAAAGGCAGGCTCGGGACGTTGCAATGGTCCCGGGCAGTTGCAAGCTGCCCGGGACCAGACTGAGTGGCGCCGGCTTTGCGCACATGCGCGAGGCGCAGAAGCGCGCCAGAATGTTACTTTTTTGCCCGGGGATTCTATTAAAGGAGTCAGAGAGGCCTGCGAGCCTCAGAGCTGTGATGGAGAGAGAATTACTGAAATAAAAGGGCTGTTGGAATTACAGAATGTGCTCTATTCATTCGCCATTGACTCGAGGACTCAACACTGGCGACGAAGGTGGGATGGCTTACAAAAACAAAAAAGAAGAATTGTAAGCTTACCCCAGGAGTCCTGGAGAGAGGAAGACGGCGTTAAACTCAGCACCTGGCCTGCTAGTACAGCGTCGCTGGAGGTAAGCTGGCTGATAGACCCCTTCCTAGCATAGAAGCAAGAATGGCGAAATAGGGAGACTGTCTGAATTCGATGTCACTCACCCAGAAAGATGGGGGTCTTATGTTGCCAGAGTAGAAAATTACTTTAGAGTAAATCAAGTAAGAGAAGATGGCTTGAAGGCCGCTACTTTGCTGTGTGTCTGTGGTCAAGATGCATTTGAAATTGCAGAAAATTTGGCAGCCCCTGCTCCTCTTGAATCTGTCACTTACACAGATTTTAAAAAGTTATTGAAGGAACATTTTCAGCCCAAGTTGTCTGTTATTGCGTGGAGACACACTTTTGAACAGAGGGATCAAAGAGCTGGTGAATCAGCTAAAGAATACATTGCAGCCTTGAGAAGAGCAGCTAAGCCTTGTGAGTTTAAAGATTTAGAAGAAAGGTTGAGAGACCGGTTTGTATGTGGGCTTAGGAACAGAGACTTGCAACAGAGACTCTTTGCAAAGGAGGACATTTCATTCCAAGATGCCTTGAGAGAGGTCACTGCAGAAGAGGCAGCAGGTGGAGCAGTCAAGAACGTGAGGCCTATCAGGAACAACCCAGAAGCCGTCTCCATGCACTATGAGGGAGTCCAGGAGAGCTCGGAAGAAGATCCTGAAGATGAGGTGGATCATTTCTACCCAGCCAAAGAAAGGAAGCAGAAGGAAGGCAAAGAAAAGTCTTCAGCTGTACCCAAGTGCTTCGGGTGTGGAGGTCGCTACAAGAGGACCGACTGCAGGTTCCGTTCTGCAATCTGTAGAACATGTGGAAAGCAAGGCCACATAGCAGCTGTGTGTCTGGGCCATCAGAAGGTACAATCCCGAGAAGAATTGCGCCTGAAAGTTACCAGGGTCCCTAGCCAAAACAGGGTGGGTTTCTGTGCATCACGTAGAAGCATTTATAGGACAGGCACACACAGGCCCCTTAAAAAGAAACTGTCACTTAAGGTGAAGTTGCAAGGAGTTCCATTGGTTATGGAACTGGACACTGGGTCTGCCCTTTCAATCATTTCTATTCACACTTTCAGAAACATTTGCTCTAGCAGTGGGTTCCAGGCCAAGTCTTAACAGACTTCCAAAATTCCAAGGTGTGTGTTAAGGGGGAGGCCACCCTTAAAGTACAATACAAGGATTTTGAAGGTCCATTAGATGTATTGGTAGTTGGGGGTGAACGAACGAGTCTCATTGGACTCGATTGGTTTGAGGCCCTGGGAATACAAGTTACAGGGCTACACAATTTGCAAACATTAGGTCTACAAGAAGTCTGCAAAGAATTTGCAGATGTCTTCAGCCCCCAGCTGGGAGCATACAAAGGCCCCCCAGTTTCCTTGAAACTGGACCCCACTGTCACTCCCATTAGGGTGAAAGCAAGGAGAGTACCCTTTGCTTTGAAAGGGAAAATTGATGCTGAATTGGACAAATTGATTCAGCAAGGTGTTTTAGAACCTGTTGACTCAAGTCCATGGAAAACTCCCATAGTCACGCCTCTCAAGGCTAATGGGGACATTCGCATCTGTGCAGATTACAAATGCACACTAAATAAGGCATTGCAACAGCATGCCTATCCTGTACCTGTAGTCAGCCACATTTTGGCCTCCCTCAAAAGGGGGGGGGGGTGTTTCTACAAAGCTGGATTTAGCACAGGCTTATCAACAGTTACCTGTTGATGAAGCTGCTGCTGAAGCACAGACTATTGTAACCCATAGGGGGGCATTCAAGGTCAAAAGACTACAATTTGGAGTAAATGTAGCTCCTGGAATTTTCCAAAGTGTAATGGAAAACACCCTGAGAGGTATACCAGGGGTTTGCCCCTATTTTGATGATGTCCTAATAGCAGGAGAATCCACTCAAAATTTAGCTGAGAGATTGAGGGCTGTTCTGCTGCGTTTCAGGAAAACAGGTCTCAGACTTAAAAAAGACAAATGCAAAATTGGAGTGTCTTCTACAGATTTCCTGGGATTCAGAATAGATGCCAGGGGTATTCACCCTGCTGAGTCTAAATTAAAGGCTATACTGCAAGCTCCTAGGCCTAAGTCTAAAGCTGAGTTACAAGCTTTTCTGGGCCTCTTGAATTTTTACAATGCATTCATACCTAACAAAGCTAATGTAGCAGAGCCACTTCATAGACTCTTAGACAAACAGGCAGTGTGGCAGTGGTCACAAGCACATGAAGAAAGCTTCAATGAGGTCAAGGCCTTACTTACATTAAATGATGTGCTTGCACATTTTAATGAAACTCTTCCTGTGTGCATCGCTTGTGATGCTTCCCCTTATGGGGTGGGAGATGTACTTAGCCATTTAAGAACTGATGGAACTCAGGTTCCTGTTGCATATTACTCCAGAACTTTGTCCTCTGCTGAGCGAAACTACGCTCAAATAGACAGAGAAGCCTTGGTCATTGTTGCTGGAATTAAAAAATTCCATGATTTTCTATATGGCAGACACTTCACGGTCTATACTGACCATAAGCCTCTGTTGGGGTTGTTTACTACCAACAAACAAACTCCCCATATCATTTCCCCTAGAATGCTGAGATGGTCCATCTTTCTGTCAGCCTATGACTTTTCATTGGTTCACAAACCTGGCAAGGAAATGGGCCACGCTGATGGCCTTAGTAGACTACCTTTACAAATAGAGGCTGACCCTGCCCCTGCCATCAACATTCTTTCCATTCAGGCATTGCCTGAGTCTCCCTTAAATGCCAGGGATGTGGCTGCTGAATCAGCCACGGATCTCACACTCACTCGTGTATTGTCCTGGGTTTTGTCTGGATGGCCTGAGAGTTGTCCAGGTACTGAGTTTCAGAGTTTCTGGCTCAAGAAGCATGAGTTATCCACTTTTCAGGGTTGTCTGTTGTGGGGCAGCAGAGTTGTTATTCCTACCTCAATGAGACCTAGGGTCTTGGCTTCCCTTCATGAGGGTCATCCTGGCATTGTCAGGATGAAGGCGCTTGCGCGTAGCCATTTATGGTGGCCAGGGTTAGACAGGGAAATGGATGCCACTTGTGTCAGTGCTCACGCCCTGAAATGCCTCAGGCTCCTGTACATAGATGGGAGGAAACACAGTCACCTTGGTCTAGGGTGCACGTAGATTACGCTGGGTCCTTTCAGGGTCAATTCTTCTTGGTCCTTGTTGACAGCTATTCAAAGTGGCTTGAGGTTGTACCTGTCTCTTTCACCACTGCTGCCAAGACCATTCAAGTACTGAGAGGGATTTTTGCTGCACATGGGCTCCCAGATGTCCTGGTGTCTGACAATGGTCCTCAATTCACTTCTTTCGAGTTTCAGGCTTTCTTGCAGGCCAACATGATTCATCATGCCACATCTGCACCATTCCACTCTTCCACCAACGGTATGGCTGAGTGGATGTCCTCATCACCAAGGATGCTTTAAAGAAACTGACCTACGGGGACTGGCACCACAGGTTGGCAGACTTTCTTCTTGCTTACCACACCACACCTTCAACTTCCATTGGGAAGAGCCCAGCTGAACTCCGTTGGGGGTGCAAACTGATCACCAAACTTGACAGGTTGCACCCGGACAGACTGCCTCCTAAGGTCACCCAACCCAGGGCACCACGGTGTCTGCAAGTGGGTGCCCCAGTATGGACCCGGAACTATGGGCCCGGTCACTTGTGGGTTCCTGCTGTAGTATGCAAGGTCACTGGTCCATTGTCCTACGAGGTCTCCTTGGACGACGGTCGTGTCCTTCGGCGGCATATCGATCAGCTGCGTACGAGACTGGACTTACCCTCTGCAACTCCTGGGTTTTCTCCAGGGGGGGAGGGGGACCACTATGGGCAAAGGGAAGGGTGTTGGCAGCAGCTGGGGCCAAACGGAGAGGCTGAAGAAGGCCGGTTCCAGGGTTCCGCAAGTGTTCCAAACAGGAATTCAGGGGAACAAGAAATAATACAGGCACCAGTGCCTACTCCAGCCAAGGAGTCACCCAGGGGGCATACTCATCATTCACAACTACCATTCAGCACTCCAGTCAGGGAGAATAACCGGGAGCATTCAAATAACCCAAACATTGCAAGAGAACTGGCACACAAACAGTCAAGCTGGCCCAGTACTGCTACTGCTTCCAAAAGGAAGTCTTCACACAGGGAGGTAGTCAGAGAGGCAAATCCTGATTCTGGCACCTCCGGCATAGAATGGGGGGCAACTGAATATTGGGGCACTGCAGAAACCCCAGACAATCCCGTTACGGGGCTTGGGAATGAAGGGATGCGTTCCCTTGATAGGTCCATTGTGGACTTGGAGAGTTCTACAGAAATGCCAAACATTGGCAGGCATATAGAGGGGCCCGAGAACCTACAGTTAGGCAGGTGAACCAGGTTCAGTGGGGAGCAAAGTCCTGGTCTGATGAGCCCGGTGGGCAAGCAAGCAGACCAGGCAACAGGACACAGTTCACGAGGACCACCAGGGTTTGAAAGAGGGGGCAACTCCACTCCATCCTCTGCACAAGAGGAAGTAGGGGGTTCTCAGAATCTGAGGAGATCACAGAGAGTAAAAAGATCTCCCAAGTATCTTGAGGACTTTGTAACCCTGCTGTCAAAGCAAGGAAAGTGAGAGGGTGTCTGCTGTTGTTGGAAAACTGGGAGTGTGAGTATTGGGCAATTAATTCCAAAACAATAACCCAGTACCATTTGTGGTGTGGCTAGTGAACAGCTGCAACAGATGTGCAGGTTCTTGGGTTGGCACACCACGCTCGTGTTGAGGTTGCGTATAACTACCTATATAGTTAATGTCTCATCCGGGGGGGAAGGGGTGTTGTGTCCTGAGCCTGCAAAGGCAGGCTTGGGACGTTGCAACGGTCCCGGGCAGTTGCAAGCTGCCCGGGACCAGACTAAGTGGCGCCGGCTTCGCGCGCATGCGCAAGGCGCGGAAGTGCACCAGAATATTACCTTTTTGCCCGGGGATTCTATTAAAGGAGTCAGAGAGGCCTGCGAGCCTCAGAGCTGTGACGGAGAGAGAACTATTGGAATAAAAGGGCTGTTGGAATTACAGAATGTGCTCTATTCATTCGCTGTTGACTCAAGGACTCAACAATACCTAATTCCTGCAGCTGTTCTTCATACGTTTTTGTCTCCAGGCTTTTAATCATCTTAGATTGGATCCTGCAGACCATATATGACCCTGGGACACATATATTCACCTTCATTCGTGATAAATGGACTTGATCATCAGAAAGATCTCACAGAATTATTTTGCCATCTGGTAATTACGGAAATCCAGTTTAGAGATATAAAAGGGTAGGATTATTTGGAAGATAAAAGGCCAGACTTTTACAAGCCCAAATAGTGTTGCATTTTGCTAACAAACAACAGGCACACACCCTAATAGTTTCCTATCCAGGCCTGAGAGCACCTGTTCCAAGGGGAATTTTGCTTTGTTAAAATGGAGGGTGTGTTCTTCTCCAAAGATAAGTTCAGAGGGATGAAACATTTCCTTCTGCCTCATCTCGGCTGTGTTGGTTCACCTGTTGTTTGCTCAACAGTTTATTGTATCTCTTGTCCAACAATTGCATTGATATGTGCATGGAAAGAGCAACCAACTTGGGCAGAAGGCTCTCTGGGCAAATAAGGAAGCAACTCTCTTATTTTGGGGTTGGGGTGGGGGAGGGGGGAGTCCATCCAATCAAAGTGAAAAGTGATCACAAAGATTGCATATCCACTATCACACCAGGGTAGAGCTCAACTTATGACAGGTTGTTTAGTGACCGATCAAATTCCAATGGACCTATCGGGGAGCTACGCATGACCTAGAATCAAAGCTCAGATGGCCAACAGCCCTGTGGCAACCTGGCTGCATTTACAGATGTTTGCAGCATCTTGCAGCCACAGTGTTTTATGACAGAATTTATTTATTTATTTATTTATGAGACTTATATACCGCTTTAAATGCAAGCACTCTCTAAGCGGTGTACACCAGTAAGCAATGTGTATATATATATATATATATATATATATATATATATATATATATATATATATATATATTTACATTGCCCCCAACAATCTGGGTCCTCATTTTACCTACCCCGGAAGGATGGAAGGCTGAGTCAACCTTGAGCCGGTGAGATTTGAACCGCTGACCTGCTGAACACAGTCAGCTAAAGTGGCCTGCAGTACTGCACTCTAACTGCTGCGCCACCCATTTCTGGTTTTCAACAAAACTGCACCACAAACCATGGGTTCATTAAATGACCATGATGTTTATGAGTGCCATAAGAAATATTATAAAATCATGTGTTATGTGACTGACCCATTTTACGACCATTGTGACTTATGACTATGATGGAGAGGCTCCATAAAGGTTGTAAGTCAAGGACAACCTCTAAAAAGTTGCATATTGTTCAGCCAGCATAGCCCCTACAAAATGCTACTATAGCCATTCCACAACTGGTCCACATTTGTAATATGATCTTTTTCTCAAAAATTGCCCTAGATATTAAATGTAAAATACGTATAGCAGATATTAAGTTTTCCTGCCCAAGCAACTCCATTTTTAGCCATGGTTAAAGGTTGCTGCTTCAGAGTCAGGTTTTGGAGAAGGAAGGTAAGAGACGGTGACTTACATTCCGTCGCAAACTGCTTGTCTGCCTTGAGCGCTTTTCAGCCAGCAGGTCCTTCACTGTGTGTTTGACACGCACACCTTGATAAACACGTTTGCTGTAGTCTGCGGGGACTGAAGAAGACAAGATTTGTGAGCAGGAAAGGAAGGAATCACATAAGGGATGCTGGATAAAGAAAAGACTCAACACCAGAGGTGTCCAACCTTGGCAACTTGAAAACGTGTGGACTTGAATTCTCCCTTCTGGCTGGGGAATTCTGGGAGCTGATTTCCACAAGCCTTCAAATTGCCAAGGCTGGACATCCCTGTTCTATAGGATTCAAAGATGGATCTCTCTTCCAGGAGTTAACTCAACCTTATATGTTGGTTGTGAGAATAAAAAGAAGTAGAGTAAGGCTACATGGTTTGTTCTTTCATTCATGGATCCAACGTGCCATCAAGTCCAGGGTCAACAGGCCAAGCTTGGGTGGAGGTTTTGTGCTCCAAAGGGAGTGATTAATTGATTGATTGAGATATATCCAATTCAGAGGCCATAGAAACCTTCCAATAACTGGTGTTATAAATACAGTGGAGGGACTGATGTTCAACCAAGGCTAAGCCATACTGTAACTGATTTGGTCTTGGTTTAGTAAATGAGAAGCACTCACAGAAGTGTTTCCTTTCACCAAATGCTTCTCTGTATATTTTGCTGCTAGGTGGGTCAATTCCAGTCTCATTCAACTTGAAATAATGAAGCAGCTTCTTTTATTCTGCCTTTGGAACCAAGCACAATGCACATTAAAAAAAAAAAAGTCAGAGCTACAAACCTGACTTTTGGGGTCATACCCTGAAGACACCCCCACACTCACAGAAAAAAACTATCCTGCAGAAGTGAGAAACAACCTGAGGGGAACTTTCAGCCAGATGTTATTGGAGGCTCTGTTTAATCTTTTAGAAAAAAATGCAGCCACAAAACCGGAGCATCTTCTAAGCTCAAACAAACATTTTGTGTCCTATGGGGAAAGTTCTTTGATCTTTTATGCATATTGAGTTACTGTTCCAAACGTAGGTTTTACATGAGCGTTTTGTGCTTTTTCTCTCTCTCTACCTACCTACCTACCTATCTACCTACCTACTTCTATCTATCTATCTATCTATCTATCTATCTATCTATCTATCTATCTATCTATCATATGACATTTATTTAGTGTTTTGTTTTGCTTAAAAAATAGGGACAGATTATTTCTGCAGACTGGGTGTGGTAATCCATAGAAAGTCTTTTCAAGATCTACTACAACGGAAGGGCTAGCCACCAAATCTTTAGATCTATTCTATCCCAATGTTGGCTACAACTGATCTAAAAAGGTAGCAGAATCCCCATCCCCCCCCTTAAATAAAGAGTTTATAGGAATCAATTGGGATCAGAAATAACTATGCTCCCAGTCAATACACAGAATAAAAGGAAATCTAAATAAACAGTTTCCTGGTTTGTCTGGAGCTTAAGCCAGAGAGCAAAGCTGGTTTATCTTAGGGTAAAACTGATCCTTATAATTCATTGAACTGAATAAAACATTGTATTTATTTAGGTAAAACTAGCTGGAGACCTGTGTATTTCAGTCCTGAAGCAAAGGGCTTTGTCCCCATCTCTCCCTTTAGTCAGCTAAGATGCACTCATCCAAATGTAATAATTATTTTAGGAAACCTAACCACAACAAATTGATTGAAACTTCTCAATTAGCAGGATTTGAAATCTAGACTTTCCTGTGTTTTAGATTCTCTGAAATTAACCTTGAATTTGGCAATATGATAATACATTTCCTGATCTGGAGGTTCTATTTCTGATGCCTACTTTTGAGGGAGGCAATGTACAGCTACTCCTCAACACAACCTCAGATGGGACCAGAGTTTCCATTGACAAGCAAGGCGGCTATTAACTGTCTTGCGCCTTATTTTACAAGCTTCTGTGCCACTGTTGCTAAGCAAATTAATACACATGTCAAGTGGATCAAGTCAATACTTACCAGTTTCCATGCTCAACAGGAATTATTTCCCTCTCTGTAGATTTAGGAGAATATTTGAGGAAATCAGCTGTCATGAACTTGGATGCTGCCTCTGTTTCGCACTCACGTTCACTTTGAGCTAAACAGAAATGGCTTTTTCCACAATTTTAGAAGACATCTCCGAAATGAGTTCTGTAGGATTTGTATAAATGCAAATTCTTTGGTGTCTGTTTAGATGCAATTTGCATAGTCAGCAAGAAGCAGGGTGGAAAGGCGCTTTCATTGAGCCAAAATGCATAATTTTAGGAGCAAGCGGACAAGAGAGGATGGATGGATAGACAGATAAATGTTCCTTTTTACAAACAAACTCTTGCGACGAGAAAAGGTTAAATCAAGAAAGTTTAAGATTGTGAGGAATCTTACAATTATTTGTTATTTTTAATCATGGGAACTGATATTGAGTATTTGCAACTGTGAAAAAACTGTCTTTTAACTAAATAAATGTTCTATGACTTGGCCTGGATATCTTAAGGTGACCAACCGTCCCCCTTTAGGGAGGACAGTCCTCCTTTTGTGAGTTCTGTCCTCCCTCGAAAAGTGTCCTCCTACATGTCCTCCTTTTCGATATTTGAAGACTAATCTACAGGGCTTTTTTTTTCTCATAGAATGCTCAGAACAGCGTTCCGGCAGCTTTTTTGATGTTTTTTTTTTTTTTAACTTTTGCATGAGGTGTGCTACTCCCACTCTTGGCTTTCGAAAGCCAATAGGAATTGCTGCTGAGCGTGCCAAAACACCCAACCGGCAAACTTTGCACATGGCAAGTTGTCTGCAGCGGCGAATTGGCAGGAACTTTGCATCCCTCCTTGCTACCCAACTACACCATCTCCTAGTTAGTCCTGTCAGAAGTAAGTCTTCATCCTGGTTCATCCAAGCTGGGAATAAATAGGCAACATGGAGACTGCTTTGGGAAGAAGGTTACAGTTTATTGAAGAAACAGAAAGATGGTCTTTGCAAGAAAGAGCAGAGGAGAGGAAAGAGGAGTTGAGCACATAGGCAGTAGGTTTTTATACCCCCTCTAGCCTTGTTTGGAATAGTTTCCTGCTCCTATGGCATGAACCTTGAGGCTGTTTCTGAGTGTTTGTCTAGGCCTTGGTATCTGTGGTTTAATCCTATTATCATATCCTGCTTCCCAGGTGATGGGGCTAATGACTCCTAGAGTTTGGGTAGGGCATGCAGATTTTCTCTTTGTTTTCTTGATTGCTCTGGCTCCAACTTTCTGATGGTTTTACATCTGCATTTGTATGGGGATAGCTCTTGCTTGGGGCAGAGAGATAGATTTGGGGCCAGGTTTGGTTTTAAAAAGTCCTTTTGAGGAAAAAAATATTTTTTTTCTGCCCTTTTTAATATTTCCTTCTCTGGGCTAACTTCCCTCAGTCCCGAAGATACCTGGAGGAGACTGGAGCGGCAATGCCACGGGAACTTTCTCTTGATCTTCGGTCCTGCTAGGGCAGGGGTAGGCAACCCAAAACACTTAAAGAGCCACTTGGACCCGTTTCCCACCAAAAACAAAACACTGGGAGCCGCAAAACCATTTTGATATCTAAAATGAAGATAACACTGCATATATCCTTTTTTACCTTTATTATAGGTGTGTGTGTGTTTGTGTGTGTGTATGTATGTGTGTGTGTGTGTGTGTATATATGTATATGTATATGTATGTATATATATACATACATACACACACACACACAGGTAAAAAAGGATATATGCAGTGTTATCTTCATTTTAGATGTCAAAAGGGTCTCTCTCTCTCTCTCTCCCTCTCTATCTGCCCTTGGTCTGCCACTCCTCTTCCCCCACTCTCTTTCTTTCTCTCTCTCTCTTTCCTCTCTCTCTCTCTCTCCCTCTTTCTCTCTCTCTCTCTTTCCCCCCCCCCCTATCTGCTGCTCACCTGACAAGCTTCAGGCTGTTGTCCAACAAGATCCAGGGTAGGCAGCCTCATCTCTTTTATGACTCATGGACTTCAACTCCCAGAATTCCTGAGTCAGCCTAGCTGGGCTAGCTAGCTCTCTCCTGCCCTTCCTGCTTCCTGCAGAGACGCAGCAAAGGGAGGAGCCCCGCCCAATAAGCTTTTCAGCTCCTCGGAGAACACTGTGAGTGCACTCTCGTTTTTTTATACACACACACACACACACACAAAACACACACACACACACACAGAGAGAGAGAGAGAGAGAGAGAGAGAGAGAGAGAGAGAGAGAGAGAGAGAGGCAGGGAAGCACAATTCCTGTCTCTGTCTCTCTCTGCAAAGGCAGAGGAGGCTGGGAGCCGCAGGGAAAGGCTCAAAGAGCCGCATGCGGCTCCGGAGCCGCAGGTTGCCGACCTGTGTGCTAGGGCAATAATGGCTGCAGGCGCAAGAGGCAGGGGCGGCGGGGCTGCTGTGGGCAGGGGTGTGAGGGGTGGCGGTGGCCGACTGCTCCCCGTGCTGTGGGAGCCGCGGGGCCTGCTCTACATGGGGCTGTGCAGGGTGGGCAGTGGTGCTGGCGGGGTGGCTGCAGGTGGGGTGTGTCGATGGCAGGCTGCCTCTGCGCTGGCTCCGGCCCCCTCCGGGGCCGGAGCCAGCGCAGCTGGTGCTTTGGGAGCCACAGGGCCCGCTCTACATGGCGGGGCAGCAGTGCTGGCGGGGCGGCTGCAGGCATATAATTACAATATAAAATTTTTATAAAATGTTTTACAGATGGCATTTAGATCCTAAAAAATTATCTTGTACGTATCCAAATTTACAACCCAAATGTTGGAGATGTGGTAATATGGATGTGACATATTTTCATGTTTGGTGGAATGGTAAAAAGGTAAAGGCTTTTTGGGTTATGATTTGGTGGAACATTCAAAAGATTTTTAAAAGGAAGATAAAGTTCACCCCTCAATTATTCCTGTTGGGTATCTTTGTGGATTTAAATGACAAAGAAACTACTTTAATGTTGAATTTATTAACTGCAGCAAGGTTATTAGTAGGCTCGTATTGGAAGAAGGACTTGTTGCCTACTTTAGAAGAATGGATATTTAAAGTTTCTAACTTTGCAGAAATGACAAAAATTTCTGCTTATTTGAAGGATCATACACAAGAAAGATATATTATTGTATGGAGAAGATGGATAGATTATATTCAGAAAAAATATGGGACTATAAAATTTCATTTATTTTATGAGTAAATTTATAGTAACTGTCGTAGAGATTTGTTTATATGACTTAATTTAAGGGGAGTTAAAGGTTAAGTATGATGCTTTTTTTCTTTTTTCTTTCTTTTTTTTCTTTTTTTTATTATTGTTAACTTTCTTATTAATAACCCTGTACTCTGCTCTGGGAAGCGAGGGGGGGAGGGTTGAGGGTGGGTGGGTGGGTGAGTGGGTGGGTAATGATAATATAGTGATGGTAAATGCTTGGGCATTTCCCCTATGCTGCGTTCATGTGTGTGAGAGGGATGAGAGGGGAGGAAGGAGTAGGGAGGAAGTAGGATGGTTAGAGGAGAAGGGGAGGGGAAGAGAGTAGGAGGGGAGGAGAGAAAGAGGAGGGAAGTAGGGAAGGTTTAGAGAGGGTGGACGCGGCCTGGGGGGAATGGGCAGGCGGTACCAATGGTTAGGAATTGTATTTTGTATGAATAAATGGAAAATAAAAACTTTTTAATAAAAAAAGTTTGTCAGAATCCAATTATACTTCATCTCCAGTTATCAATTATAGAAACCCCATTTCTGCCCTCTCTGGATTCTGTCATAAAGAAAGAGAAGGGGGTGAACAAAGGGGCTTTATGGCCCTCACTTCCTTCGGTACAACTTCAAAGGGATTGAATGTGGTTAGCACCAAAAGGCCTTATCATAACAAAGGAGGCTATTTACCTTTCATGTAGTTTATCTGAAGTCTCCATCCAGCCGGCAGAAAGGAAAAAAGGGGTGGGATTGTGATGCCTGAAACTGTCACTGGAAGAGGGGGGTGATTGGGTGGGACTACTGGGGAATCCCTTAAAACCTCAAATGGTAGAGCTTGAACCCCAAGTCCTGTCTAGAACACCTGCAACCATTTTCTCTTAATAAAGGATTCCTGTTGGAAGAATTATTCCAAGGGTTCTGTCTTCTTAAGATGCAAAGTGGGGTGGGTCCTTACAAAATTATTGTTATAAATGTTTTTATTATGCATTTATCATATTATAGTGTATTCTGTATTATTGTTGCAATGAATAAAATGTTTCTTTTATTTATGATATTTTTTTCTTCAATTTATTTGTGTCCTTCTTTTCAATGTAAAAAAGTTGGTCACCTTATTACAATGTAATCCAAACTCTTCTGGATACGAGCCAAAGAGAGTTTTTCCCATTTCGATTATTTTGTTTTAGTTATAAAGCTGTTCCTTAACTTTATTTCAATTTATTTTATAATCATAACAACTCTTAGTAAACTATAAATAACAAAAGGGAAAAATTTCCTCAATCGTATATTACAGTTATTAATGATACCTTTGTGCATTCCATGGCATAAGCTTCTCTGGTAAGGTGACCAACCGTCCTCCTTTTGGGAGGACAGTCCTCCTTTTATGAGTTCTGTCCTCCCTCAAAAAATGTCCTCCTAAATGTCCTCCTTTTCCACATACCGTCCTCCTTTTGGTAGGACAGTCCTCCTTTTGTGAGTTCTGTCCTCCCTCGAAGATGTCCTCCTAAATGTCCTCTATTTCTATATTTGAAGACTTATCTGCAGGGCTTTTTTTCCCTCATAGAACGCCCAGAAGGCGTTCCGGGACCTTTTTTTGATGGTTTTTTTCAACTTTTGCCTGAGCTGTGTTACTCCCCTTATTAGCTTTCTAAAGCTGCTGAGTGCGCCAAAACCCAGGCGGCAAACTTTGCACGTGCAAGTTGCAGGAACTTTGCACCCCTTACTGCTACTCAACTACACCATCTCTTACTTAGTTCCGCAGATAGCTGGAGGAGACTGGAGCGGTAAGTTTCTCTTGATGTTCCCTGTTCAGTTCTACACGGGGATGCACAGGGTAGGCGGTGGTGCTGGGGGGTGGCTGCAGGGCCGAGCCAGCGTGTCTGGTGCTTTGCGAACCACGGGGCCGGCTCTACGGGGATGCGCAGGGTGGGCAATGGTGCTGCGGGGCGGCTGGGGGAAGAGCTGCAGGGCCGGAGCAGCTGGTGCTTTGCCTTTGCGAGCCGTGGGGCCGGCTCTATGGGGATGCACAGGGGGGGCGGTGGTGCTGGGGGGCGGCTCAGGGCCGGAGCTGGCTCGTCTGGTGCTTTGCGAGCTGCAGGGCCGGCTCTCCATGGCAGGGCAGCGGTGCTGGCGGGGCAGCTGTGGGCGGGGGTGCGGTGGGCAATTGACCTTCCATGGGCTGCGCCAGCTGGTGGTCTATGCAGTGCTGACCTGTGCTGCCACCACCTCACCCTGCGCATCTACGTGGCCATCCTGGAGCGCCTGGCTCACAACACCTGCCTCCGCCGCCCACACCCGCGCAGTCCAGCCATGTAGATTTTTGGACAAGTGAGAAATTGAGATTGAATGTTGATACTCTAGCTGCAGCACTTGCTGTAAAATTCAATATGAAGGATATTTCTTGTTCAGATATTTCCAATATATTGTTAGAAGATGATACATTGACAAAAAATATTCATTCAATGGAAAAGTACTCATTTAAATAATTAATAGGCATGTAAGCATAATTACAATATAAAATGTTATTGTTACAAATGTTTTTTATTATGCATTGATCATATTATAGTGTATTCTGTATTATTGTTGCAATAAATACAATGTTTCTTTTATTTACAATATTTTTTTCTTCAATTTATTCGTGTCCTCCTTTTTGTTGTAAAAAAGTTGGTCACCTTATTCTCTGGAGAATTTATAGCAACCCTAAAAGTTACTCTGATGCAAAGTAATATTTTCAAACAAATACACTTGAATATATTAAATAAAATACAACCCACAATTTTTTTTCAAAAAAAAATTGAAATTCTTTCTGGAAGGAATTAAAGATACAGGTTACAGTAAAGACAAAATGAAATGTTATCTGCACTCAAAGCTGATTCTGGAACCACCATTCCATTTTAGCATCATTTTGGAAATCAAATACATTTTTAAAGCTTTAGGAAAAGGCTTTGTTTTGTTTGGATATTTCATATTGCTATCAATTGTTATGAATAATATTGATTGGATCTTACTTTGGTCATCTTTAGATTAGACTAATTGATATCAGCGGGACTTATTTCCATGCTCTAATGGAGAAATGCAGTTTGTAGGAGTTGGGGTGTTTTATGAGATGATGCAAAGATTGAGTTATTCATGCAAATCCTAGTGTCATTTATTCACTTTTTCTGACAGAACAATCAAGGATAGCTAGGTACACAACCTGCATCTTGCTCAATTTTCAGTGCAACACAATGCCACATTTGATTTCAGTAGGATCTGAAATCCATGGTGCAACCAGTTCCCCACAATATGCAATCTAAGTTTGAGTTTGATGCAAGTGAGGTCAAGGATCTCTCACCCCTCTAGGCAAAACGGGCATATAAATGTAATAATAAAAATAATAAACTTTCTACTTTAGGCAATGCAACTTTCTTTGTTTTCTATCCAAGCACTAAAAACCATGGTCCTGATACAGAACTATTTGAATATTCTCCAGGGATGTTTGGAAGGGTGATTTTCTAATACGCCTAATAAAAGTATTGCTTTGAGGTGCAATTTCTGCATTGGCTAGATTCTCTCCTCCCCCCCCCCCCGCTTTATAGAAACAGTATGGTGCAAGGGTAAAAGTGGGAAAAGCTTTGTAGCCTGCCTAAGAGCCTACAACAATTCTGGACGACAAAACACTTTTTTCCATATTTTTATTTTCTCTCAATCTTTAGTTTCCGGGGCTCCAAACTAAACGGGTCTTTTCCACGGGACAGGTTCGGGTGAGCCAGGAATCCTACTCAACCCGGAACCATTCCTCAACAACCTTCGGTTCTCTATCGGACCTAGCACCGCGATGCTCTCTTTATGTTTTGACAGGCCGGCTAGGTCCCGCCCTCCCCTGACTACACGGACGCCTTCGGCGCCTTTCATTGGCTGGCGAAATTCATCCGGGCGGCTCGCGGGCGCACAGGTGGTGAGGGAAGTGGTCGTCGCGTCGGACGTCGGTCGGCCGGCCGGGAAACACTCGGTAACTATGGAAACGCGGCCTAGTGGGTGTCCCCGGGCCTTGGCTCCTGGAACCGGAGGGCGTTTTTGTTTCTCCAGACCCTGTTTTTTCGGCTAGGGAAGTCTCGAGCGGAGACCCTTCTTCGGTCCCCCCTGGTGGGTGTGTAGACGCCGCACGAAAGGGCGAGTCGCCGGGGAGGGAGAGACTCAGACGACGGCCGGGTGGGGGGCCTCTCTGGCCGGGCGGGCTTTCAGCTATGCGTAGCTCCGGCCTTGGCCGAGTGTTGGGAATTAGTGGAACCCAAGTCCAGCTACTTCTGGAGGACTCCGGATCGGGGAAGGTGCTTTGTTTTTCTCAGAAAGGGCAAAAAAGGGCTACAGCAATGGGTAGAAACGCGAAGGGGGATCATCATTGTATACTGTGTCTTATATAACACTGACAACCTTGTATATGTAGATCTTATAAAATATAGTCCTTTCTGTTACGTTATATATCATATATTTCCGTGTTTATAGTAATATGTACTTTATACTTTCATTTATATTTGATTTGGTATGGCTGCCTGCTCCAGAAGACTTTGGGCAGCTTACATAAACCACAAAAAGGGTAAAATAGTGAAAATAATTTTCCATATTCTCCTTTTATCTTTCTCTCTCTCTATATGTATACATATATGTATAAAATCACACCCACAGGTACCTAGCATTGTGTGTGTAAATATTTATACTATTATATATACTATATATGCCTATGGAATGTATAACCATGTGTAATATATTTGTAGCACAGTATAACATAAGGTATATTTTATAGTATGTGTATATGCATTTATATGTACTTTTTTTTCTTCCCTGCCTACCCACCCTGCCCTTTGGACTGAAGGAAGGCCATTGTGACTTTGCTGGAAATTAATTGCAGTGGACTTGCTCTGAAGCACTTCCTCACAGCAAATCCTTGGAATTGTGGAATTGGATGAGGATGCTTTTCTAAAGACCGTAAAATCCACACAGGATAATAGTCGGTGTGTTTGGCAGAATTCCAGCTCTTCCCTTCAATCCCTTTCCGAGACTGGAGGGAAGGCAACTGAAGACCTCCTTTGGGATGTGAACAAGACCCCCTTCTCCAATTGCCCAGCAGGTTGTGGCCATGCCTCCTGGGAAGACGGGGGAGAAAGAGGCTTTGGTCCTGCAGTGTGAATGGGAAATCTGCAGCTTTGTGGCCTCGAAGATGGAAGAGTTTTGCGAACACGTCTCACAGCACCTGCAGCAGCATCTCCAGGGCAAGGAGGAGGATAATGAGATGGATTCTCTTGGTATGGGGCAGATGGGGCAGGTTTTGGGGTGTGTGTTGCAGAATGTCATGCTGCGACACAGATAAAAAGGGGTGGGTGCCTGGTTATGGCTATCGCCCTGACTTTTGACCTCCTTGACTCTTACTTGCTTATAATATCAGCTGTGGCTCATATTATCCTCTCTGAAAATTGGCACAGTACTTCTCTGTATTTCCTTCCTCCTCCTCCTTGTTAAAAGAATTGATTGATTTCGTTAGAAAACCCATACTCCTCTAAATTACCTTTCTGGTTCAATGCCAGGCAGTCACTGTAGCATATTTGTCTTTCTTATTGCAGATAGTCCTGTAAGCCATAGGGGCTTGCCCAAAGCTGCAAGGGAGAAGTTGCAGTCCCTTCACTATCATAGTCAAGTTATGTCAGTGTAAAATTGAAGCAGGCCAAGGGTGAGAAGTGCTGTAGGCAAGGGACACGTGGAGAAGGCAGGATTAAGATAAACTGAGTTTGAAAAGGTAGTGAAAGCATGAATCGGCTAAAGAAAGGGGGGGGTGTTAGTTGAGAAAAGTCTGAGAAAGTTAATTTTCCTGGTTTCTTTTTTAATTAAAATAGCTTCTGTTTTACAAACTTCATCCAGAAATGGGGGGTGACCAAGACCAATTACTAAGTAGACATTTGTGATGTGTAGTCTGTCTCTTGCAGGTACGAGTTTTGTGCTTCCTCCATCAACTTTCTGTTTTCCCTCCCCAGAAGAATACGCTTGCCTCTGGCAAGAATGCGGCTTCTGTTCTCCTGAGAGTCCTGCAGAGCTCGTCCGCCATGTTTACTTCCACTGTTACCACACGAAACTGAAGCAGTGGGGACTGCATGCCTTACAGAGCCAGTCTGACTTGACTCCCTGCCAGCTGGACTTTCAGAGCCGAAACATCATTCCTGAAATTCAAGAGAACTTTCTCTGCCTTTGGGAATATTGTGAGGTGAGAGATGAGATGGGAAGATGAACAGTCTATCCCAGTGATACTGTGTTGAATATGTCCACCGCGCAGTGAAAAGATGCACAATTAGCTTCTAAGCTTCAGGCAGATTCTTGGCATGCTATGATGACTGCAGGATGGATTAAATAATTTTGTTTTAGACCAAACAAGTTGTATAACTTATTCAAGAGATTATGCAAACCTGTTCATTCCTCTTCATTATGCTAAAAACAATGCAGGAATGTTTTTGGAACACTCCATACCCAGTTTAAATTTGAATTTACAGGAGCATCATTCTGAAATAGGTCTAAAATAGTGTGCCCATAGAAGACACTTGGAATATTTTTTACTATTTAATAAACATAACTATATTTCTCAGAGTAATCTCTGGAAATTCCATAGCACATATGTATGACATTCCTAAACCTAGGCTCCCTTTATATTCACTTTGGAAATTGACATCTGGAACTATAGCTGCTCTGTTTGTCTCTTTGATCATTCCAAAGAAAGTTGGTACGCAATTTTACATTTTTCTGGAGGTTTCAACCAGAGCTCCAGAATGGGAGAAAAATGCTGTGTGTGAGAGGCAAACAAAAAAATGCTGAATGCGTTGACAAGCTCTCACAAAAAATTTAGTGAATGGAGCCATTTGAGGAGGACGCAGATTATTGTTAGCCAACTATTAAAAATTAAGTCTCTCCGGATGGGGTGGAGCTTATGTAAACTTCCATGTGTATGCAGAGCTACTGAATGAGTCCTGGATGGGATTTATTAAGCTTTTAGAAAGTGTAATATTGATTTATGGGAATAACATCCTTTAACGGATTTATTTATTTGCTGATTGACTGAGTGTATGCTCAGAATATATCCTTCCTTTTCTTGTCTCCCCATCAGCGAGCTTTTGATAATCCTGAATGGTTCTATAGGCACGTGGAAGATCATAGTTTCTGCGCAGAATACAAGGCAATAGGGAAGGAGAACCACATGGTCTTCTGTGGGTGGAAAGGTAGGGGTTGATCTTGCCTTGGGACCTTTGCTGGCTGATCTGTGTTTAACTGCTTAAACTTTTCCTGTTGTTTTGAGGCAAAATTAAACCAGAAAAACATTCTTATATAAGACACTATAGAATAATACTCATAGATACAGGTAATTGTCAACATATTTAATGTCCGTTTGAAGTTACAACAGCACTGAAAAAAAATTACTTACAACTGGTCCCACACTTACGTCCATTGCACCGTCCTCACAGTAACATGATCAAACACCTTCCTTAGCCATTGGAAATTCTCTTCTCAATAGTAGGCACAAGTTGAAGACTACCTGTATACAACATTGCCTTTTAAAAGGCACTTTTTAATACAATCTTTAAATACTATTCCTATGATTCACGCATTTTATCCTCTTTGTTTTCCCCAGTAGGAGGAAAATGTTATTTACCTCAGTGCAAACAAATATACCAGAACATTTCATCTTGTGGCTGTTAGACACTTTATGAGAGGAGGATTATCCTCCCAGTTTTCATGTAGATAAAAATGAAACAGCTCCTCAAAATCCATAAAAAAGCTAATATAGAATCCCAGGGTTTCTAACGGAATCGTCCCCGCCAAGCTCAAAGCAATAAGCCAAAACATTCCAGGCAGGAACACCAGCTTTGTGCCAGCTTGGAACACACAGGCATTGTCTTTTGTTCCAGAGTGTGACTGTACCTTCAAAGGGCGATGTAAGCTGCGGGAACATCTGCGCAGCCACACCCAGGAGAAGGTGGTGGCTTGTCCCACTTGTGGTGGCATGTTCTCCAACAACACCAAGTTCTTTGATCACATCCGTCGACAGACGGCTTTAGAACGTGAGTACCTGAGCCCATCATCATGTTTAGCCCGGAACTGTACAAGTGGTCAGGCTTGCTAGCCAATGTGAGTTTTGGACTGATTAGGATTTGAGTTATAAACCCTAGAAGGGAGTGTTTGTTTGGAAGAGAGGAAATTGTGGGGTCCTTGGTGCTCGCTGAGCTTGGCTGTTTTCTTGCAGACGTTTCATTACCCTACTAGGTTACACCATCAGTTTAAAAGGGAGGAGGGTTTGCTCTCTGTTTATTTACAAGTGGCTTGCTGTTGGAATATTCATGAGCAGGAAGAGTCATGTGGTAGTCAGCCAATGTGAAGAAAGTGCTACTGAGTCTGTGCAAAAGAGTATTGAGTGAGGAGCTGGATTTCCAGTCTCAGGTTTGTCTCTGGTCTGTCTCTGTAAGAAGTCTTCATTAAGATATGTTGCCGTAAAGAATAATGGTATTGTAAATATTTTTATATAAATATAAAGTTATTTGAATCAGCTAAATGCAGTCAACTGTGAGAGCTTCTGATTTATTTTTCACCAATAGAGAAATGAAAATTCTCTAACACTTGCCCTATCAGTGTTGGTGGGAGTGTGGTTTTCTCCTTGGTAGTTCCTTGATTGGCCTGTTGTTTTCTGCCTGATTGTTGGTCTGGCATTAATCTTAGTATTATTCTCTGCTCATCTGGGCATTGACTACTGGTGAGGAGGTGGTTAGGTATTTTTGTTTGCTTTTTTTAGATTTTTGATTGTCTCTTTTAAATGGTATGTGGATGTTGTTTATCTCTGTGGGCCTGTGGATGGCTAATTTGTCTGAATGCCCTGCTTCCAGGAATTCTCCAGCATTTTTGGATTTGCTTGGTATGGATGTTCTTTCCTAGTTCAAGCTATGATGAAGTCTCTCCATGTGTTGTGACAAGTTGTCGATAAAGATTCTCTCTAAATGAGATGTGTCCTGTTTTTTCTGCCTCTGCTCACAGAACAGCGATTCCAATGTTCTCACTGCTCTAAAAGGTTTGCCACAGAGAGATTGTTGAGGGATCATATGAGGAACCACGGTAAGAGGTGATGAGGAAGCTTCCCCCCCCTCCTTTTCTCTCCTCTTGGTGAACTTTCCCTTCAGGAATGACCTCCTTTATATGTGTGTGTGTCTGTTTTCCTGAGCAGTCAACCACTACAAGTGCCCTCTTTGTGACATGACTTGCCCTCTGCCCTCCTCACTACGCAACCACATCCGCTTCAGGCACAGCGAGGAACGGCCTTACAAGTGCAACTATTGTGACCATAGGTAAGCCCAGAGACCAGGTGGGAGATGGCCCTGGGCCAGGTCCTGGGAAGGAGAATGTTCTCTGTAGCCAAACTCTTCTGCTGTTTCTTTGCCTCTGAAATAGATGGGTTAGCAGCTGCCTTAAGAGTTTACAAATTGTGGTGACTTGATTGTAACTGGTGCCTAGCTCCAAATTATAAAATTACCATTGCTTTATAAAGTCTCTCTTTTGCTGGCCAGTGAAATGTGGAATTTTTGGGCAAACCACCAGTTTAATTCAAAGGGTATTTGGATTAAATGGCTATAGTTCCTAGAACTATTTCTTTTTAGATCCGTGGTGGCCTTTTTATCAAGGCCTTGCTCAGGGTGATATATATTACAGTTATAAAATCAATATATATGAAATGAAACACCACTGTTTCTCAGCCTTGGCAACTTTAAGAAGTTGCCAGAATTCCCCCAGGCAGTGTGGCTGATCGGACTACCTATAGAATTCGGCAGAATAGGTAGCATTATGATGAGGGTAGCTGTTGGACTGTTGTCCACTCAGAGGCTCCCTGAGGGTTTGTAGAGGATTTGTCATATAAAATGCATCATGATAGGAAGAGCAACTGTGGTCTGTTTTTGGTAATAGCCAGAATGTTATGGTGAAGAACACAGAGGGAGCGTGTATTTTATGACTTCTGATTGCTGCCATTTTACATGCAGCAGTATTGTACTGTTTGTGCCAGGATTTAAAATCTTGTCTTTGCATGATCCGTCCAGCTGTAAGAATCTGATTGATCTACGGAAGCACTTGGACACCCATAGCAAAGAGCCAGCCTACCGCTGTGAATTTGAAGCCTGCGACTTCAGTGCCCGATCTCTCTGCTCCATCAAACTGCACTACAAGAAGGTTCATGAGGTGAGAAGGAAGCAGACGGGAGCCCAAGAGTCTGGGGTGGTGTCTGATTTTAAGGAAAAAAGCAGGGCAGCAATTACGGAAGCTTTGCAGAAGGACTCTGAGATATAGCTTTGGCTAGAAAATTAGAAGCCGAAGCAGCAACTGTTTACTTTCCCAACGAAAAAGCAAACTTACATCTGCTAATTGGTGTGAATCACCTCCATGCAAGTATCTCTTTCACAGAGTTCCCAAAAATTTTCGTGCTTCTGGGAGTTCTGAGTTCCTCCAGCACTCAATTTTTTAAAATTATTATTATTGTTGTTTTTGTTGTTGTTTGCACAGCCAGCCCAATCAGGCACTTACTGAGTCCTCCCCAAGCACGTGGGATAAGCAGATGTTGCTGTTTAATCACCTTAAAGGCGTCATGTTATTATTACCATTATTATTTTCATACTTACAAATCCGATTTATTGTTAGAGAATCTACTGACGTGCTTTACAAACAGAACAGCAAAAACTGGATTCCTTCAAGTTGTGGAATTTTATGCGTAGGTGGAGAAAATCCCCATCTAACCATTCCTTTCTCTCTATGTACATTCTCAGGGCGATTCAGAGCCCAGGTATAAGTGCCACGTCTGCGACAAATGTTTCACACGAGGGAACAACCTTACGGTCCACCTCAGGAAGAAACACCAGTTCAAATGGCCTTCAGGTCATCCTCGTTTCAGGTACACAACGATAGGGTGGGGCTGAAATGCTCTGTGTGGTTATGAAGCCTGGGCATGAAATCAAAGTTACGTTTCAGAAGAGCATTCAGTTTACAGGGAGAAACTGACCTTTCTTGTTGTTAAGCTGCTAGCAGAAGACATCTTTGCACTAAGGCCTTCTGCAGATCAGTTTCACTTTCTCAAAAGTCCTCACTTCAGCCCCTCTCCTCAAAAGGAGAAGAGGAGATTGCATAGTCTTCTCATCATATTCCTCCAAAAAATTAAGTAAACTTCAGGACAGCTGGAGGTTTAGCCCAAGTCTTGACTGGTTTGCATATCATTAACAGGACAAGCCAGGATATTTTTTGGAGAAACATTGTTTGTCTGAACATCCCTAAAGCAAATTGTGCTGTCCTCAAATCACCATCAGGATTACAAATGAAAATGGTTGTGGTTGATTAAATCCAGGAGGTTTGGATAGGCCGGCTAATTCTGATGTGTGTTGGATTTAATTATCTTATTATCTCTTGGAGGCTTGTCTCTGAGCCAGAGGTGTCCAAGGGAAGCTGGAGTGATTTGTGGCACATTCCCAATGAGGGAGGTTTGAACATTTGTGACTCTTCTTCCACGTTGTGGCGAAGAAGAGGGATCTAGAAGTATAGTCTGCAGCAATTGGAAGAAGAGTGTGTAAGAAGAGAGCTGGCACCCTTTCTGGGATCCTCTAGCATAGGGGTAGGCAACCTTGGCTCTTTTACGACTTGTGGACTTCAACTCCCAGAATTCTTGAGCCAGCCATGCTGAGGGGAAAGGGAGAGGTTTTCAAACTGAGCCATGCTGGCTCAGGAATTCTGGGAGTTGAAGTCCACGAGTCATAAAAGAGCCAAGGTTGCCTACCCCTGCTCTACAAGGATTAGATGAGGCTGCTGGTATTGTTTATCTTTTCTCTTTCACCATCGTTGACCCCTTTCATGCTTTTTTTTTTAATCAATGCCAGGCAAGTTGGAGAAAAATGTAGATTCGTTCTCACCTTGTGCTAAGTTTTCTGGACAAAGCAAGTGTTTGCTGAAAAAGTGGCATAACAGCCATTTCTAGCAGCTTTGAATATGTGTCTGTGTGTTCATCAGCTTTTCATAATCGACGGCGCTGGGACGCCAACAGCTAGCCGCCACCAGGCTGGCACGGTTCCCTGCTAACCGCAGCCTCTGCAACCCCACCTAGGTACAAAGAACATGAGGATGGGTACATGCGCCTTCAGCTGGTGCGGTATGAAAGCGTGGAACTGACTGAGCAGCTGCTGAAGGACCGGGAGAAGCAGGGAGAATCGCTGGATGACGCGGCCCAGTGCGTGGTGCTGGCAGGGTCGGAAGGCGGCTTACAGGGCATCATCTTGGACTCGCCGACGGAGGAGCCGGTGGAGACAGATTTGACAGCTGCTCTGCCAACGGAGAACTCTGCTCCCCCGTGTGCCAGCGAGTCTCCGGACGGTGATCCGAGTGCCCCTTCCAGCCCAATCATCCGGGTGGTGAACAGGACCAACGAGCACGGAGAGAGCGAAACGGTGTACTACGTGATGGCTAATGCCCCTTCCGAGAGCCGGGCAGTTGTGCCTAGTGGACTTGTTCCAGAGCCAGAAGAGAATGTCATGGACAGACTGCAGAAGACCGCCGAGGAACTGGGCATCCAGATTCTCTGAGGGACCCTTTCCTCTGCAGCACCCCGGGATCTTCCCCCACCACCAGCCTGGTGGACCTTCCGAATTTGCCAGTGCTTTGCTCGGGCTCTTTGCCAAAATGGGCTTTCTTGAATAGAGGTGAGAGCAGGACGAAAGGCTTCACACAGATAAATACACAAACACACGTGCCCTCCCCCCAAAGCCCTTTGTTGGCTCCCTTCAACCTGGGATCTGGTTGTATGCCTCTTGGTGTAAGGGGTAATCTGGTAAGGGAAGCCAGCTTTAAGGCAGTTCCTGTGGAAAGGGACTGACTTAAGATGGAAACGGTGGCTGGGTCAGACCTGTGCTTCAGCGCCTCCTGACCTCACGACGTCTACCTGGCCTTATTTGAAAAGCTGGTCATTCCAAGAAGCTAACTTTCATACCTTGGAAGTCTCGTTCTTGGATCTCACTCCTGGTCAGCCCGACTCCTAACCTATCAGTCTCTGTCTCTGCAGTTGGTTTGCCATCCCCACATTCTTTGTAGCAGCAGAGTCCCACTCGCAAGCCCGCCCTCCTCAGTCTTCCTCCGGAGTAGGGTCCAGCACCAGGGCATCCCTGGGTGACTCGGGGCCCTTCTCTTGTCGCTGCCCCCCTATTCCCAGGGGGTTGATCAGCCCTTTGTTCTTATCATTTGCTCCATAATCCACTGCTGCTTGCCTTCTTGGCAAAAATCCTTCTTTTTTTTTTGGTCTTCGGAGCAGGGAATTCATGAAATCCTGGTTTTCTTCCCACAGTCGTCACAGAACAAGAGGCTGTGTTGCAATCCCTCCCACATCATGAGGAAGGAGAGAGGAAAAAAGGGAGATAATTCTTGCCCGGGGGGGAGGTGTCTCCCATGTTGGAGTTCCAGCTCCTGGCATCTAAGGTTTATGTAACATTGGCGTTCAGAAATAAAGCCACAACAACAAAACCAAGTCTTGTGTCAGATACAGTCTTCCTTGTACAGGTAGCCCTCAACAACAGTTTGATTTAGCGACCAAACACTGAAAAAAGTGACTTATGACTGTTTTGCACATCAGTGGCCGTTGCAGCGTCCACCTTGTCACGTGATCGAAATTCGGAACCTGGGCAACTGACTCCTATTTATGACGGTGGCTGGGTCCCGGGGTCACGTGATCCCCTTTGGCCACCTCTTGGGAAGCAAAGTCCACGGGGAAGCCAGCTTCCCTTAACAATTGTGTGACTAGCTTAACAGCTGCAGTCAGCAACTGTGGGCGAGAAAAGTTGCAAAATGGAGCAAAATCCACTTAACAAATGTCTCACTTAACAGCAGAAATTTTGAGCTCAATTGTAGTTGTAAGTCCACGACTACTTATAACCTCCAGTTTCCTCCGCCCATCCCAGACTTCGGCATGGGATGGGCGGAGGAGAGCAGCATCCAAATAGAATTTATTTTGGGGAAAACCTCGGAAGTCAGTTTGGATTGAGGCCCAGGCTGAGAAGCAGGAACGCATCGGAGCTGGCAAAGAGCTGACTGGTCAGAGATGGATGGAAAAGGAAGCTGGATACCTGAACTCTGAGGAACTTCACTTTATAATGGGGGGGGGGCTTGTTAGCTTCCTTCTCCTCCGGGACAGGTAATGTAGTGATTCTTGAGCCCCCGGGCTCCCAGCCAGCACATCAGCAATAAAATCCTTGCCTCCCTAATGGCCTTAAAAGTCAGCATGGCTGCTTGCCGCCACACTGATGCCCCCCATCTTTTTTGCTGGAGGGGTCCCAGGTGCTTCCTGAGCTTGTTTTCTTGCAGGCAGTTCGTTACCCAAACTAGGGTAACCTCGTCAGGGCCACCTATCTCACAGCCCGGATTCTCACTCCTGAGATGGCTTACGCCAAAATCCTTAACCGCTTTCTGGGATTCAAATTCTTGCCTGAAAAGTGTGTCCTATTGGCCAAAGCCTGTTGCAAAACCCACAGCTTTTGGACTCGCAGCAGCTCTTTTCTCTAAACCTGGGAGCTGCCTAGAGAACTGCCTTCGTCTGTGGAGATCTATAACTCAGGATGCTTCTTCTTCGTCAGTGTCAGCCCTCTGAGGTAGGCAACGGAGGGGATGGGGTTTTCCGCAATGCCTCTTGATTGGTGCCAGGCCTTGGAATAATATTGTCAGAATCCAATTATATTTCATCTGTAGTTATCAAATATAGAAAACCCCAATTCTGCCTTCTCTGGATTCTGCCATAAGAGGGAGAGAAGGGGGAGAACAAAGGGGCTTTATGGCCCTCACTTCCTTCAGTAGACTTCTAAGGAACTGAATGTGTGTATTGCAAAAGAACTAACCATAAGAATGGGGCCGTTTCCTTTCATGTAGTTTCTTTGAAGTCTCCATCCAGCCGGGCAGTAAGAAAAAGGGGGTGGGAGTGTAATGCCTGAGACTGTCGCTGGAAGAAGGGGGTGATTGGGTGGGGCTACTGGGAAACCCTTAAAACCTTGAATGGGAGAGCTTGGACCCCAAGTCCTGTCTAGAACGCCTGCAACCATTTTCTCTTAATAAAGGATTCCTGTTGGAAGAATCATTCCAAGAGTTCTGTCTTCTTAAGATGCAAAGTGGGGTGGGTCCTTACAAATATCTCGAAAGCCCTTCCTGCCTCCTTTCTGCCCCCCTTTTAAGGGCAATCAAGCTAGGTGGGGCTCTCCTGTGTCTCTCACTCTTTCGCCTTTCCGAGGGGCAAGTGGCTGGTCGCCCTGCCTTTCTTTACCTAGCCCTGAGCCACAGCCCTTTGCACCAGCTTCATTCAATCTCCGCAGACCCCTTCCCCAATGCTCCAATTGCTCCAAGAGTTAATCCGGTTCGCTTAATCGGGGCACAGGGGGCCTATGTGATGAAGGACGGCTTGCTACTGCAGGGCGTGGCCCTCCAGTCAAAATCTTGGGTGCAAGCACAGCCTGTTCAAAGTACATAAAGCTGGCTTGGGACCAACTGGGACGGGGCTTGGAGTGCGATCCAAGCCAAGGTGGTTTTGTAATGCGTGATTTACTATCTTGCCTCCGTTGACCTAAATCCTGTTTTTTCAGCAGCCGAAAATTATTGGTTTATTCCCTTCAGAAGAAAGTCAAGAAAAAGGTGGGGGGGAATATAAACTAAACTAAACCAAACACAAAGGTTATGATGGAAATGCATGCGTTGCCAAAGAAAAGGGAGAGGGGGGAAGCATTTAGTGCAGTGGTGGTGAACCTATGACACAGGTGCCAGAGAGGGCACTCAGAACCCTCTCTGTGGGCACACGTGCTGTTGCCCTAGTCCTAGGCCTTCAGCTGGGTTTTATAAAACCTTTTCCTTTAGGCCTCTGCCGCCATGGAGGTGGCGCAGCAGTTAGAGTGCAGTACTGCAGGCCACTTTAGCTGACGGTGTTCAGCAGGTCAGCAGTTCAAATCTCACCGGCTCAAGGTTGACTCAGCCTTCCATCCTTCCGAGGTAGGTAAAATGAGGACCCAGATTGTTGGGGGCAATGTAAAATATATATATACATTGCTTACTGGTGTATACCGCTTAGAGAGTGCTTGCACTTAAAGCGGTATATAAGTCTCATAAATAAATAAATAAATGTGCAAAAAAAAAAAGGTTCAATCAGTCAATTTCAACTTCTTGCAGGAAAAAAAAGATCCGGCAAAGTTGGAATTGATTGACTGAACTTTTTAGTCCCACCCAGTCTGCCGTTACCACTGCAGCCACGCCCAGCCAATGGGCCACGCCCAGCCAATGGGCCACACCCAGCCAATGGGCCACACTCACCCGGCACTCGACGATGCATAAGTGGGTTTGGGGTTGCAGTTTGAGCACTCGGTCTCTAAAAGGTTCGCCATCGCTGATTTAGTGCTTTTTTAAAAAATACAAGTTCACTTTTCACTTTCAGCAAGCCTTAACTTAATCCAGAGCAGAGCACCCTATGTTTGCTCAGCCTTTTCCGTTGCTTGCTGAAGTGACGGGATCAACTCCTGGAGTTCCTTGGAAGAGCGTTTTAAAATGGATCATGGCGAAACCATCTCTTTTGGCCAAGGAGTGCTATTCTGGTCCCAGAAATCCCACCAGTGGCCACGAGAGGACACAGCAAGCAGGTTTAAACAGCCAGAGCTTCCTGGCATCTGTTCCTCCCGTTTCCCTCCAACTCCATCCCTCTCTACTCTCTCTCTTCTCTCTCTCTCTCTCTCTTTCCCTTCTTCCTTGACATCTTCTTTTTTCCTCCCAAGCCCTCCTTCCAGGACTTGCAGGCAGCCTGTCTTTTTCAGCACCAGTCCCTGTCCATCGGAATCTGGATTCCGCTTTGCAAAGGCTCAAAGAGGTCCTGGTAGCAAGCGGAGGGAGCAGCTCCAGTTTGGCTGGGGTGGTCAAAAGAGTCAAAGTGGGGATTGCGACAGCCCAGTGGAAGCCCTGCTTGTCTTCTGGGTGTCCCAACAGCTCTCCAGTCGGGCTGCTCCATCCTGGCCTTGGCTCTCCTTCACCCTAATCTCTTCAAGCCCCCACCCCCCTCCCTTGGGAAACACCTGGATTAAAACAAGACCAGGATCAAAAGCCTGTTTCTACTGGCACCGGCTGCTCTCTGGGGCAATCTGGCGGGGCTCCAGCCCCATTGAACGGAGTGATAACATAATTATAGGGTGTCAAGATAGGACTGGTGATCCACATTGGCATGCGAAACGGGCCTAATCAGGTGATCATACCTTCATGAATGACTGTATGACACAGTTCCAGCCAGGAGAAGGTAGGCATGACTCATTTCCCCCCCCCAACACCCCCCCCCCGCCCGGGGCTTTGGAAATTCAGGACCCCCGCCCCCTATAAGACCCCCAAACGCCCCCTTGGGCTTGGATAACCAAGCATCCCTCCACGCTCAGTAAGCAGAGGGGGAACCAAGGCACGGGGGTCTTTCTTCGGAACTAGGAACTCGCGGGTGTTTCCTTGGTGGGCTCCCTGCAGCAGGAGCCCCCTCTTTCTCCGGGAGAGCGAGGGGAGGGTCTTTTCCTGGCCGGCGATTGCAGCTGGAGCGCCCCCTCCCCCTCCTCCGCCCTCCCCGCCCTCCAGAGCAGCATCAGCAGCATCCACGGACCCTTTAACAGCAGAGCCCGGGATTTCCGACCGGGAAGCGCAGCCCGGCCCAACCCTTTCGAGCTGCTGCTGCCGCCGGCGGACCGGGAGCTGCCGGAGGAAGGAGCCCGGGCAGGGGTGGCCGCGAGCGGGGCCGTGCAGGCGGGGGGCTCTCCTCGCCCCTCCCCGCCTGTTCCAGGCCGGCGCCCTGGGCGATGGGGACGGGGGAAGCGGCGGCCGGCTGCAAGAGCTGAGTCCGCCTCCCTCCCCCAGCTCGGGGGTCGCTGGTCCCCGCAGGAGGGAAGCCGCTGCTTGGCCTCGCCCGCCCGCAGCCGCCCCCCCGGCGCCCCCTCCCTCCCCCTGCTGATGCCGATGCCTGCGGAGGGGAGCTAGAGGTCGGCTGCAAGGAGAGCGGCGGCAAGGACCCCCCTCCCAGCCAGGGGGCGAGCAGCGGGGAAGGGGCGGACGGCAGAGGTGAGCTCTACCCCCCCCCTCTCAGCAGAGGGACCTGGCTGACCAGGGCCGGAGGGGAGTCCTGCGGAACCCCCCCCCCACTCGCCCGGGAATGGGGTGGGGAAGGGAGAGGGAGGGAGGGCGCCCCACGGGGAGGGGTCCGCAAACTTTTGGGCACCCTTCCCCTCCGCGGTGGCCCGGGGCCGTCTGCGCTATTTGCGGGCAGGGTCTCGCCTGGCTGGGCAAAGGGAGGGATCCCAGCCCACGGGGGGGGGCGGGCGGCTCAGAGAAGGGTAGGAGGTCTTGGAGAGCGGGGCATGGCAAGTTGCTCCAATTGCTCCGGTGCCCCCTTTTCCCAGAGGTCCAGGCCTAGCAGGGGGCAGAAAGGTGGGGGTGGGCGTCTGTCTAATTGGAGCAGGTTTGACATCTTCAGGAATTCCTCTGCTTTGTTTTCAAGGAAGCCATCTTTTAAATCTCTCTCTCTCACTCTCTCTCTCTCTCTCTCTCTCTCTCTCTCTCTCTCTCACTCTCTCTCTCTCTCTCTCTCTCTCTCTCGCTCTCTCTCATCTATCTATCTATCTATCTATCTATCTATCTATCTATCTATCTATCTATCTATCTATCTATCTATCTATCTATCTATCTATCTCCCTCTCTCTGTCTGTCTGTTTATCCATCCTTCCATCCATCTATATCTAATCTAGTCTTGCCCCTTCCAGCACCTTTGAGGGGGTCCCTCTCAGGTGTGTGTGTGTGGGGGGGTTCAAATTGTTCAGCCTTATGGAAATCCAGGGGTCTCTTGTCATGTTTGGGTATGCTTAAACCCCTCCACTCACCACCACCACCCCCTTGGCGTGGCTGGGTTCTGGTCCTTGTTAAACCACAGAATATCAGGCTGCAAATATTCGAAAGGTTGGGGGGGATGGGGGGGATTGAAGATAGCCATTCTTGGAGGGGCAGGGAGGGAGGGGGGAGGGACAGAGAGAGAAAGAGAGAGGGAAGGGGGGGATTAGTAAGTAACTCCCAGACTGCGATCCTGGAGCAATCTGGGCTCCGACTGCAAATCAGCCATAGGTTTTACAGCAGCATTTATTGACTAGCCAGGAATCAAAGCATTTCTGAAAGAGGATCACGTGTGGTTTGGAAATGGGGTGGGGAGGGGCCTTTCAGAGATGCCTTCCATCTAGGGGACCCCAGTTCTCTCCCAAGGAATGCCCTGGCTAAGAGAAGGTGTCTCTTGGGGTGTGATGGGTGGGGAGAGAAAGGATCTCTCCGAAAGGCAAATCTGGAGGTTATGAAAAGAGATCCTGTGATGAAATAAATCGGCTGAGATTCGGCATTTCAGCTCAAGGAAGGCAAGAATCTGCTCAGATCCCCGGCAGAGAAGCCCTTGGCCCAGGTAGCCCCCGGAGCCGCAATTCCAGCCAGGCTTTGCAGGGGAGGGAAGGAGCAGAGCCTGCGCAGAAGGACATTTCCTGCGCTCTCCTCTCTCCCGCTTTGGGCAAGCTCTGGGTCAGAGATCTATCAGCCTTCCTTCCTTCCTTCCTTCCTTCCTTCCTTCCTTCCTTCCTTCCTTCCTTCCTTCCTTCCTTCCTTCCTTCCTTCCTTCCTTCCTTCCCTGTGCTAGCCCTCTCAAGGCTCTGGGTCAGAGATCTATCAGCCTTCCTTCCTTCCTTCCTTCCTTCCTTCCTTCCTTCCTTCCTCCCTCCCTCCCTCCCTCCCTCCCTCCTTCCTTCCTTCCTTCCCTGTGCTAGCCCTCTCAAGGCTCTGGGTCAGAGATCTATCAGCCTTCCTTTCCTTCCTTCCTTCCTTCCTTCCTTCCTTCCTTCCTTCCTTCCTTCCTTCCTCCTTCCTTCCTTCCTCCTTCCTTCCTCCTTCCTTCCTTCCTTCCTCCTCCCTCCCACCCACCCTCTTTCCTTCCTTCCTTCCTTCCTTCCTTCCTTCCTTCCTTCCTTCCTTCCTTCCTTCCTTCCTTCCTTCCTTCCCTGTGCTAGCCCTCTCAAGCTGGGACCTTTAGATTACAATATCCACCATCCCCAGCCTGGAGGTACTGGTTTGATGGTCATTGTAATCCAACATTTTGGAGGCGGAAAGTGTCTTGATGATGGACTCACTTGGGGGGAGAGTATCTCCACTCCACCCACGGAGGGGGGGGCAGATGGGGGGAATCAGCAGCGAGGGGGTGTCTACCAGTGTGATCCGCTGCACACCTTTGGCAATTCAAGTTCTTCTCCAGCTTTGCTGAGGTTCTGCAGCTTAAAATAGGGCAGGATGGAAGCCAATTTCTCTCTGAGGTGTATGAAAGGTTTCTCTTAGCCCCCCCCAAGCTGAATGGCACCCCCCCCAGCTCATACTCCTCCCCTCCAGTCTATCTAATCAGACTCCCTTTGTGGGAGATCGTCCCTCTAGGGCCCTTCCTCCCCCCCCCTTTGTCTTGCATTTGAATGCAGCCATTAGTTTTTGCCTTGAGTTTAATCCTCCATCCAGATTTGGCTGACATCCCTGTTTAAGCATTTGCTTTGAAACATTTTCCTTGTCTCCATGTATGTATATCCTAGGAAAAAATCAGAGGAGTGGGTGGAGAAAAGGGCTTGCATCTCTTCTTTCCTGGGGGCTAGGCTCATTTGCAACCTGGAGCCCCCCAAAATTGGTTCAGCTCCCCTAGCAACTTTTAATGCAAAGTGGGTGTCCCTGGAACCTGGTGACATTTTCTCCAGTCCCTCTCAGATGAAAAGAGGAAGGTCCTTCTGATATCCCAGCTCTAACGTGTTGCACCTCATCGGGTTAGCTTGGAATCAGGACTTCCCTAAAGATAAACCAGTGGGGTTTTTTGGGGGGGGGGTGTTTTGGCAAAGGGCAATGAAAGAAATCACTATTCTTCTGCCAGCTGTTTCCTTCCCTGCCAACTAATCAGGAGCCTCTCCAAGCATGCTCACGGTGGACTTCAACTCCCAGAATTCCCCAGCCAGCACAGCCATTCCCCAACTGGCTGGGGAATTCTGGGAGTTCTTAAAGTTGCCAAGGTTGGACACCCCTGCCGTAAATGGTAGTGCTTCACCTTCCATCTTTGAAATGAGAAAGTGGAAGGAAGATGATGAACATACCCTTTTCAGGGGACCTCTATGCTGTACGTAGAATGGAACGGAATGGAATGGAATGGAACAGAGTGAATGGAATAGAATAGAATAGAATAGAATAGAATAGAATAGAATAGAATAGAATAGAATAGAATAGAATAACAAAGTTGGAAGGAATCAGCTCTGATTCCTGTCCCACAACCTCTTTTAACATAGGAGCAGTTGGGGCACATTATTAGTGATTAATGGGATGTGGATCACTTCTTAGAACAAGACCTGATGTACATACAAGGTGCACATATGCAATTATCCAGAAGAATAAATACGTCTCTGCTGGAATCAAGAATTATGGTTGTTTTGTTCAGTCTCACTTCTTTGGAATCTAGATTAAATCTATTTAAACAATTAAAGCTATTTTTCTTGTTAAAAAAAAAAGACTTGACTGCAATCTATAGACAAAGGAAACGTGTGGTAGCGTAGCTACTGCCCAGGAAGTGGTTTGTTTATTTATTTATGAGACATATACTGTTTTAAGTGCAAGCACTCTCTAAGCGGTGTACACCAGTAAGCAATGTATATGTATATTTTTGGTTCTCTAAAATTGGGGTGCCTTTCCCTTGCTAAAATGTTATTTGCAATTTATTTATCTATTTGTACTTTGATGTGTTAGATTCACCTATCCACCAGGATTTAAACCACTGATGGTTTCAAAGTCCATACTTGCCTGACTACACATACATAGAAACTCTCTTTTTATGACCTTGTACTCCCTATTCAGGGTAGAGTTGGAGGTGACTAGATGGAGCTGCGCATTTACTGGCCAGATGCCCTTCCTGGCGCCACACGGAGTTCACAGTAGATATTTTTTCTTTGTGTCCTAGGAAACAAACTCCTGCCACTTCCTAGGATTAAACTCTCAACCTTCTGAATGAGAGGCGAGCGCCTTCACCACTAGGCCACCAGGCTGCTTATGACCACAAATGCATAAATCTCTCCCAAACTGAGGGTCTCTTGCCCAAGGTGGCCCCACCCGCCGTGGTGGATGGACTTGGCCATTCACAGCCTTAGGGAGCACCTGAAGAGCAGAAGACTCACCTCTGTCTCCTTTGCCTTCTCAACAGAGGAGCAGTTATGGCGGAGAAGAGCCTTGATCCCACCTGTGTGTCCATCTCCCTGGAGGACTCTGTCTGCAATGCTGGATCTCAGGACGGCTCCTTCCTGACCACTCACCTGAAAAAGGTGGAGAACCACATCACAGATGCGCAGAGATTCTCCCATTTGCCCAAGCGGTCAGCTGTGGACCTTGACTTCATTGACCTGTCGTATTCGGTCCGGGAAGGTTCCTGGTGGCGAAAAAGAGGTAGGACAGCAGCCTTTTGGAGGCAGACGTTAGAATAGAATAGAGCTGGAAGGGACCTTGGAGGTCTTCTAGTCTAGCCTCCTTCTCAAGCAGGAGAACCTATACCCGTGGTGGCGAACCTATGGCACGCGTGCCACAAGTGGCACGCAGAGCCCTCTCTGTGGGCACACGCGCCATCGCCTCAGTCCTACGCCTTCCGCTGGGTTTTATAAAACCTTTTCGCTTTAGGCCTCTGCCGCTGTGTGGAAAAAAAAAACAACCCAAAACGGTTCAATCAATCAATTTCAACCTTGCGGGAAAAAAAAAAGATCTTGCAAAGTTGGAATTGATTGATTGAACTTTTTAATCCCACCCAGTCTGCTGTTGCCACTGCAGCCACACCCACCTAATGGGCCACACCCAGTCAATGGGCCACATCCACCCGGCACTCGACAGTGCATAAATGGGTTTTGGGTTTCAGTTTGGGCACTCAGTCTCTAAAAGATTCGCCATCACTGACCTATACCGTCTCAGACAAGTGGCTGTCCAGTCTCTTCTTAAAAATCTCCAGTGATGGAGTGCCCATGATTTTTGGGAGTAAGCTGTTCCACTGGTTGATTGTCCTCACTGTCAGGAAGCTTCTCCTTAATTCCAGGTTGCTTCTCTCTTTGATCAGTTTCCAACCATTGTTTCTCGTCCTTCCACCTGGTGCTTTGGTGAACAACCTGGCCCCCTCTGCCTTGTGGCAGCCCCTCAGATACTGGAACACTGCTATCATGTCTCCCCTGTTTCTTCTTTTCTTTGGACTAGCCAAACCCAAGTCCTGCAGCCTTTCTTCATATGTTTTAATCTCCAGACCTTGGATTATCTTCGTTGCTCTTCTCTGATTTTTTTCCAAACTCTCAACATCTTTTTTGTGATATGGTGACCAAAATTGGCTGCAGTATTCCAGGGGTGGTCTTACTAGGGTTTTTATAATGCGTAATCTTGATTCTATGCCTCTGTTCATACAACCCAGGATTGTGTTAGCTTTTTTTGGCTGCTGCTACCCACGGCTGGCTCATGGTCAAGTGATCGTTCACTCGGACTCCAAGGTCCCTTAATCCTTGCAGGGGCCAATCGAGGTTGCAGGATCTTTCTTCCCTGAGCTTTGATCTCTGTAGGCATCTCTGAATGGGAAAGAGAAAGCAAAGAGGCTCTTGGCCCCAGCATAGGGCTCTCAGTGAACGGCCATCGTACAGGCCATCATTTCAGTCATAAGTTGTGACAGTCATAAAATGAGTCATCATGGGACTGCATGAGGTGGCCATTAAGTGAACCCAAAGTTCGCTAGGGGATGGTTTTTGCCAGAAACCGGAAGTGTACGCCAATTTCCAGCCAAAAAAAAAAAAAAAGTGAATCGTGCTCACGGGACCTTGGGGCACTACAAATGGCCACAAATTCAGACTGGTTGCCAGGCACCCAAAATGGTGGTCATCTGGCCATAGGGTGGGGTGTGGGGAGGCAGGAGGACATTGGAACTTTGAAACCGTGAGTCCCATTTTTGGGATCCATTGTAACTTCAGATGGTCACTAAGGGATCAGTCATAAGTTGAAGACTGCCTAGATGCCTGCCTCTTTGGTTCTACTCCAGCATCCTTAGTGAGTTCTGATTTTGGTCCAGCTAAGCACCTAACTCAGTTAAGGCTGGTCAACCCCAGTCTGGAAACTTCCAGACATCCTGAGACTGCAGCTTCTGGTATCTGAAGGCCAGGAGTTGAAGAAGGTTTTCATCCATGGAAAGGCTGGTGGAAACCAAAGAGATGACCACAAACACAGATAGCTGGGACTCCTCCATGTTCCATTCCATCTGATGAAGATGGAATTGGTCACTGAAGATGACGGATGATCCAGCATGTGAGTTGAACTCTCTATTGCTTGTCATGGAGGCCATCAACTCCTGGCCCTGGCCCATGACCTAACACCCCTTCTAAAGCCCTGATATTAAAGCACCATTTCTTGAGAGGTTAGTGAATGTAGGTAAGAAGCTTCTGGACCCCTAGATGGACAATAACCCATAGAATCCCCAGCTTCTCCTTGCAACTCAACGTCCATCCAGCATTCCCCCCAGCAGGGACTCTGGAAACAACAGAGTTGTCACGGGACATGATCAGCACACCCTCTTATTCTCCATAGCATCAGTGCTACTGCAATACCTGAATCCAGGTAAGATCTCAGCTCAGGAAACACTCACCTCCTTGCCGGGCAAGTTTCGGTCATGCCCGTCAGATATACTCGTGCCTCCAAGATCAAATCCTGAAGGTACCAAGAATATTTATAACTTGGCAGGTCGCATGTTCAAAACAGCAGCCTAAGGCTAAGATATCCAGAAAGATAGAGTCCGGTGGCAAAGGAAGAGGTCCCTGAACTAGAAAAAGGGAGAGTGCAAAGAAAAGCAACAAAGATGATTAGGGGGCTGGAGGCTAAAACATATAAAGGTGGAGGAATTGGGTATGTTTAGTTTAATGAAAAGAAGGACGAGGGCTGACATGATAGTAGTCTTCCAATATCTCAAGGGTTGCCCCAAGGAAGAGGGGATCAAGCTATTCTCCAAAGCACCTGAAGACAGGACAAGAAGCAACAGATGGGAACTCATCAAGGAGAAAAGCAACCTAGAACTAAGGACGAATTTCCTGACAGCGAGAACAATTAACCAGTGGAACAACTTGCCTCCAGAAGTGGTGACTGCTCCAACACTGGAAGTTTTTAAGAAGAGACTGGACAGCCATTTGTCTGAAATGGAAAAATGGTGTAGGGTTTCCTGCCTGAGCAGGGGTTGGACTAGAAGACCTCCAAGGTCCCTTCCAACTCTGTTATTCTATTCTATTCTATTCTATTCTATTCTATTCTATTCTATTCTATTCTATTCTATTCTATTCTATTCTATTCTATTCTATTCTATTCTATTCCTATTCCTATTCCTGACTGCCAATTTTCCTTGTTATGAGCAGGCCTATCCAGGACCCCTGTCCTATCTCCCTACTGGACATAGCTGTAATCTCTCTTCCATCTTTATAACCCCTGAAGCTGATCTGGCACCCTACCCACACCCAAACCCAGGGGTGTCAAACTCGCAATGTCACGTGATGTGTTGCGACATATCGCAACTTTTTCTGCATTGCCGGCAATGGGGTGGGCACAGTTTTGGCATAACGCATCTGGCCTGCGGGCCAGCAGTTTGACACCCCTGACCTAACCCTTCAGGGGGGGGTAGTTGTGGGGCCCATGCTCCACAGCTAGCTTTCTTTGCGCTTACCCTACTTAATATCCACCCATAGCAGTCAAAACCATGAAATCCCACATGTTTTCTCTAGTGCCAGCTCACCCAGGCTCTCCTTCCAGGAAAAATATCTTCCACTGCAGCTCCAGTCATCTCTCGCTCAGGCTCAGCTCATTCCCCTCCCCCACTACCACTTTTCTAGGATGGTCGCGTACCCCCTGCCAGGTGCCAATGTACCACAGGTGAAAAGCCCTACTCTAGTGCAGAGTTGAACTATGGAATCCTTGGTGCTCTCTGGATTTGATTGTTTTCTTTCACACATTTCATTACCCAACTAGGTAATATCATCAGAGCTTGGAAGATGTTATCTAGTTGGATAATGAAACATCTGCAAGCAAACAGCCAAGCTCAGAGAGCACTCAGGACTCCACAGTTAGATTAGTCATCAATTATGTTGCAAGATGCCAACCCAATTACAATATTGAAGAAACATTTAACTGAGATAGAGGGTGTTGGAGAGGCCCACCCTGGATCTTCACCCCAAATATGGAGCCTTGTCCCCTTTCCCCTGATTAATGGGCTCCAAGATGATGCTATCAGGAAAGATAATTACCACTCCAATTTTGGAGAGTGCAATGCCAGATGTGAGTCATCTCATCAGTCATCAGAAAGCAAGGCAGGCTTTTTGGAGATGATCTGATCGATGTTCTTCTCTGATGTCACCATCCTGAAACCGTGACATTTTCGGATGCCTCTTCCACAAGTTCCCTTTTAACTGGACCAATTATCCCCTGTGTACATGCATTTTTAGGGAAACCAACTATGAGCCCAGCCAAAGGATGGATGGTGATGCAAAGTCATTCTTCATTGTAGGTTTTCCACCAGAACTTTGAGCAGCAGTTCCTTGCTAAAGCTGATCTCCCCAAGATAATCATGGTCAGACCTGACTGGCTCTTGAATGAGAGACCACTGTGAAATCACTAGAGCATGGGTGTCTAATCTTGGCAACTTGAAGACTTGAAGCTGGGCTGGCTGGGTAATTCTGGGAGTTGAAGTCCACAGATCTTCAAGTTGCCAAGATTGGACATCCCTGCCCTACAGCCTAGGCTAGACTTGGAAATGGGAGATAACTTTCAGCAGAAGGAAATGTTTCCTATCTTAAGAAAAGATCAAGAAAGAAAACCAAGAGAAAACCAACCTCTACTCAAAAGAGTCCCGTTTCCTTTCACTTTTGCACAACCATCATTTCACTAGATCCACACACCCAAGCCACACAACCCCTTATGGCATCATCCAACCTCAGAATTGGTCTTGCTGTCTCAGGTTTCTCCAAGGAGTTCCAGAACTGTAAGTTGGGAGGAATTAAAGCTTGGGTGAAAACCAACAGGTGAAAACCCTGTCACAGTTCCTTAATTTGAAGGAGTGCCTATTGACCCTGTCTTCAACGGTTTGAGCTCTGCCTGCTACATTGAAGCTGAGCTGGATCAGGTATCCCAAAGGTGCTTGTTCCCCAAAGGCAACTGGACTTTCTTGCTTTTCTCTTTGAAAAAGTTTTAAGTTTCTTCAGTTCTGTGGGTTCCACTGGCTTCCAAACTGAACTGAAGAACTGAAGAAAACTGAAGAAGCTTCTTGGATGAGAAGCAAAATGTTTTCAAAGGAAAAAAAAAACGAAGTCTAGTTGCCTTTGGGAAAAAGCACCTTTGGGACAATCATGACGTGGAATAATCCATCCATCCATCCATCCATCCATTCATCCATCCATCCATCCATCCATCCATCCATCCATCCATCCATCCATCCATCTAGAGCTGGAAGGGATCTTGGAGGTCTCCTAGTCCAATCCCCTACTCAAGCAGAAGACCCTATACCATTTCAGACAAGCAGCTGTCCAGTCTCTTCTTAAAAATCTCCAGTGATGGAGCACCTACAACTTCTGGAGGCAAGATGTTCCGCTGGCTAATCGTCCTCACTGTCAGGAAGTTTCTCCTTAACTCCAGGTTGCTTCTCTCCTTAATTAGTTTCTATCCATTGCTTCTTGTCCTGCCTGATATGGATGACTGAGAATCTCCATAGAAGCTGGATCAGGTGGAATTATAATCTGGATGCAGGGTGGGAGTTGTAGTTTAGATGTCAGGTTGGGTAAGGCTGGAGAGCAGGCAAGGGGGGGCTACCGAAGGATCACCTGTGTGCATACATGTGTGTCTTTCAAATGTGTAAAGCACATTTTCCTTTCTGGATTCTCAGCTCTTTGACTGAGAATTCCCGAATGCCGCTTGGCAGATCCCACTGGCCCCTTCTACGGCTCTGCTGACATGCGCAGCAGTGCACTAACATCTGGTGTGCTAACCCTGGCAGGTCAGGAGAGAGAAAGAGAGAGAGAGACCCCTGGCTAAGGGTCTGTTCGAGTCCCGTGGGAACCTGGTTTGGAATGCCCCAGCCCTCGGGGCATCTGGCCCCGCTCCTCTCTTGTGCAGGAAGCCATTTCTTCACATCAGGAGCTGGGAACCAAAGGCCTTTGAGCAGCTCTCTGGCCGGGGCTCAAAAATGAAATGAAATCCAATTTTGCAGAAAAGCCTGGGCTCTGTGCTGAGCAGGATTTGCAGCTGCCAGCCAGCGAGACGAGGTTACTGCCAGTCAATGAACTCGAGTAGCTGCCCGCCTCCTCCGAGCTGAGTGGCAGGTGCTGCAGCAGCCTTGCGGGCTGCGACAAGTCCCGGGACGAGAGTATGCACAAGGTGTGTGCATGTGTGTGTGTGTGGGAGGGGAGGTGGTGTCTCCAAGCATCCTCCATGCTGACTGCAGAACAGGCTGAGTGCTTCGCAAAACCCACTGCGGCTGCCATCCGAGAAGCCCGAAGGAGGCGTTTGCTGCATGCTGCATGCGTGCTGCATGCTTAGTCTGGATGAAACTTAATCTCAAACAGGCTCAACACCCCCCTCTCTCCACCCCCCATTTCCGGCCCCTCTGCTCCAGTCTAGAATGTTCTCCAGCCTGCTAGAGAGGTCACTTCTGAGCATGGCATAAGAAGCAGAACCCATAAGTGACCAGGTGCTATTTTTCCACGCTAAATATTTATTTTATTTTTTTCATATTTAAGAACCGTCCAGCGCTGAGAGACTCTGGGAAGTGTCCAATAAAATATTAAAAGCATAAAAACAGCATACAAAATTTAAAAGTTCCTTACCAGAACTGCATTCTTAATTTATGCCTTCTTTCTTAAATATACCGTGAATGTTCCAGCTCAGCATTTTATCCTTCTGAAGCCCCTAAAATGAAGGTCTCTTTTACCTTAACGCTGGTGTTTTTATCTCTTTAGTGAGTTTGGAACTAGAAAAGGGGAGAAGCAGAAAATAACATTTGATTTCCCAACTGTCTCTCTCTCTTTCTCAGAATCTCCCTGTCTCTCTTTCTAGAAGGGCAATGAAATAATTAAAGGGCAATTAATAAATCCCGATTGCATTGATTGACCTGAATGGAAGAGGCAAAATGGGGACAGAAACTTTATGGGTCTTTATAAGAAATCTCTTAGATATGTATGAAGCTTGAAGACTTCAGGAGTTAGGGTAGTGTTGGACAGAATTGGAACCCTAGGAATGGAGTCTGATGCATACGTAAGCCCGTAGTTTGCTTGCTGGAGGATAGTTTTATAAATTAAATAATCCTTTTTAGGTCTTTTGACACCCACAGCATAGACATCAAGTTGAACCTGAGATGTTCCAGTTCCTGTATTTAGAGCAGTATTTCTCAACCTCAACAAGTTTAAGATGGGTGGACTTCAACTCCCAGAATTCCCCAGCCAACCATGTCCATAATTTCCCAGCCAGACCATCACAGTTCTGGTCTGGGACTGCCATAAAAGGTGGTAGGACTCCATCCCTTTGCAAAGTGACTTCTGGATGGTCCAGGTCTTCTCCTGAATCAGCCAAGGGAATGTTGATGCTTTGGTCCCCTCTAGTGGTGGTACCCGAGACTTGCTTCAGATGGCCAATTTGCTAATTTATTCAGGACTAGATTGATTGCTGGGAGGTGCTCAAGCTTGAATCCTTGAGTGACAACAGATGCAAACCTAGCAGTTGCTCTCCCGAGTCCATTTAAGCCAGCCTTCCACTCGCTTGAAGTGGCCAAATTCCCACTTTTGTTATGTGGGAGGAGACCCCAGTGATGGCCCATGACCACTTTGAGAATGGATCATGGATAAAGCGGGCATCAAACCGAAGGACAGAGAAAGCACTCAAAGGGTCCCTTTCCTTTTCCAGCACTTCTGGTGCAGCAAAGCCCTTTAGCCAAACCCAGGTAGCAAAAAAAAAAAAAAAATACGGATTTTCCATTTCTGATTTCATGCATTTAGTTTCCGCCAATGCTCCTTTTGGCATTTACGATGGCAATAATGATTTATTAAGCACTCGGTTGTGTGTTGGATGAACATCTTGTGGTCTTCAGTGAATGTTTTGGAACACATCTGCCTTACATCGGAAGAAAGATATTTTTTGGGGAGGGGACAGGGCCTTCTGTGGTCTTTTCCAGCTTGCTTTCCCAATGCACTCTGTTTTTATCTCCTTCTGGGTTTGGGTGATGGGATCTGGGTCTTGCCTTCTACTCTCTGGTAAGGCAGCAGTGAGTCAGATGGGGTTGATGGCCAGCGGAGGCCAGACCAGTTGAACAAAAACCTTGATGGAACTTTTGAAGACTTCTCCCTAGGAAAGAACCTCATGGCATTTCATCCCTCTTGGTTGAGAGAGAGAACAGAACAACCTCCCTATTACTTACGACCAAAATTGAGCCCCACGTTTCTGTCGTTTAAGTGAGACATTTGTTAAGTGGGTTTGGCCCCATTTTATGGACTTCCTTGCTGGGATTGTTCAGCGAATCACTGCAGCTGTTAAGTCAGTCGCATAGTTGTTAAGGGAAGCTGGCTTCCCCATTGACTGTCAGAAGGTCACAAAAGGAGATCCTGTGATCCCGGGGATGCTGCAACCGTCATAAATATGAGTCAGCTGCCAATCATCTGAATTTTGATCAGGGGATGGGAAATGCTACAATGGTTGTAAGTGTGGAATATGGTCCCAGGTCACTTTTTTTAGTGCCGTTGTAACTTTGAGCAGTCACTAAGTGAACCATTGGGAGTCGAGGACTGCCTGTGGTAAGCAGGAAGTCTCTGGGTTTTATGCACCCATCTGCGCCTTCTTACCAGCCAATGGTAAAACTCAGGCAGTCCCAAGTGCCAAACGGTTGTGTTCAGCACCACTGCCCCTTCTTAAACCTTGACTGCTAGATTTTATTTATTGAGAAAATGGACACAGCCTCCCAAGTCACTCATGGTGATTCTAGGCAGCTTACGGAAATAAATGATGATACAATGTTATCCATTCAGTCATGTCCTACTCTTGGTGATCCTATGATCCTATTTTATTTCTCCATAGAAATAAAACCCCAATACAAAATCCCTGTCAACATTGCTAACATTGGATAGTTTTGCATTGAAAACAGATGGAAATGCAGCCATCTTTTACCTTTTGCTTTTAGAGCTAGATGATGCTGGGAGGGGGGATGTGAATGAGAGTTCAGCTAGACATAACAACACTAAACCTAGGTTGAGAAACAAGGTTATTGTAACCAAAGCTGACAAGGAATTGGCGGGCTGGAGAAGAAGCCCTCGCTTTAAGCTAATGGGGGAATGTGATTTATGTCTGTTAATTAAAGGGAATTGTGTTTGATATTATGTGCTCAGGGGAGTGGAATTCAGTTTTTGGCTCTGATTATGCAGTGCTGGTGCTATGTAGACTCAAAATAAAGATTTTTTCAGGTAAACAATGCCTCGAAGTTCTTTGAAGAGTTTCATCTGTCGGAACCAGGACAATCCCATAAGCCCCCACCCCTCTGATGACAATAATCAAAGCAACCCCTTGATGGGTTCTGTATCACTCTGGGGTCCCCAGGCTAACACTGGAAAAATCATGGCTTTAGCGCCTTTCGAAAGAGCGTCAGAGTGGGAAATAAGCTTACTCCCACAAGGATGATGTTCCACAGGGATGGAGCCACCACGGAGAAGGCCCTTCTTGGTCCCACCAGATGGACTTTCTTAAGAGAGGAGACCTATAACATCTTATTTCCAGTCTTCTTTCTGCAGAGATGACATTCCATGGGGAGAAGGCCGTTCTTCTGGGTCCCACTAGCTGGCTGAAAGTTATGATCAATTAATTAAAAAAAGTCCATCCCCTTTGCTCACCAGGACCACTAGAGTCCCTTTATCTTCCCATCTCTTTTCCAGGATATAAGACGCTGCTGAAATGCCTCTCTGGAAAATTTTGCCCCCGGGAACTGATTGGTATTATGGGACCTTCTGGAGCTGGGAAATCTACCTTGATGAACCTCTTGGCTGGTTACCGGTGAGAAAACACATCCTTTCTCTAAAACAGGGTTGTCAAACTTAATTTCACTGAGGGCCGCATCAGCATTGCGGTTGCCCTGGGGGGGGGGGGGGTGTGGCCAGAGTGGGTGCAGCCTACTGTGTGTGGATAGAATGGGTGTGGCCTACTGGGTGGGCGTAGCCAGTTCTACATCATTCGTGTCAAGGGTGCCTATGGGGGCCTGGACAGGAGTGGGACAGATCTGAGGGTCTCTGGCAGAAGGGGGTGGGACCGGGGCAAGTGCCAAGGCATGGTCCACTGGGGCAAGTGCCAAGATGGCCACCACCAAATTGTACATTGGCTCCTGGCTGTTTCCAGGATGGCTTCACGGGCCACATGAAACCACTTCGCGGGCCGCATCTGGCCCCCGGGCCTTGTGTTTGACATGTCTGCTCTAAAAGAACTTGATTTTTAATGGAAGGATTTGGGCCTGTATCCTGACAAATGACCGGCTGATTTTCTTCCAACATCTTCAGATTGATTTACATTGCACAATCCTTGGGTGCCACATTGCTCAGAGTAACAGTGAAATAAATTGGAGAACTTCTCAATTCAAATTCTGAGTTAAAACCTTCCAGACATTAGTGAAGGGGGGGAGAGATCCCTTGTCTCTCTAATCAGCACCCCTCTTCTTGCGACCCTCACAAAATAAAACTAGCCAGTGAATGAAAAAGGGAGCAAAAAGTTTAGCCTCTCCTAAAATCAATGTTCCCCAACCTTCACAAATTAAAGGCGAGGGGACTTCAATTCCCAAATTCTCAGTAATGGCTATGCAGCTGTGGAATTCTGGGCGTTGAAGTCCATATACCTGGAAATTGCCAAATTTAGGAAACCCTGCCCTAGATTCAAGGCAGTTCCGGTTTAAGAACTTTCTAAGGCAGGGGCGTCCAACCTTGGCAATGTTAAGACTTGTGGACTTCAACTTCCAGGATTGGCTGGCTGGGGTAATTCTGTGGGCTGAAGTCCGCAAATCTTCAAGTTGCCAAGGTTGGACACCCCACTTCCAATCAGGGGCAACAGATCTTCAAACCTGTAAAGACCTTTGGTATTTCTTACTTTCAGGGAAACAGGCATGAAAGGCCAAATTCTTGTGAACGGACACCCAAGGGAGCTGCGCACTTTTCGTAAGATGTCATGCTACATTATGCAGGATGACATGCTGATGCCCCTTCTCACCGTGAGGGAAGCCATGATGGTGAGTGGGGAGAGGGGAGGTTGCAACAGACTTGCAATACAGACTTGCAATACAGACTTGCAAGCCTTGGGATGCAGAATCTAAAATCCCCATCAGAACTCCATTCAGGGGCAGAAAAAGTGCCTGGCTCACCTCTGGAGGAAAGGGTGGTGATCCCAGAGCTTTCAAAACCAATTGCCCCAGTAAGTCTGCTAGAAGCAAAGAATGAGATCCCTTCCTTTTCTCCATTAAGGGTTCAGCCAACCTGAAACTGAACGAGAAGCAAGAAGTGAAGAAAGAGCTGGTAAGTTGGCATTCTCGGTTGTCTTCAAAAGCTCAAGAAGCAGAGGTGGACCTTCAACCATGCAAGGAAACCATTCCTAGCTGGTTTGGATTCCTAGCAAATGGACTGGTGGATGCTCTTCCACCTCTTCCGCTTCCTCATCTGAGAAGGGCTCCCTTTGCAACCAATGCCTTGCAAAGTCTAGGTTAAGAACGTCATTGGCAAGCCGGGCTCTTCCCAAGGTGGTAAATGTAGCATCTGCTTAGGGGGTCTGGGTTGAGTCAGGGGTCCTCCGTGGCTTTCTGTCTAAGAGAGAAAATAAGGAGGCTGACATGGACATCACTCAGTAGTGGACTGGAGTTTGACCTGAATTTGTTTACTTCAGTTGAGATGCACTTCGTGAAACTGTATTTCTCAAATTGATCAACTTCAGGATGAATGGACATCAACGCCCAGAAGTCCACAGATCCAGTGGATCAGTGTCTTTAAGATGGGTGGACGTCAACTCCAGAAATCCACAGATCCAGTGGATTGATGTCCTTAAGATGGATGGGTTGCCTCATGCTGGCTGGGGAATTCTGGAAATCCACAGTTCTTAAAGTTACAGAGAAACCTTGGCCTAAGGCAGTGTTTCCCAAACTTGACAATTTTAAGGCATGACGACTTCAACTCCCAGAATTCCACAGCCAGCAACGCTGGCTGTGGAATTCTGGGAGTTGAAGTCCACATGCCTTAAAATTGTCAAGTTTGGGAAACACTGGCCTAAGGGAAGGATGGTCCATGGCCATTTCCCATGGCAATTCTTTTCCTGCAATCAGGTGAACGAGATCTTTTTTTTTTTTTTGAAAATTTTTAAAATTTTTACAAATAGAGAAGAAAAAAACAAAAAACAAAAAACAACCCTACCCAACCCACCCCAACCCTCCCACTCCATCCCCCCAACCTTCCCAGAGCTGAATATAGGCTTAATTAGAATTTCTAAAAATCTTAAAAAAGATTAAAAAAGTATAAACCATAAGTATATCTAAATACATTACATAAACAACTTATAAAATGATTAACAATAATATATATGTAAAAAAGCATAAATATTAAAAAATAAAAATGCTTAAAAAGAAAAAGAATAAAAAAGAAAAGAAAGAAGAAAAAAGATATATAAAAAAAATAAAAATAAAAAATATAAGGAAAGAGAAGAAAAAAAGGGATACAATCTATAAAATATTAAGATTTATATATAAGTTATTGAAAAACTAAGTAATATTTTTATATCCAATTTATGTTGTATAAAATCTATCCATTTTTCCCATACCGCAAAAAACTTCTCTTGCGATTGATCCTTTAAGAAAGCTGAAATCTTTGCCATTTCCGCCAAATAAGAAACTTTAAAAAACCACTCTTGCAAGGTAGGCAAAGATTCCTTCTTCCAGTATTGCCCTACTAACAACCTTGCGGCTGTGATTAAATTTAACATCAATATAACCTCCTTAGCATCACAATCAGTAACAATACCTAACAAAAACAATTGTGGGGTAAATTTTACCCTCCTTCTAAAAATTCTTTGAATATTTCACCATATCTTAATCCAAAAGGCTTTTATATTTTTACACGACCACCAAATATGATAATAAGTAGCATCCAAACAACCATATCTCCAACATTTAGGCTGTAAGTCAGGATACATACGAGACATTTTTTGTGGATCAAGGTGCCATCTATAAAACATTTTGTAAAAATTCTCCCTTAAGTTCTGGGCTTGTGTAAATTTAACATTCCTCACCCAGATGGTTTCCCAAGTATCTAGTAGAACTGGTTCACCAAAATTTTGTGCCCATTTGATCATACATTCTTTAATTAGTTCTGGTTCTGAATCCAGTTCTACTAGCACCCCGTAAATTCTCTTAATATGAGTTCGCCTTTGGTCTTTTACTTGTTTAAAAAGGTTTTCATCTTCTCTAAGCAAGCCCATATTACGATCCATCTTCCATCTATAGGTGAACGAGATCTTGACTGCCTTGGGACTCCTGGAATGTGCCCACACCCGCACCTCCTCTCTCTCTGGAGGACAACGCAAGCGACTTGCCATCGCTCTTGAGTTGGTCAACAATCCTCCAGTCATGTTTTTTGATGAGCCCACCAGGTGAGCAACAGCCTCCCTCCCCCGGTCCCTGCCTTATGTAGGAGAGGACCAAGATCCTCTCCCCTCGTCCCTGGGCCTCGTTTGGTCTTGCAGAACATTGATGGGAATCCCACAAGAAATTGATGGGAAGTGGAGGCTGGACCAGAGCAAAAGGTAGAAAAGAATCTGTAGAAGAAACCACGAATGCTTTGAATTCAGTGTCAGGGGAGAAAGAAAAATGACTGTTACACAATGCACAACGGAAACACAAAGGTCTGCATCCTGTTTCTTGCCTTGCAAATGCACCCCCAGTCTAGAGCTCGGCCCCACCCCAAAATAGAAGACAGCCCCTGTCCTTGTGCCCGTGGCCCACAGCAGCTTTGTCCTCTCTTTCTCTGCCTCTCCAGTGGACTGGATAGCATGTCCTGCTTCCAGGTGGTCTCCCTCCTGAAATCCTTGGCCCAAGGGGGCCGCACCATCATCTGCACCATCCACCAGCCCAGCGCTAAGCTCTTCGAAAAGTTTGACAAGGTGAGGCCTTTAGCACAGTGGTTCTCAACCTTTCTAATGCCGCGACCCCATAATACAGTTCCCCATGTTGTGGTGACCCCCAACCACTTATACATCACCGGGTGCCAGGAGCGTGGCCAAAGAAAAGAGGGGGAAAATGGCGGACAGCCTTGTTTGGCGACCCCCGTGAAATGGTCGTTCGACCCCAAATGGGGTCCCGACCCACAGGTTGAGAACCACTGCTTTAGCAGAAGGATGCCTGCAGGGCTGAGACTATGCGGGGCAGGAATTCACCATTTTAGACCTCTTTGATTTGAGCATCGCGTGTGACCCATCTCTTACTGCCCTCAGAATTTGCACTCAATGCCTTTCTCCTCTCCTCTGCCTTCTTTCCAGCTCTACATCCTCAGCCAAGGACAATGTATCTTCAAGGGAGCTGTGTCCAACCTCATCCCATATCTAAAAGGGCTTGGCTTGCATTGCCCCACCTACCATAACCCAGCTGATTTCAGTAAGTCGTGTTGGCCAGAGATGGCTTTTTCATCTACAAGAGTTAGGAGATGCAGGACATGGTCTTTTTTTTTTAGGAGCCTGCAGTCGTAGGTCAGGCTTTTGCTCCATCTGATCCAGACTGTCACCCCCTAACAGGAGGTATCTCTCCAGGGTTTCAGGTAGATGTTCACCAACTCTGACAGGACATGCTGAGTACTTTGTTTAAGGATCTCCTGAACATCTGACTACTTAGATGATGGCTTGAAATGAAGTTGTCAACCACATGGGAACCAGCCCTGGATCTAAGGATGACTTTCAGGAATTTCTTTGTGGGTTCCCTGTCAGGAGCCTATCTGGGTGATCCCTGATAGAAAACAAGATACACTATTGGACTAGGAAGCCTTTTTGATCTAGCCCACCAGAGTTCCTCTGAAATAGCATTTTCTGATTCTTGGTGCCCACTTTGATTCCCAGATTTCTCATCAATGGTTAGGTCAGCAGGGGGATCTGGTGACTTGGTCCACTTCTGAAAAACAACAGAGAAGGTGAAAATTAACACCCCTTTCCTAGGACCTTCCATGCGATGGTGTCTTGCAGTGGGGAATGAAATAGCTGTATGGGAGCAGCTCAGAAGTTCAGGATTCAAAATTTCCCCTTCAGAATTAGAATAACAGAGTTGGAAAGCACCTTGGAAGTCTTCTAGTCCAGGGCTTTTTAACCTTTTCACCCATTGTACCACTTTTAGGATAGGGCAACATCCGATTACCACCAGATGCCTAGCAAGGTGTCAAAAACTTGATGACAAAAAAAAAAGGAAAAAAGTGATAATGTACAGGTAGTTCGCTTAGTGACTGTTCAAAGTTACAATGGCACTGAAAAAAGAGCCCCCCGAGCCACAGCCGAGCAAGAAGCCTGCCTGCCCGCCCGGCGGTGCTCTTCCTCCTGTCCGAGGTTTTCATGGTTGTGAGCATTTCTGTTGAGGATTGGCAGTGGGGTGGGGTGGGGGGTGTTTATTCCCCCCGTCTGCTAGGTGGTTGCAGCAGGTTTTGGTCACTTCACATGACCCTGGGACACTGTGACCGTCATAAATATGAATCAGTTGCCACACATCTGAATGTAAATCACCAGACCCTGGAGAGGCTGCAACATTCCAGCTGATTGGCGCTTCTTCTGGGCTCAGCGGAAATGCCAGGATCAGCTCTGAGCTCCAGCTGGATCCTGGCGCTGATCTTGGCACTTCTGCTGAGCCCTGAGAGCTCTGCAGCTCCAGCCATCTCTTGCTCAGGCTTGTGTGGTGCTGCCACCGGTTCAGCTCATTCCCCTCCCCCGCTACCACTTTTCTAGGATGGTCGCGTACCACCTGCCAGGTGCCAATGGACCACAGGTGGTACCCGTACCACTGATTGAAAAACCCTGTTCTAGTCCAACCCACTGCTCGACCCTATAGAATTTCAGACAAGTGGCTGTCCAGACTCTTCTTAAAAATCTCCAGTGATGGAGCAGCCACAACTTCTGGAGACAACTTCCGTTCCACTTGACTGTCCGGCCATCGTGGCTACTCCTGTTTTAAGTTGTTTCTGACAATCCCTGAGCTTTATGTTTTCCCACAACAATGGAAGAACAGCTTACCTTAAATTGCAGTCGTAGTGTTTGCTAGGATCCTGAACGGGAATGCTAAACGTTATCAGTGATTCATGAAAATGAAAAATGATTCTTAGCATGGGAAGGGGGAGTAGAGATGGGCGTCTCTTGGCAGAAGCCAGTCCCTCAGTTGCCTCCCTCCATCTTCCCCTCCGTAGTCATTGAGGTGGCCTCAGGGGAGTATGGCGATCTCAACCCACTCCTCTTCCAAGCCGTCCAGAACGGACTGTGCACCATGGAAGAGGAGAAGAAGAGCGGTCCAGAGAAGATGGATTCCTTGGTGCCAGGACCTTGCGTGGCGGTGAGTGATCTGTGGGGGCGGAGGGAGGTTATTTGACAGCTGGCGCTCTACCAGGACATCAGGACCAGGCTAGGCTGGGTGAGGGCAGCTCTGCTCTTGGCATTCAGCCTCTCATTTTGTTTACTATTGAAGTGCCCCACCTGGTGTGTTGCGTTGGAAAAGGTGCCGTAAAGTCTTTCTTGTTGACCGCTAGAGCTGTTGGAGATTTTATTAATCACCCAATCTCATTTTCTCTTATTCTCTCTCTTTCTCTCTTTTCTCCTTGGTTCAACCACAGGATTTGGATCACATCGAGAGTCACACCTTTGCTACTAGTACCCTGACTCAATTTTGCATTCTTTTCCAGAGGAGCTATATTTGCATCCTAAGAGACACGGTAAAGGTCAGGGAGGGTGGAGAAAGGGGAAGGAAGGAAGGAAGGAAGGAAGGAACGAAGGAAGGAAGGAAGGAAGGAAGGAAGGAAGGAAGGAAGGAAGGAGGGTGGGAGGGAGGGAGGGAAGGAAGGAAGCAGGAAGGAAGGGAGGAAGGAAGGAAGGAATGAAGGGGGGAGGGAGGGAGGGGGGAGGGAGGGAGAGAGGAGAGAAATGGAGGAGGGATGGAGAAAGGAAAAAGGAAGAAAGAAAGGGAGGAAGAAGGGAACGAAGGAAGGGAGGAAGGAAGCAGGAAGGGAGGGAGGGAGGAGACAGAAATGGAGGAGTGATGGAGAAAGGAAAAGGGAAGAAAGGGAGGGAGGGAGGAAGGAAGAGAGGGAGGGAAGGAGGAAGAGGGAGGAGACAGAAATGGAGGAGGGATGGAGAAAGGAAAAAGGAAAGAAAGGAGGGAGGCAGGAGACAGAAATGGAAGAGGGATGGAGAAAGGAAGGAAGGAGGGAGGGAGGGAGGGAGATATGTCTCGGTATTCTGCATCACTGATACTTTCTGACTTCAGTTGCTGTGGCAAAATCTGGAACATCTTTGGAGCCTTCAGAATGCAAAGCAAGGAGGGTCTGGGGGGAGGGGTGAAAAAGTCAAGCTGATGGCCATAGAACTGAACCTCACCCATTGTTTATAGGTGTTATGGCCACCAGCGTGACCTTTGTTAACACATACATACACACACACACACACCATGAACTCTCCTAAGGTCAAATTGTTCTTTGTGTTTCCAACCAGGCTGATTCCCCTCTGAGGGACCCAAGATCCAGAGCTTGATAATCATTGTTTTATTCCTTCCCAGCCAAATCGTTATCGATTTGTTTTTAATGATCACAACATTAACTCCTGGCCCAGCCAAAGATTCTGGCTGGCTTTCCTCCTAGATGGATTTCTGATGGGTTTGCATTTAACAAGTAATCATGAGTATTTTGTGCCGCATGCGGTTGAGAGAGGCACAAATCCTCTTTATTTTTACTTTGTTCAGAGGTTTTATGAACCCTGAGCAGCCTACAAAAATGCCATTTTCCCGCTGTGATCAAGAGCAGAAAAATAAAAAAAAGTTACATCCATCTACTTTTGAAAACGTGAGAAGATTCCAGAGCTGAGGGTGTGTCTCACCCGCTGGGGGAGAGGGGAGTTTCCTTCAACACCAGTGGCCAACTGGATTTCAACTGAGCCGTGTTGTGTGAAGGCAGCCATTGTAGCTTTGTGGCTTTTTCTTAAGACGGTCCAATGTTTTGCAAACGAGATGAAAGGGCTTTCTGCAGGAAAATCCTGCTCCAGGTGACTTGAGGACCTTCTTGTTCCGTACAGCTCCTCACCCACCTGAGGTTCATGTCCCACATCTGCACGGGGGTGTTGATCGGCCTGCTCTACCTACACATCGGCAACGATGCCACCAAGGTCTTCAACAACACCGGCTTCCTGTTCTTCTCCATGCTGTTCCTCATGTTTGCCGCTCTGATGCCCACAATTCTGACTTGTGAGTTGGGGCCCCTTTGCAGAACGGCCTGGCATCTTTAGGACGATTCTGGGTGAGATGCATTGGTTCCCCCAAGGAAGGCGGACAATTTAGAAATTTCCAGATGTTGGCCTGAAGCTTAGAGAGGCTTAGAGAGGATGGGAGAATTGCAGCAGAAGTGAGTTAGGTCTTTGTGGCTCCATTGTCTTCCAGAAGGACAAGATTTCTTCTGGCTGGGGGCCACATTTTTTAAATCTATTTTTGCCCCCCCCCCCCAAGCCTTGCTGGCAAGGTAATGATGTGACTGGAGAAGAGAGGGGTTAACGGTTTGAGGTGCTTGATCCATGAGAGGGAGGGTTGAAATAAATTCAGGGCATTCTGTTAATCCAACTGTTTTTTAATCTTCCTTTTTTAAGGAAAGCAATCAAATGGACGCACTAACTAAGCTATTGAAAAAAAAGCTTAACACACAAACCAACATTGGATTGCTGAGCTGGGGGGAAGGGCTGGAATTGCACTGCTGCAAATGAGGCCTTGTGAATGGAGATGATGGGATAAGCAGCTGGAGAAGGCACATCTGCAGTCTTCTTTTGTTGAAGGGGCTGGTGGCGGTTGGTTTGTGTCTTTTTTTTTTTTTCCTGTGGCACAACAGTGAGGGATTTGTGATCTCTCTGTGGCTGTGGGACAGACTCCGTGCTGCACAGCGACCAAATGGGGCCCAGAACAGAGGGCTAGAACATGGGGATATTTGCTTGAGTCACCCAGAGCTTTGCTTCAAGATAGACGTTCTCCAGGATTTGGGCACCAAAGTCTTATGCCCCCCTCCCACATCTGGGCTCTTTTCCATGTGAATCTGCCAATTCCTGTTCCTCCCTGCCTGGGTATATTGTACTTCTCAACTCATTACTCTCTCTCTCTCTCTCTCTCTCTCTTCTTTCTTTCTCTCTCTCTCTTTTTCTGTCTTTTCTCTTTCTCTTTCTCTGTCTTTTTTTCTCTCTATCTCTTTCTCTTTTTCTCTCACTCTTTTCTCTTTCTCTTTCTCTCTTACTCTTTCACTTTCTTTTTCTCTCTCTCTCTTACTCTCTTACTCTCTTTCTCTTTGCAGTCCCTCTGGAGATGTCCGTCTTTCTGCGAGAACATCTCAACTACTGGTACAGCCTAAAAGCCTACTTTCTGGCCAAAACCGTGGCAGACGTTCCTTTTCAGGTGAGCAATTCATCCTGACCCCCCATTTCTCCCATAGGGAGCCCCCCTGCTTTTCACACCTTTATAGCAGTCCAGGGTTCAACAGGTATAGCTGGACATAAGAGGTAGTCCACCACCTACGACCCCCATCGGGATCAAAACGTCCATCAACACTAAGCGATGTGGCTGTTCAGTCAGACCTTTCTTTCCCCTAGTCATTAAGCCAATCTTGACCGTGCTTGTCGGAAGCCTCCTGGGAAGGACCCAAATGCCCATCCCAGGACCCTGGGATGGTGCAACTGTCATAAATACATGTTAGTTGCCAAGCATCTGGATTTTGATTGCGTGGCTGCAGGGCACTGCGATGGTCAGGAGACAACTGATCACTTTTTTCAGTGCCATCATAACTTTGGCCATTAAACAAATGGTCATGGGTCAAGCACACTTGCAGTGGGAGAGCCAAGGGTTGGTTACTTCCATGGGTGGAGGGTGTTGGCCTCCCCTTAACGGAGAACCATTTCAACTCCTACTTTATTCTGAGGGACAGATCCTGATTGATTTGCCCCCCGCTTCCTCTGCAGATCATCTACCCCATCATCTACTGCAGCATCGTCTACTGGATGACGGGGCAGCCTCCGGAAGCCACCCGCTTCCTGCTCTTCTCAGCCCTGGCCACCTGCACGGCCTTGGTGGCCCAATCTGTGGGTCTCTTCATCGGAGCAGCCTCCAGCTCCCCGCAAGTGAGTCTGCACGATGGTCCAGAGTGGCTCAGGAGCCCCTCCTGAGGGGGAGGGGACCTCAAAGTTGCCAACCCAGAATTTAACAGGATCCCACTTGAAAAGGAATCAAGGACCAAAAGAGAGGGAGAGAAAGTGTGATATCTAATCAAGATCCTTCTTAAAATGTTTTTTTAAAGCAAGTGACTTCACACGTATGGACCTATGCACACACAGATACAAACACACACACACACTCTTTTGAGGTAGAAGACCGTGCCAAGGGGCAATCTCTTGTTGTAACAAGAGTCTTCTTATTTCTTGAAAGGCTTTTGAGGCATCTCAACCAAAAATGGCCCCAGACCTGAAAATTTGTGGGGAGAGGAATAAACACAAACATGCAAAGGGGTTCCAAAATTCCTAGGGCTGGTCCTGGATGCAAAAATTACCTCACTGTTAGTTCCTCAGCCTCTCTCCATAATCCTTCCAAGTTCATCTCTCCGTGCTTGGTGAAAAACATCCAGCTCCAAACAGGGTCTTCACAAGCATTGCAATTTAAAAAAAACCCACAAAAACAACATAGAATTCAAAGGGAAAGAGGTGGCATCAACTGTAAGGACCCACCCCACTTTGCATATTAAGAAGACAGAACTCTTGGAATATTTCTTCCAACAGGCATCCTTTATTAAGAGAAAATGGTTACAGGCGTTCTAGACAGGACCTAGGGCCCAAGCCCTACGGTTCAAGGTTTTAAGGGGTCCCCAGGAGCCCCACCCCACCATCTTTCCAGCGACAATCCCAGGCGTTACATTTCCACCCCCTTTTTCCTCACTGCCGGCAGAAAGGAGACTTCGGAGGGGAGTAGATGAAAGCTGATGGCCCCTTTGTTATGGTTAGTCCTTTTGGTGGTATCCACATTCAGTCCCTTTTGAAGTTGTACCGAAGGAAGTGAGGGCCATAAAACCCCTTTGTTCACCCCCCTTCCCCTTCATCATATGACAGAATCCAGAGAGGGCAGAAATGGTGTTTTCCATAGTTGATAACTAGAGATGAAATATAATTGGATTCTGACATCCTGCCCCCTTAAAAATAAGATAGATCCACCTGAAAGAAACAAAACAGGTATACAAGTTAGTCAGGCTTGTTAGGATACTCTGTGTGAAACTTCTTTAATAGCTTCGGGGCTCTGACATGACGTTTATGGACCCACTCGTTTTGTGAGGCAGGGAGGTGTTTCCATGCAACTAGGTACTGAGTCGCTCCATGATATCTCCTAGAGTCTAGGATTTCCTTTATTTCAAAGTGTTGTTCACCCTCCACCATGATTGGAGGTGGTGGTGAGGGGATTTTTGGCCGTAACGATGACTGATGCTCTCTTTTCAGCAAGCTGCAATGAAAAATTGGGTGTATTTGCCTGAGATTTTTTGGTAATTCTAATTCTACTGTTACTGGGTTTATGATTCTTTTAATTGGAAAAGGCCCTATATATTTTGGTCCAAGTTTTTTACAGGGTTGTAGGGACTTTAGGTATTTTGTAGATAAGTACACCATTTCTCCTATAATGAATGGTGTAAGCTCAATCCTTTTTTTATTGGCTTGTGCTTTGTATGCCTGCCTAGCTTCATCTAGTGCTTTTCTAACTATTGGCCAGGTGTTTTGTAATTGTTCCATCCATTCTTTCAGTGATGGGATCGCCGGTTCGTTTGGGGTTAATTCTGGCATGGGGTTGAAACTTTGACCAGTGGCTATTTGAAAAGGAATGTAACCTGTGCTGGAGTGGACTGCATTATTGTAGGCAACTTCTGCGAAAGGGAGTAAGTCCGTCCAATTTGTTTGCTGAAAATTAATAAAGCATTTTAAATATTGCTCAAGTACTGAGTGACAGTGTTCTGATTGTCCATCCCCTTGTGGATGATGGCTAGATGTCAGTCCCTGAGTGGTCCCTAAGAGGGATAAAAATTCCTTCCAAAATGCAGACATAAATTGCACTCCCCTATCAGAGATGATGCGTTGGGGTGCTCCATGCAATCTGTAAATGTGCTGAACGAAAAGTTTTGCTAAGGCTTTTGCGGTGGGAATCTTTTGGCAAGGGATAAAGTGCAGCTGTTTGGAAAACAAGTCTGTGACCGTCCAGACAACAGTATTCCCATTGCTTTCTGGTAATTCCACTATAAAATCCATGGCTATTTCCCTCCGGGGGGCTGAGGGATTTGCCACTGTTTGTAACAATCCGGGCAATTTCCCTTGCAACCTCTTTGCAGTTGCACACTTTGGGTAGCTGGCCACGTAACTTTCTATGTCCTTTTTTATGGATGGCCACCAAAATTGCCGTTTAATTAAGTGTAATGTTTTTACAAATCCAAAATCCCCTGCTGATTTTGTGTCGTGGCAAAGCTGCATGAATGTGACTCTTTGGGTCGTTAGTATATATAACGTTTCCCCCACCCAAAGCAGCCCATCTCTCATTGTGCACACATTTTTGTTTTTCTGGAACCATTCATCTGTTTCCAAACTTTTCGGAATTCAATTCTGGTTTAGCTGCCCAGCTGTGGTTTTAATTTAGCTTGGGCTCTGGTGGTTACTGGCGCTGCTAGTTGTGATTCTGCCATCATCGGTTTAGAGTCTGTGGCTCGCATGCTGTTATATTGGGGCATGCGAGATAGTGCATCTACCAGGAAGTTCTTTCCCCCCCGGCAAATGCTTGAGCGTAAATTGGAACTGGTGAAAATGCTGGGACCAGCGGGCTTGCTTGGGGTTGAGCTTCCTGAGTGTTTTCAGGGCTTCCAAATTTTTGTGGTCAGTCCACACCTGGAAGGGGATTTTGTTGCCTTCAAGGAACTGGCGCCACGTGAGTAATGACCAACGTATCCCATATGCCTCTTTCTCCCATACGGGCAAGCACTGTTCTGTTTCCGTGAGTTTCTTGGATGTATATGCACAGGGTTGCAATACCCCTTCATTGTTTTACAGCCCCCACTGCCACATTACTTGCATCCGCTGTATTACGAAAGGCTTATCCATGTCAGGGTGCCTCAGTACAGGTTCGGCAGAGAAAAGTCTCTTTAGTCTCTCAAACACTGCTTGGCACTCCATTGTCCATGTTAGTGGCTGGCTAGGTTTTACTGAGGATGCTCCCTTCGTTTTCAGTAAGTTCGTGAGGGGCAGGGCTATCTGGGCAAATGAGGGGATGAATTGGCGGTAAAAGTTTGCAAAGCTAAGGAAACTTTGCAGTTGCTTTCTTGTGCGGGGTGGTGCCCATTCTAGTACTGCTCTGACCTTCTCTGGGTCCATTTCAATGCCCTGTGGGGATATGAGATAACCTAGGTAGTCTATCCTTTCCTAGTGGAATTCGCATTTCGAGAGTTTGGCATATAGGTGGGTGGCTTGCAGTTTCTTTAGGAGCACTCTGACTAGGTTGACATGTTCCTCTTTTGATTCAGTGAAGATAAGAATGTCGTCTAAGTAAACAAGGACCCCCTTAAATAGGTGCTCCCTTAGAACGTCATTGATTAATTGCATAAAGACTGCAGGGCCCCCTTGTAATCCAAATGGCAAGACTTTGAACTGGTAGCACCCCATGGGGCAGTTAAATGCGGTCTTCCATTCATCCCCTTCCTTAATTCTCACACGATAGTAAGCTTCTCTTAGGTCTAGTTTAGAAAAAAAAATTCCCTTTCGAGAGGTGTGACAACATGTCTTTCATGAGGGGCAGAGGGTATAGGTTGCTTTCACTGATTGTATTCAGGGCCCTATAATCCACACATAAGCGTAAAGAGCCGTCCTTCTTCTTTCTAAAGAGGACCGGGGCAGCCACTTTAGGCTTGGCTGGCTCAATGAACCCCCTTTCTAGGTTTTTCTTTATGAATCTTTCCATTTCCTCCTTCTCCTTTGGGCTCATGGAGTACAATCTGGACTTCGGGAGTTTTGCCCCAGGCTTGAATTCAATGGCACAGTCCGTGGGTTGGTGGTGGTGGGAGCTTATCCGCCTTCTTCTCACTGAAAACCTCAGCAAGGTCTCTGTATTCCTCTGGTATTTCTGGTAGTCCTTTTTCCTCTCCCATGGATGCTTTTTCTGTTCTTGATTCTGGTAGCCCCCCTTGGGATTTTAAGTCCATAGGGTCCCCCTTCGGGAATTTGATTTCTGTCGTCCTCCAATTCACCCAGGGGTTCCATTTTTTAACCATTCCATCCCTAGGATCATTGGGCATTCCATGCCTGGGGTCACCACAAACGTTATGTCCTTATGTTTGCCCAGGGAGAGGTGTATTGGTAAAGTGGCTAGGGTAGCTGGCACCCCCCCTGCTATGGACCCATCTAACTGGCCAAAGGAGATTGGTTGTTCCAGTCTCCTCGACGGAATGCCCAGATTCCCCACTAGCATCGGGCTAATGAGGCAGCGGGTGCAGCCAGAGTCTATTAAGGCTTTCACCTTCACGGCTTTGGGCATGGGGGGAATTAATATAGTTACTGTCTTGAGGATGGGTGTGATGTGTCCACTTACCAGGGGTTCGCCCTCTGAGCTGTCGTCTGAGGCATCCACCGGCCCTGCGGTGTAGGCTGGAGTTCTTTCCCCTGATGAGCAGAGATGGGGGATTCCACAGCCTCCATCATTCTCATGGCAGGTTCTTTTGGCTTAGCTGGAGACTTTCTGGATTTGCTGGCCAGTGATCTGTCTGGGTTGTACTGGGGGGTTTTTGAGTGGCATTCTACAGCCCAATGCCCTTCTCTTCCGCACTTGAAACACCCCATTTGCTTCTTGGCTGTAGCTGATCGTTTCACTGGTTTGCGTGTCAACTCAGGCAGTGAGCGGCTCCCAAGCGTGTTGGCTCGCCCTTGAATTTCACGTCCAGCGGTGGGAATCTTTGAATGGACCGGTGCCTTCATTGTCAGTGGTAGTGTCTTCCATCCAGATCACCATCTGTGTGTCAACTGGGATTGGGATCTACTGGATCAGCAGATGTTCCCAGGGCTGCAGGTTCAACTTCCCCCTCGGTTTCTCTCCCTTTGTGGCTCCAGGAGCTGGGGCGTCCATAGGGCTCAGAATTCTCTCCTAGGAAGCTGAGAGTTCTCTTCATCAGGTCGATAGCTTTCTCTAGGATCCAGCCTGAGTACGGTGCCCAGCTCCCTTCCTCTTCACTTGCATGCAGGGATTTCTCCATCTCCTGCTTCCATTCTGGCTGGTTGGCACCCTGTCTCAGGGTCACATTTCTTGATTTCTTTTCCCACTTACTTTCTTTCCAACGCCCATTGACCACCGAGGTTTGTGGTCCCGTGTCTCCACTACCTCTTCTCCTGAGGAGTCTGACCTCTCAGATCCCGACATCTGGCAGGGTTTCAGTTGGGCAGCGACTCCCTTTCCGGGGAGTTTTCTCCCTTCCTTGCTCCGCCGTCTGACATGATAATTTTTGCAAAGTCCCCTGGCAAGGTTCTCCCTTCCAGGTGGACTAATTCTGCAGGTCCTGTCTAATATAAGGACCCACCCCACTTTGCATCTTAAGAAGACAGAACTCTTGGAATATTTCTTCCAACAGGCATCCTTTATTAAGAGAAAATGGTTGCAGGCGTTCTAGACAGGACTTGGGGGCCAAGCCCTATGGTTCAAGGTTTTAAGGGGTTCCCAGTAACCCCACCCCACCCCACCATCCTTCCAGTGACAATCCCAGGTGTTACATTTATATCCCCTTTTCCTCACTGCCGGTGGAAGGGAAACTTCAGAGGGGAGTAGATGAAAGCTGATGGCCCCATTGTTATGTCAAGTCCTTTTGGTGGTATCCACATTCAGTCCCTTTGAAGTTGTACCGAAGGAAGTGAGGGCCATAAAGCCCCTTTGTTCACCCCCCTTCCCCTTCATCATATGACAGAATCCAGAGAGGGCAGAAATGGGGTTTTCCATAGTTGATAACTAGAGAGGAAATATAATTGGATTCTCACATCAACATTCAAACGATGCTAGACAAAGTCCTGGACCTCATAACTAAGGTGATAAAACAGAAGCATCTACTTTGATCTGCTTTCTTCACCTGGTCTCATGGGACAAACAGAATCACAACATCTGTCTGGCTTGGGATGGTGGAGGGCGCCAGTCTATGGAAGGCTGGTTTACCTATCCAGATTTGAAATCCTGATTTTTCAGTATCCCTCTGGTTCCCCTTCCAAGCATCTTACATGTACCTTTTCCCCCACCATGTTCCTCCCAGGTGGCTACTTTTGTGGGTCCTGTTTCAGCCATTCCAGTCCTTCTCCTTTCTGGCTTCTTTGTCAGTTTCAAGACCATCCCTACCTACCTTCGGTGGAGCACCTACGTCTCCTATGTCAGGTAAGGGGTTTTGCCAAAGAGAAGCGCCTGGAGCCTCTCTCTGGGTGGGGCCTTCTGCAACGAGCTACCTATAGCTCAAGTTGAGGTCCAGAGAGCTTCAGGCTATGGTGGGAGACATCCAGCAGAAGCCATGATGCTGCTGCTGGTGGTGGTGATAATGATGATGGTGACGACCACACGTGATCATGCAAATAACATGGCTTTTGTAATTTGGAGACTACAGCTGTTCTTCAGCCCATCATGGAAAACAGAATTTCTTCCTGGTATCAGCAAATGTGCTCTCTCTCTCTCTCCCTACCTCTCTCTCTCTCTCTCTCTCTCCCTACCTCTCTCTCTCTTCATCTATCTCTATCATCTCTATCTATCCTCTCTCTCTCTCTCTCTCTCTCTCTCTCTCCCTATCTATCTCATGTCATACTGAATTATGCTACACATTCCAGTCAACGTTTTGAAGGACAGCTCCACTTATCCCGTCACTCTGACTGCCCTCCCTCCTTTGCTCTGGCTCAGGTACGGCTTTGAAGGCATCATCCTCACCATCTACTCCATGGACCGTGGAAATCTGGAGTGCAAAGAGATCGATTGCCCCTTCAAGGAGCCAGCCAAGATCTTGAAGGAGCTGGATGTGGAAGAAGCCAAGCTGTACCTGGATTTTGCAATCTTAGGGGTTTTCTTTTTCATCATCCGCCTCCTGGCTTACTTCACCCTCAAGTACAAGGTGAAGGCAGAAAGATAAGAGGGGACCTGGACCCAGCTCCTGATGCTGTGGGACGAATGCAGTCAGCCGGGCAATGCCCTTCCTCCCGCTGCCCCCAGGCCCCCAAAGAGCCTCTGCAGGCTCCAGGCCAAAGAGGGAAACGCTGGAGAGCTGATGACCACCCACCGTCAGCTGGGCCAAGGACTGATGAAGAATCTCAGAGCTGTTTTAACCTAAATTCTTCATGACAAACAAGGCTTCTTCCTTCCCTCCCCGATCTCCTTCCTTCCTTCCTTCCTTCCTTCCTTCTTTCCTTTCTTTTCCTTTCCTTCCTTCCCTCTCATTCCGTCCATCCTTCTTCCCTCCCTCCCTCTCCTTCCAATTTCTTTCCTTCCTTCCTTTCCTTCCCTTGCATCTCTTCCTCCCTCCCTCCCTCCCTCTTCCTGTCTCCTATATATTTCTGGACTATGTCCAAGCTCTCGTCCGCCCAAGGAAAGTTCTTTGCCATGCCACAAAGGGAGGCTGGGGAGGGAGCCCCAGATGGGGGGGGCAGCTGGAGGGGGGAGATGCTAGAACTGCTTCTGGCAGGGCCCAGGGGGAGCTGTGCAGGGAGGGGCAGGGAGGCCCTCCGTCAAGCACAGTCCTTAGCGCTGTCGCTTTAGTCTCATTTTTTTTGACTCGCTTCGCTTGCAGGAACTATAGCATGTGGATCAGTCTCAAGACTTTGGAAGGCTTAATAGGAGTGTGGGCTGCATAGAACTTGACACCAGCACCCCACGCCTGGCAATGGGACGGTTTTTATATCTTCCCTTCCTCCCAGTCCCCGATTGGCATCCTTTCCCAGATCCCTTCTTTCCTGAGTCCTTTACAAAAAAACAACCACCACCAAATATCTACCCAGCTTCTTTTGCAAGACCTGCAGCAGACACCGGAAGGAGCTTCAGCCCATGGGATCCGCCTGTCTCGCCCACTGCAGGGCAGGGGGGCCCCCCCGCCTTGAGTGGCATTTTGAAAACCTGCTCCTTGGGGGGGGGGGGAGAGCAGGTTGTGGGCAGCTGACCGATTCTGGAGAAACAAAGGCGGCCGCCACGGATGGCATAAAACCTTGTTGCATGAATCAATTGAAAAAAACAAAACAAAGGTGGCCCTTGGCTTACAACAATTCCTTTATTGACGGTTCAAACTTACAACGGCGTGGACAAAAGTAACTTAGGACCGTCTTTCACACTTACGACCTTTGCAGCATCCCCACTGGCCATGTGATCAGACTTCGGATGCGTTAGCCACTGACTCATATTTACGACGGTAGCGGCGTCCCAGGGGTGGGTGGGTGGGTCCCGTGATCCCCTTTTGCGATCTTCTGACAGGCAAAGTCAAGAAGGGGAAGGCGGATTCGCTTAACAGCCGGGTTACTGACTTGTGAACTGCAGCATGGCAAGTAGAAGTCGTAGAATGGGGGAAAGTTGCTTCACCAATGTCTCGCTTAACAACGGAAATTTTGGGCTCAGCCGTAGTCGTAAACTGAGGACTTTACCTGTACGGAGAATTGACGTCGGTGTCGCAGAGACCAGGAAAAGCTCACTTCCGTTTCGGGTCTGGTGAATCAGAGATTGTGGATTTAGGAAACAATATATGAAACCTGCTTGGCCTGATTAACTAGACTGGGAGGGGGGGAACCTCGGCTCTTTTATGACTCGTAGACTTCAACTCCCAGAATTCCTGAGCCAGCCACGCTGTGGGGAAAGGGAGAGGTTTCCAAGCTGAGCCATGCTGGCTCAAGAATGTTGGGAGTTGAAATCCACGAGTCATAAAAGAGCCCAGGTTCCCCACCCTTGGACTCAATGAAATTACAGGAGATTATAATTAAGTAGAGCTCGCCTGGAATGGCAATTTCCCCACTTTAACACGTTCAGTCTGCTGGGAAAACATCTGTCTATGTATCTCTCTGCAGCTGCGTGGGGGAAAGTGCCATTTGAGACCTGGGGGGTTTCCCCAACCTTCTCGGATCTCCATCGCTGGGGGGGTCCTTCTGGGTTTTCTTTCTGGGATGCAATCTTTTTTCTTCCTTTTTTTTAAAAAAAATTCTGAGACAATCAATTGTGGGTCCCTCCAAGCTGCTTCCTAGCTTCCTCTCCATGCTGCTTGTTTGACCATCTCTCCGGCCTTTGAGAATTTGAAGAAGTACCAGACAATTTGACCTGGGGGGAGGGGGGAAAGGGGGGGGAAGGATCCTTTGTAGAAGAAGCAGGTTCTCCCCACCTTCCAGACCAAAGAATGGAGGCCGGGAAATGTTTCCCCCCGCAATCCCACAAGGGTTTGGTGGCAGTGGCCAGACTGCTGCTCACTGACCTTGTTGATGGTCTGAGCAGAGCTTTGTCTCGATGGGGGAAGATCCCCAAATCGCTTCTTCTCCCCAGCGTATCTCCTCCCACCCCCCACCCTGATATTTTGCACTTTGGATCCTGATGATCCCTTGGCTCTTGACAGATAGAGCTGAGGACAAATGAGAGGGCAGAGTAAGTGGCAGGGATGATGGGGGGCTATTGTGGCCCGACCATCAGCTTCCTCTGCCCCTGATACCATCTGTTTCTAAAAGCGAAGCTCTGGAGGGGACGAAGGGGACGTGCACAATCAAGGGCGGCTGCCAAATTCACAGGGAGGGGGATTAATGGTGTACTTGTGAGTGCCCTGAAGCCATTAGAGCAGTGGTTCTCAACCTTTTTATACGGCGACCCCGGACATAAGCAGGCGGCGTGCATGCGCGGCGGCGCCCCCTGTGCGGCGTGCATGCGCGGCACCGCCCCCATGCACCGCCCCCTGCATGGTGCGCATGCACGGCGGCGCCCCCTGCGTAGCACGCATGCAAGGCGGCGCCCCCTGCGCCGGCTGACAAAAAAAATGGCGGATCGCGTTGTTTGGCGACCCCCGTGAAATGGTCGTTCGACCCCAAATAGGGTCGCGACCCACAGGTTGAGAACCGCTGCATTAGAGGCTGAGGATGATGGAGCTTTAGCTCCAGCCTGTATGATGGACCGTGCCTGGCATTATTTGGCTTGTCTTGTCATAGCTTTTCTTTGAAAAATCTGAAATGACCAATGTATGATTTTTTAAAAACTCTGTAGGCAGATTTTTTCTTTTTCTTTCTTTTTCTTTTCCTTCCTTCCTTCCTTTCTCTCACACTCACAAACGTACTTTCTTTCTGTCTTGGTCTCTCTCTTTATTCCTTTCTTTCATTTCTCACACTTCCTTTTCGTCTTTCTTTTTCTTTGTCCTTCCTTCCTTTCCTTCCTTCCCTCCCCCCCCTTTTTTGGCCCATCAAGGGAACTCATCCTGAGGACCCCCCCCCCCTTCTTGGCCCTTCTCCATCCAGAAAACCTCTCTCTGCTGCAGCAATAACCTCTCTTCCTTTTCTTCCTGTTCTTCCTGTGTTGCCTTGGCTTCCAGGAGCCTCTTTGCTGCGATCTTTGCACCCCGTTTCTAGCTGGGGGGCCAGGGTAGCAGGTGCCCCTGGGGGGGGCTCTTTGCCCCGAATGAATGAATGAATTTAAAGCCAGATTTCACCCCCCTCCTTTGTGGGCATCTTCTCAGGAATGAAAGAGGCCTTTATCCTTCCAGAGGGCCAGCAGGAATTGAAAAATATCAAGGACGGGACCTTGAAGGCCAGGGAGCAAAAATGTAGCAGGGAAGAACAGGAAATTCCCACCGTGCTGAAAGGCAGGGAGGGAAAACTCTTCAAACATCTTGTGGCCATCAGATGTTTTTGTGAGGGACTCTTACTCATCTGAAATTTGCTTGGGATGATTAAGAAAATACTGACAAGCAGTCCTCAACTTATGACCATTTGTTTAATGGCTGCTCAAAATTACGATGGTGCTGAAAAGGTCACTTACAACCAGTCCTTGCAGTTATGGCCCTTGAAACATCCCCACGTCACATAATCAAAATGTGGGTAGATGGCAGCCAATTTACATCGGTCGCAGCATCCCCCAGGGCAGTGGTTCTCAACCTGTGGGTCGGGACCCCATTTGGGGTCGAACGACCATTTCACGGGGGTCACCAAACAACGCAGTCTGCCATTTTTTCCCCCTTTTCCTTAGCTAGGCTACTCCCTTTTATTCTATTGGCTTTTGAAAGCCAATAGAATAGACTCTCTTGAATAGAGTCTAATTCTATTGGCTTTCAAAAGCCAATAGGAATTGTCCGGGCTGTCTCTGCCCTGCTGAGCCCACCAAAAGTCCCATTCTGCAAACGGTGCTGCACCAGTTGAGTAGTCCTCGACTTACGACCGGTTGAGTAGTCCTCGACTTATGATCAGTTGGGGGTCGCGGCATTAAAAAGGTTGAGAACCACTGTCCCAGGGCCACCCGATCTCGCTATTTGCAATCTTCCCAGCCAGCTTCCAACCAGCAAAGCCAGTGGGGGAAGCTGGCTTCCCTTAACAACTGCATGATTCATTTAATAACCGCAGTGATTCGCTTAACCATTGTGGCAAAAAGGTCGTAAAATCAGAGGCAGCTCCTTTAACCACCTTATTGCTTAGCGACAGAAATTCCAGCCCACACTTTGCGGTCATAAAGCTGAGGACTACCTTAATTTCAAAACACAAAGGCAGGAGGCACGTACCCCAAGCAACCCCAGAGGTGCTTTTGCAAGAGGCAAGTTGGACTGCCTTTGTTTTCCCATGAAGACGTTTCGCTTCTCTTCCAAGAAGCTTCTTCAGTTCCGACTGAAATTCGGATAGTCAGAGCTGAAGAAGCTCCTTGGATGAGAAGCGAAACGTCTTCAAGGAAAAACAAAGGAAGTCTAAGTTGCCTCTTGAAAAAAGCACCTCTGGAACAACTGTGACCTGGAGGACGGGGAATCTCCATAGACATTTTCCCCCAAGCAATGCTCACTTGGCACTTCCAGATGTGTTGGGATAGCAATTTGCACGGCTGCCAACTGGAAAGTTGGAAAACTAATCTCCACACATCTACAAGTTGCAGAAACTGGTCTGATCTATTGATGGTGATACTGTTCACTTTGCAGCTCTTTTCTGAAGGAGTTTTTGTTGGTGCTATTATTTCAGTTGGCCATCCATTGCTCCTACCCCAAACTCAGGCAAGAATAAAATCTCTCTCTCTCTCTCTCTCTCTCTCTCTCTCTCTCTCTCTCTCTCTCTCCCCTGTTATTTTCTGAAAGGTGGGTGGGATATCTTCCCTCAAATCTTAACAGCTCTAAGCCTGATGACCTTCACTAGTTGCAAATGTTTAGGAATAAACAATAGCCAATTTCTGCTTTTCCTTGTGCTTCTCTGTTCTTGGTTTTTCTTTGGTGGATTCCATCCTTTGGAAACATTGTACATGTGCAGCTTTGGGGCTTTCAAAGCAAGTTATAATTCTTTTGAGCAGCTCAGTGCTAGCAAAAAAAAAAAAATGAAGCTCGTGATAAAAGCAAGCGCTACAATAATAACAGGGTTTATTTTTTTTACACATTCTTATTCAGGCCCAAGTGAATACACTTGGAATTTACCCTGTGACACAATTCTAGAGATTAAAAAAAGGAACATTTCCACCATTTCAAAAGGGCTGATTTCCACCTAAGTTTGCTTAAAATCACTTCTTAATTCCTATTTTTTTTTCCCTCCACAATTCTCTACTTCATTGAGGGCCACATCAGCATTGCGGTTGCCCTGGGGGGGGGGGGTGGACAGGGTGGGTGCAGCCTACTGGGTGGGTGAGGATGGAGTGGATATGGCCTATTGGGTGGGCATGGCCAGCTCTACATCGTTTGCATCAAGGGGGCCTGTTGGGGCCTTGGCAGGAGTGGGACAGATCTGAGGGTCTCTGGTAGAAGGGGGTGGGACCAGGGCAAGTGCCAAGGCATGGTCCACTGGAGGAGCCTCACTGTTCCTCTCAGACCATGGGGGGGGGCTGGATGGTGGTGCGGGTTGCCCGGAGCCCTGGGCAGCAGAGGTCAAATGCCCAGCCTGGCCCTCGAGCATCCACGGCACCAAGCCCAGCCCCACTTCCCCAAGGGGGTCCCCAGCTGCACTTACCTCCTCCTCAAGGCTGCTGCTGCTGTGCTTGCTCTCCTTACCCAGGTTGCTCATGATGGGTACCAGGGCAAAGTCAGAGGGAAGCCCATTCCCCCTCCATGGAAGGAGACCCGACTTTGTATCCAAAGCTTCCTTAGCAATAGGATGGGAGACCCCGGGATAGGCCAGGAGGAGGGGGCAAGGGGATGGTGAAAGGACAGCAGGGCAGGACTAAGGCGGGACTTGCCTCAGACTCTCCCTCTCCTTCTTTCCTTCTTTCTTTCCTTCTTTCCTAAGTACAGAGTGGTGGGAAAATATGAGATGAGGGAGGGAGAAAAACAGGCAAGAAACGCAGCTGGGGAGATGTCACCCTTCCTGAGGAATGAAGAAATGCACCATCGCCTGGAAGTGGCCAGCACATGGCCCTCACCTACTTCACATATCTGGCTTGGTGGGCTCTTGGGGAGGGGATACCATGAGCAACATGAGAGTCAACGTTACCTGCGCAATGCCGCCCAGCCCCCAGCCTACCCGGTTTCAGCAGGCAGTAGGGCACTCTCCTCACAGTGCCGAGAGGTTGAGCCAGGCGGTGCGAAGCTTGCCAGCTTTGCACCTTGCTGCCTGCTGAAACTGGGCAGGCTGGGGGCTAGGCAGCATTGCACTTCTCAACAGATTTGCGCCACTCGACTCAGCCTCTCGGCGCTGTGAGAGCGCCCTGCTGCCTGCCAAAACCCCTCCCCTGGAGCCCATCAAGCCAGATATGTGAAGTAGGCCAGGGCCATTTGCTGGCCACTTCCAGGTGATGGTGCATTTCTTCATTCCTCACAAAGGGTGACACCTCCCCAGCATGCACCCAGGGGGTGGGGCTGACATGGCAGGGGCTGGTTCCTCGCTGTTTCCAGACAGCCTTGTGGAGCTAAAACTGAATGCGTTTCAGCATAGATGGCCACCACAAAATTGTACATTGGCTCCTGGCCAGTCTGGGCCAGGGCCCAGGGCCAAGGCAGCGGGGGCCGTTCCCTCACTGTTTCCAGGATGGCTTCGCGGGCTGCATCCGGCCCCCGGGCCTTGTGTTTGACATGTCTGCTCTACTTGGCACAGATGGAATTCCTTGACTGGCCCTTTCCTTTGGGCTGCTTAGGATATTACCAATTTACCAGTCTAGCCTACATCCCTCCAGATTTCCTGGGGCTCCTGAAAGACCCACCCAAACAAAATCCAGAAAATGAGGAGGGGGATCCAGGTTTTGAACTCAGAGAACATTGCTTGAAAAAGAGAGGCAGGCTGTATCTAACTGGACTATGAAGCATCAGTCGGAGATGCAAAGGGTCCTTTCGAAAGCAGGAAGACGGTTTTTGGTAAAGATGAACTTTGCTGTTCATCTTGGACGTTTACACACATTATTTCACACATTAATAAAACCTAGACTTCTATTGCTCTGAATGCTGCCTCTCTAGTCTAGTTGATGGGAGACTTTGTATGTTTCAAAAGTCTGCATCCTCCCCCCCCCCCCATCTTCCAGAGAGAACCTGACTCTTTAATTAGCTATGGGGTCCTTGGTGCTCTCTGAGCTTGATGGTTTTCTTGCAGGCGTTTCAGGACCTAACTAGATAGCATCATCAGTGCTAGAAGGGGGGTGGAGGAGAAGAAGGGGAAGTGAGGGGGAGGAGGACCGTGGGGTTCCTTGGTGCTCTCTGAGCTTGGTTGTTTTCATGCAGATGTTTCAGGACCCAACTAGGGGTTGTCATCAGTGCTGGAAGGGGATGGAGTATGCAGAGAAGAGGCAAAGGGGATTGGGAGGAGGGGGTGGGGGAGGATCCTTGGTGCTCCCTGAGCTTGCTGTTTTTTTTGCAGACGTTTCATTACCCAACCAGGCAACATCATTAGTGCCAGAAGAGAGTGGGGCTGGTTGTTTTCTTGCAGACATTACCCAACTAGTTAACATCATCAGTGCTAAAGAGGAGGAGGAGGAGGAGGAAAACTGTGAGGTCCTTGGTGGTCTCTGAGCTTGGCAGTTTTATTGGAGATGTTTCATGACCCTACTAGGTAACATCATCAGTGCTAGAAGTGGGAGTTGTGGAGGAGGAGAAGGACTGCAAGGTCCTTAGTGCTTTCTGAGCTTGGTGGTTTTCTTGTAGATGTTTCATTACCAAGCTAGGTAACATCATCAGTGCTACAAAGGAATAGTATGGAGAAGAAGGAGGAGGAGGAGGAAGAGGGGAGGAGGAGGAGGAAAAGGACTGAGGGGTCCTTGGTGGTCTCTGAGCTTGGCGGTTTTCTTGCAGACGTTTCATGACCCAACTAGGGAACATCAGCAGTACCCCAGGAGGGAGAGGGTTCTGCTTACCTACGGGGGCTTGGCCCTGCGTGTAGGAGGCTGGATTTCTTCTCGGCAGTTCCTTGACTAGGCTGACCAAGTCGGCTCCTCTTATGCCCTTCTCCCGGACAGCCCGCGCCCCACGGAGATCGGCCAGTCGGTCCGGGCGAGGGCTCGAGATCGCCGCCAGCCCTCCTGGGAAGCCCTCGGCCGCCCCCGCGTCTCCCTGGCACCGCTGCCGGCCGCGCTTCGCCTCCGGGCCCGAGCAGCCCCGCGGGGCCAGGGAGACACCCTGCAGGCGCCGGGATGGCTTCCAGCAGCCACCGCCCCTCCCGGCCGGCTGCTTTTGGGAAGCCGAACCCGTCGCGGCGAGGGAAGGCAGGCCCAGCCAGCGGGAAGTGCCCGGGCGGTGCAGGAAACCGCGCCGGCCGAGAGCAGCCGCGGAGGGAAGGAGGGCTGGCCCGGGCGAGGGGACCGCCTTGCCTGCCTCTCCCATCCCAAGCGAACCCCCAAAGCTCCCCGGGAGAGCCAGCCTGGCCCGTCCCCCATGAAGCCGGACGCGCCGCGGCTGCGACCACCCGCCGGAGACCCTCTTCGTCTCAGGTGACTCCAAAGGCTCCCGGGGGGGGGGATCTTCGTTCGGGGTCTTTGGGGGGGGCAGCAGCGGAGCGGACCTCTTCCCAGCATCAGGGGGTGCTGGCCGCCTTTTGATTTGGGGAAGGGTCGATGCGCTTCAAGCTGTGAAGGTCAGCGCGATTTGGGGGAGGGGGCGAACCGGAGACTTTCCGCATTCGTTCGCAGCCAGAGGAGAGCGCAGCTGGAGCCGCAGCTGTGCGTGTCGGGCCGGTGTGGGGTGTGTGTGTGGGGGGGGGGCGAGGAGTGATGCTGAGGGGGCAGGGAAGCCAAAAATGGATTCTTGCGTCCTTGCTCCTTCCGGAGTAACTGAGGCCTAAGGACCAAAAAGTACAAATAAATCCAAAAATGGCTGAATGAACGTGTGGGTTTTTGGGAGACTTGTGCAACTTTCTCACTGCAGTAGGTGGCACCATTGCCTTGATTTTGGCTGAACCCATTGTGCCGGGTAAGTACTGGCAGGAAATCCCAGCGCTGTAGCCTAAACTGGGAAGTTACAACCAAAATTAAACAAATGCAGAAGGGTAAATCACTTTTACATTGCAGTCGCTACCTACAAGTCAAACAAGCTCCAGGCAAAAGAGGCTTTTTTTTTTCTTATTCAGGATCTCAGTCTTGTAGCTAAGAGTCAGGAAACCTTTGGATCAGGCCCCTCAAAGTCCTGAGTAGAGAGACAGTTTTGCCTCTCCTTTTTCTGGAGTGACCTCAAAGTTTCAACATGAATTTTTTGCAGAAACAATATAAAATTTTGTGCTTGGTTTATTCAGCAAGAGGGGGCAACGAAGAAAATTCTTCTTGCCGGCAAGGAATTTTCTGCCTCCAAACCTCTGCCAAAGGAGCACAATTTTGCCCAAGAAATGGGAGTGGCAAAGTTTAGCATTCCATGTGTACTTTCATCCTCCTTTAATTAGCAGAGTTAAGAAACTGTGATGGCTTCCTAGCTTGTCTTCTGTTCATCTGGCTTGGCTCTTCAAGGAAGCTGCGGCTATCGAAGTTGCTGTAACCACAAGGTGTTCTTCTGAGTTGCTCAGAAACCTTCTCTGTCCTGTGACTTTAAGAGGCAAAGGGCCAGAGGAGGAGAACTGGCAGAGAGAATCAGCCTGGCATTTGATAGGAGAAAACAAACCGGTCTGCCCTTCAGATTCTGGATCTCAAGAGTTGTTCCTAGAGAAAGCTGTAGATCAGAAGGTGTGCCTTTGACAGAAAGTTCCTTAAAAAAAAAAAACCTGCTTTTCTAAAGCAACTTGTTCTGCAGATCCTCAGATATATTCCAGTTCTTCTTTCTCTCTTTCCTGGCTTCCTGCTATCAATCCTCTCTTTTCACCCACCGCAAGGATTTGAGTTTTCTTGGTGAGGACTGTGAGTTTTATGTTTTGCTGTTGTGTTTGCTTGGTGCATGGCTTGGTAAGTGACATCTGGTAGCCATCCCAGCGTGGCAGAGGGTAAAACTCTTTTAGGAAACACAACGATCCACACGGGTGGCTGAGTTGACTCCAAAGTGAGCCTTGGAGGTCTTGATCTTGGGCGAACGTGTGTGGTGGGTCGCCGTCTAAACCGCTTTTTGCTGAGCTCAAATAGGCCAGTTTATTTTCCTTTCTAAGTTGAGGTCCTGGCAAGCAACAAGTCATTTTCATCCTGAAGGTGCTTTTAGGAAAGGATTCTTCCAGAACAATGACCATTGGAATTTAAGCAGGACAAGAGACACCAAGGGATGGGAATTATCCAGGACAGTTATGTTCTACTTTGTGCAAAATGTGTCTGTTGCAAACTGGACCAGAAAGAGCTTATGAAGATTCCACTAGATTGAAATCAGAACAATTGATGTAAGAGGTAGAAAGACCCACAAGGTGAGACTCTACTTGAGTAGCATTCAACTCGTGGGTGATAATTTCTCCCTGGATCCTGTTATGATCTGTCCTTTGGTTTTAAAAGGGGAGATTGTGCCAGCAACCCAGGGCAAATTCCGTAAATCAGTCTTTGAGCATGCTGGGCTAGGATGCACCAGGAGAGTCCTTGCCACAAGACCTCTGACTCTTGATGTCTTTTTCAGTTGAAGGACAGGACTTTGGCGTCATGCCTTTCAGGCACTGGCTTCCCCAGATGGGGGTCCAGTACAGTCGAGTGAAGGCCAGAACCCCTAGAGGGAGAAGCAGGGGGGCTGCATCGCTGGCAAGACACCTGGATCTCATGTTGGGTAAGCAAGGATGGGTTCTGGGTTAGAAAGGGTTGGAATGGCAAGGGAGCTTCGGGACATGTTATTTTTCCTTTCTTTTCCGAGTCGGGGGGGGGGTGTTAATTTGGATGTTTCTGCTCCCATTGGGCCAATTAAAGTCTGAAGAAGGGAGAGGAAGACTTGTCTCCAACTTTGGGAGGATCTTTGTAAGCAAGACTTCCAAGGGTTTGAGCCTCTTGCTCCAGAATCCATTGAAGTTGGAAATGAATGAGAGAAAGAAAGAAAGAAAGAAAGAAAGAAAGAAAGAAAGAAAGAAAAAGAAAGAAAGAAAGAAAGAAAGAAAGAAAGAAAACTAGCCTTCACCTACAACCATCCTACTTTTTCAAAATGAAGTGGGTTTCTTCTCTTTCGCTCAATCATAAAGCTTCTGGACCACAGTTTCTCAACTCAGCAAATTTAAGATATGTGAACTTCTGGGGAATTCTGAAAGTTGAAGTCCACACATCTTAAATTTGCAGCGATTGCAAATTTAAAAAATTCTGGACCAACTCTTCTCCTCCTTGCAAACAGGGAAGATTCTGTTCCATTCTTTCCTGCCTTCAAGACCACTTCTGAGTTAATTGTTCTTCAGCCTTCCCCCTATCTATTAATTTGCTTCTGTTCTGCTTGTGACTCAACAACTGGGATTAAGGGAGGGTTAGGATTAGACAGAATCCTTTCACCACACCCTGTGGGAGTGATAACACTTCCCGCAGCTATTTCATCAATCATGTCAAGTTCTGATGTTTCACAGGCTCCCTACATGTTCTGGCTTAGTCATGCCTCACTGTGGACTTCAGTGGAGTCCTGTCATGGGATGCAAAAATGTGCAACATCTTTCCTCAAAGTGGGCTAAGCAGAACGCCATCCCCCTGCTTCATAAATTGCTAAAGTATAACATGTAAATTGTCTGAAACAAATGGATAGCTTCATAATTGCTTTCTTTTTTTCTTTTTGGTCTTCTTTGATCTGTGATACAGGGAGAAGCCAACTCCTCAAAAGAATATTTTACCTAGATCAGATTCGGTGCTCCTTGGCATCTCCACTCAGGTAAGAGCACACCTCTGAGGTCTCAGCTCCAGGTGGACAGGATGTTTCTTCTAAGGAAGACGTTGGCTCCTGGGTGGGCGGGTGAGGGATTCAGCATTGAGAGTAGTCATCCCATAGGCCGAGGCAAAGCTTCAGAGCATGCCAAGAAGATGAATTGATGACCTTCCAGATGTTGTGCTCTCAGCATTCTTTGCTATTCTCCAGGCCACCTGAGAAGGTTGGGAATTGTGGTTCAACCTTGACTGAAGGATCATGCAAGCTCCCCTGCTCTTATTCCATCTTGGAAAAGCTTCTGAGTTCTGCCATCTTGGGGCGTCGAAAAACCTTTCCTCAGCAGCCTTCTGGAATTCATTCCAGGGGTTACAAGAAGCCAACTCTAGAAAGTTCTAATATTTAATAGCAGCACCAAGGATCCGTTTTGTTCCAGAGCAGTCTGTTGGTTTACCTACTCCATCTAACATGAGTTTTGAGGACTCTTAAGAAGAAAAGGGTCTTTTCCATCTACCACTCCCTCTTTTACCTTAATATTCAGGGATTGGAGCCATAGTCTTCTGCTTGGAAACAGGTTTTTTTCTGCAAAGCTATGGCCATTATCTACTGCAGGATTGTGGCCTACACTTACACTCTTGTTGATTCCCAAGAACATCTGTAGCCTCCAGAGCTCCTCCAAAAATTGCCTTTGTAATGTAGTTTTGAATATGATGAGAGAATGGAGTAATGAAATATAAGAGAGTAAAGAGATAATGAAATGTGATTTCATTTCAGCTTATTTTTTTTTTCTGGGCCCACTTGGTAGTATTGCCCACAAATCTTGGCATCAGAGTTACATCATTCTTCTAACACTTTTGTTCCTCCACAGGAACTTCACCCATTACCAGGGAATGTCACAAGAGGCAACATCTCGGCCTGCTTCCCCCAAGTCAAACCAGCGAGTGCCGAAGAACGTAGCAACTTCTGGTAAACCTGTGGACCTCCTTCCTCTGAGGATTGATGGGTTATGAAAGTCCATCAGATACAACCCATGTATCCCGATGTCTAGGGATACGTTTTTGAAAGCAATAACAAGGGACTTAATCTCCTTCTCACCTTTCCTTTTCTTGTTCCTCCCCAGAAGCCATCCAAAAACACAAGAAAAGCCTGGCGGATTGGTTTTGCCGGCAGCCCAATGAGGAGAGGCAGTTTGGGCCTTCCTTTGCTCTGGATGCTACCCACATTGATCCAGTGATCCGGGAAAGTTCCCTGGAGGAAATCCTGAAACCATCCACGGATCTGACAATCCAGAACCAACTCCAGGCTTCTTGCTGTCATACCATTGGTCTCCAGAACCTTTTTGACGAGGATCCCTGTGGGCAAGAAGTGAAGAATGTGGTCCTCTATGGAACGGTGGGCACTGGAAAAAGCACCCTCATCAAGAAGATGGTGATGGACTGGTGTCATGGGCACCTTCCTCATTTTGAGCTGCTCCTTCCCTTCTCCTGTGAAGACCTTTCGCAGGGCAACAGCCCCGTGTCTTTGCGCCGTCTAGTGACCAAGAAATACCTCCACCTCCGGGATGTGGCTCCACTGCTTGGCTCCAGCAACCTCAAGGTGCTCTTCATCCTCAATGGCCTTGACCGCCTCAATCTGGACTTTCGCTTGGCCCGCACTGAGCTTTGTGGTGACCCCAATGAACCCACCTTGCCAGCTGCTATTGTCGTCAACCTGCTCAGGAAGTACATGATGCCTGAGGTTTGTGGGGAGGGATTGGCAGATAACCACCCTGTGCCCTCCCTCTTGTGTTTTCTTTCTCCCTGCTTGCACCAAGGAGGCAGCTCAGATGGGTAGCCTTGAGATTTGCAAATTAGAGTTGCTTTGGATGGGATTAGTTTTTATGAAGTAGTGGAAATCAATCATCTTTTATTTGCTTAGGGCAAATGCTTAAAATATATTTTATTGGATGATCTTTGCCTATCCATCCCTTACTTAATCTGCTTTGAACTAATTGGAAGACAAGTGGGATAGAAACGGAATGAACATTAACCACTATGAGGGGTCCTTAGTGCTCTCTGAGTTTGGGGGGGTGGGTTTACAGACGTTTCATCACCCAAACTAGGTAACACAGTCAGTGCTAGAAGGAAGTGGGATTTGAGGAGAGGAGGTGGCGGAGGAGGAAGAGGACTGTGGGGCCCTTGGTTCTCTTTGAGCTTGGTGGTTTTCTTGCAGACGTTTCATTACCCAAACTAGGTAACATCATCAGTGCTAGAAGGGAGTGGGCTTCAGAGAGCAAAACCCCGCTGTCAGAATCCAATTATATTTCATCTTTAAATTATCAAATATAGAAACTCCCAATTCTGCCTTCTCTGGATTCTGCCATAAGAGGGAGAGAAGGGGGAGAACAAAGGGGCTTTATGGCCCTCACTTCCTTCTTTACACTTCAAAGAGCTGAATGCTGAATGTGTGTTTATTGTAACCTCGAAGCGTTAACATACCAAAGGAGGGAAGTTGCCTTTCATGTAGTTATCTGAAGTCTCCATCCAGACGGAAGAAAGAAGAAAGGGAGTGGAATTGTGATACTTGAAACTATCACTGGAAGGGGGGTTGATTGGGTGGGACTACTGGGGAACCCCTTAAAACCTTGAATGGGAGAGCTTGGACCCCAAGTCCTGTCTAGTATGCCTGCAACCATTTTCTCTTAATAAAGGATTCCTGTTGGAAGAATTATTCCAAGAGTTCTGTCTTCTTAAGATGCAAAGTGGGGTGGGTCCTTACACCCGCTCCCTTCTAGCACTGATGATACTACCTAGTTGGGTCATGCAAGAAAACAACCAAGCTCAGAGAGCACTAAGGACTCCTCATTTCAACCCTGAGCTACAAAGATTCTCTTTTATTGGTTACTAACCACTACAGATGATAATGATGAGTGGTGAAGAAACTAAATTGCACCGGTTCTGTACTGAGGAGTCCCATAATGAGGACTCATAATTTCATATCTCGCCCTTCTCCTGCTGTTTTCCACCATGAATGCCATTTAAACACCAGTGGGTCTGTGACTTGTGATTAACTCCAGTTGATTTCCGTTCCTCCAGGCCAGCATCATTGTCACTACTCGCCCTTCGGCGGCACGTCGAATCCCCAGCAAGTTTGTGGGACGCTACGTTGAAGTCTGTGGCTTCTCGGACCTCAACCTCCAGAAGCTTTACTTCCAGATGCGCCTAAGGCAGCCGGAGTGTGTCAGAATCGCTGGTCCCCCCACGGCAGAGCAGGCAAATGAGCAGGACAACCTTCTGGAGATGCTGTCAAGGAATCTGGAGCGGCACAACCAGATTATGGCTGCCTGCTTCCTTCCTTCTTATTGCTGGTTGGTGTGCACTACCTTGCACTTCCTTTATTTTACCAAGACGGTTCCTCCAACTCAAACTCTGACGGGGATCTACACCAGTTTCCTACGGCTCAACTTTAGTGGGGAAGTGCTGGACAGCACCGATCCCTCCAACATCTCCATGATGAAGTATGTGGCCAAGACGGTGGGCAAGTTGGCCTATGAAGGGGTGATGTCTCGACAGACTTGCTTTACTGAGAAGGATCTCCGCCGCTGTTTTGAGGTAGAGATGAAGACGGAGAGTGAGCTTAACCTCCTGAACACCTTCCGGAGCGACGTTCTCCGCTTCTTCTTGACCCCCTGTGTTCAATCAGGCAAGGAACACACTTTTGTCTTCACTATCCCCGCCATGCAAGAGTACCTGGCAGCTCTTTACGTGGTCTTGGGGGAGAAGAAGACCCTGGTGCAACGGGTGGGCAAGGAAGTCTCTGAAATTATTGGAAAAGTCGGCGAAGATGTGGCCCTGGTGCTCAGCGTGGTCTCCAAATTCTTGCCGTTGCGCATCCTGCCCCTTCTCTTCAACCTCATCAAGATCTTCCCCCGCTACTTCAGCCGGTTTAGTACCAAGGACCGTGATACCATTGCTCGCACTATGGCAGTGGAGATGTTCAAAGAGGAGGACTACTTCAATGACGATGTCCTGGACCAGATCAACTTCAGCATTCTTGGGGTGGAAGGCCCCATGCGCCACCCAGATGAAGCTTCCGACGATGAGGTCTTTGAACTTTTCCCCATCTTCATGGGTGGGTTGCTGTCACGGCGTAACCGGGCCATCTTGGATCAACTGGGCTGTCCTATCAAGAATCTGGCTGCTTTTGAGATTGCCAAGGCCATGAAGAAAACGGTCATCCGGAATAGCCGTAAGGGCTTGCCGCCATCCGAGCTGATGGACTATCTCTTCTTTTTACACGAGTTCCAGAACGAACGTTTCACAGCGGAGGCTATCCAGTCCTTGAGGACCATCAACCTTTCTTCGGTCAAGATGACCCCTCTCAAATGTGCAGTCCTGGCTTCAGTGGTGGGCACCACGAGCCACAGCGTCGAGGAGCTAAATCTTGCCTCTTGCCATCTCGATGTCGGCAGCCTGAAGACCCTCTTCCCTATTTTGCTACGATGCAAGAAACTCCAGTGAGTTACAGTGCTATAACTGAGCATGATCCACACAATTCACATCGGGGTGAAGCTTCAATTATTATATGCAAATAAATCTAAGGAACTTCCTAGAGTGCAGCAAAGTTTCAACCTCCCTTTTTACATAACGATGTGCGTTTAACCCACATCTTTTTTTAATTCATGTTTTTGTTTTTTTAAGAAAGTGAATTCATTTGGTTCCTTAGACATACCAAGGTGCCGTTCTTAAGACATCCTGCTTTTCTGGCACGTTTACCGTATTTATTTGAAGGGAAGTTAATGCTGAATTTAAAGGATTGAGCAGAAAATACAGATGTTTCCAGCAAATTGAAGAGAACATCCTGTACCACCCCTCCTCCCAACCCTTTGAAAATAGATTATTTGCAGAAAATGCCTAGGAAATTCGGTAGTCATTTGGTAAATCAGTTCCAATGCCGTTATTTTATAAGGGCTAAAAAATTGCAATCTTGACTTTGACCAGAGGTGGCAAAATCAGATAGAAAGTTAGAAAGTCATTTTATGGTTGAAACTGAAGATGAGTCTGAGAGCCGAGAAGCTTCCTAGGGCAGCCTTCCACCAGCTTTGGGGTACTACATATCCCATCATCCTTGCCAGCCTGGTCAAAGGGAGCCCAGCCCGATACATCAAGGAAGCTGACCTAGGATGCTGGACTTGCAACTCCAACATTGTTCTGTTGTCTCCTCCAGTTTGCAGCTCAACAGTCTGGGTCCAGAGGCGTGCAAGGAGATCCGGAATCTGCTTCTGCATGACAAATGTGTGCTCGACACCTTGCGGTGAGTGTGAAGGCTGGGTGGGAGGATGGCTTCCACCTTGGCGAGGCAGACAAGGAGAGCTATATTTCTGATGACTTATAGGTCGAAACCAAACTCTTAGCTCAAAGCAGAAAGTGAAAAGAACGGGTGAGAGACATCAAAGCTGGTTTGAAGCTGGTCTCTCTAGACCCAGTCAGCTCTCTGACTTGGTTGTGATGTTCCATCTAAACAAATTTCTCCCTTCTCTCTCTCTGACCTGTTGCTCTCCAGAGAAGCTTTGCTTGCAACTCTACTGTTGAGGAATATTTTTTATTTATTTCTTATTTAGAAAATATGCATCGCCGCCTACTCACACATGGAGACTCAAGGTGGCTTACATCAGTAAAAAAACACCCTATAAAAATAAAATAACAAGAGGAAAAATAAAATAATATAATAATCCCCCAGCCCTCTGGCCCAGTGGCAACACACATTAAACTAGCCATTTGCTGGGCTCTATCCCACTCTGAGTTCCCCAGGCCCGCTGGCAGAACCAGGTCTTCAGCGCCTTCCACTTTTCTGGAGAACAGCAGGTTGGGATGGGTGAATTTGTAATCGGCCTTGGATGGGTACGTGGGATGCAGGATAGTCCAGCCCTTCTGTTTTGTTGGATTGATGTTCTTGGAGCATACCTATGAGTGTAGCATGCACCCTGTAGACAAAACACGCAAGTAATGTTTGCCAAAGCAGCAAGATACCACTCTTGATTGGCCAGTACAAAATTTGACCATATATATACAAAGTTCTGGATGGCACCAAGGGCACAACAATGAGAGAAGATAGCAGAATTGTGGAAGGAGATGCTTTCTTTTTCTACTACTGATCTTCTCAACAAACATCAAACATATCAGGCAAAAGATTCTTGGGATTGCAGGAATGATGGAATCTATGGGTCAGCCCATCTAGAAGACATCTGATTAAAGGAGGTTGGGCAGTGGAAAAGGTGATGACGTCTCCTGTGTTGATGTTTACTGTGTCCTCCTCAGACTTGCGGATAATCCATTGACTGAGGAGGGGGCTCTCTATCTAGCTGAAGGCCTGGCTGGCAACAGCTCATTGAGAAATCTCTCACTCCTTCACACCTCCCTGGGGAATCAGGGCGTGAAGGTGATCACCCAGCACCTGGCTCAGAACCAGCACCTACAGGAGCTTGATGTGGCCTACAATTCGCTGACTGACGAAGCTGCGTTGGCCCTGGTCGAGGAGGCCAAGAGACACGCAACGCTGGAAAAAGTGCAGTGAGTTTCCCATGCCACTTCTTAGTTGAACATCCAAGGCATGTGTGTCTGGAGTTCTCTTACGCCTTTGGGTCACTGAGAATTTTTAATTTTTAATAAGAGCCGAGGTGGCGCAGCAGTTAGAGTGCAGTCCTGCAGGCCACTTTAGCTGACTGTGTTCAGCAGGTCAGCGGTTCAAATCTCACCGGCTCAGGGTTGACTCAGCCTTCCATCCTTCCGGGGTAGGTAAAATGAGGACCCAGATTGTTGGGGGCAATGTAAATATATATATATATATATACATTGCTTACTGTTGTATACCGCTTAGAGAGTGCTTGCACTTAAAGCGGAATATAAGTCTCATAAATAAATAAATAAATTTTGGCAGAGGGTGTCTCCTTGATGGTCCCAAGATCATGGGCAGAGAGAAGGAAACCCCCATGATCTAGTTTGACTTTCACAGCAGAAGGGAAGGGAACAGGAGACAACTGAAAGCCTTGGAAGACTGGGCTGGCTTTTGAAAGAAGTCCATCACTGAGGAACTCAAAATTCTGTACCCTCACCTTTTGGTCCTCTGTAGAACCTCAGGAGCACATCATGGAATTATGGAAACTTCTTTGCCAAAAGTCTATTTATAGTTTACTTTGACGAAGGGGTTTCACTGGTAATTAGTCAATAGAACTGAGAATTTTTGATCTGAGTGTCCATAAAGCAGAAAATACAACACTGGATGGCGGGCTTGGAATAGGGGTGTGTGACAGTTTAAATGGGAAGTGCAAGAGAGCCCATAAAAATCTCATCTCCTTACTTTTCAGATGTATCCTACCAAGCTAGCTTGGACTGTGTTGGGATGCAAAGCAGGATGAAGCAGAACAATTAAATGGGTGGGTGTTTTTTGCCATTGTGGGATGCTGGTCATTTTATGAAGTTTTTAAAAAACTAAAAAAAAAGTCTCATTCAAGGAGACTATGATTTCTGGATTCAATTCAATTCAAATTCAAGGCAACTATCATTTCTGGAGAGCCAGAAGTGATGAGTAAATGATTAAGGCACCAGGTTAGAAACCAGGAGACGGCGAGTTCTAGTCCCGCCTTAGCCATGAAAGCTGGCTGGCTGACTTTGGGCCAGGCATTCTCTCTTAGCTCAACCCACCTCACAGGGTTGTTGTGTTATGGGGAAAACAGGACAAGGAAAGCGTATAGGATATGTTTGCCGCCTGGAATTATTTGTAAAAATAATAAAAGGTGGGATACAAATGGGTAAATAAAAATGCCATTTTATCGTGATGTTCTCCAACCTGACCCTTTCAGATCTGTTGGGGATGACTTCCAGAATTGCTGTCTCTGGAATTGGCAGCCAAGGGTGCCCGTTGGAGCTGGCTGGTCAGTTCATGTGGACCTGTCCTGCTTCTAGCTCCTAAAGCTTTCCTTCTCTTCTTCCTCTTCCTCCTCCCCAGCTTGTACTTCAACGAGATCAGTGAAGAAGGCAAGCAAGCCCTGCACGAATTGCGCAAGAACCAGGACGGCCTCCGCGTGCTCATTTACCTGACCATAGGAGCAGATGTGTCCGACTACTGGGCCATCATCCTGAACGTGGTCCAGAAGAACCTGCCCATTTGGGACCGGGACCGGGTGCAGCAACATCTGGGGCTGCTCCTGGAAGATCTTCAGTGCAGCCGCCGACAGACAGTCAACCCCTGGAAGAAACTCAAGTTCATGAGAGTGGAAGGGGAGGTCAAGAGGATGCTGGGTCACATGCAGAGAGGCACCCTTTGACCCTTGGTTCCAGGACCACTGACAACGCAGGCTTCCTACCAGGCATTGAAACACCGGTTGATTCAGATGCCACAGTGAATCTACTTGGCTACCATGATTATTGGACGGGGTTGGCTAAGTTGGCCCTTCAGGGCTCTTCTCATGTTGTTAGGAAACTAAGTTGGCAGGTACCGTAGACTAGAGGTAATTCAATCTTGACAACTTTAAGACTTGTGGGCTTCAACTCCCAGAATTCTCCAATCAGTTGGGGAAGGGCTGTGCTGGCTGGGGAATTCTGGAGTTGAAGTCCACAAGTCTTAAAGTTACCTCTTTGTAGAAACATCTGCCAAGGAAAGACGGATTAATATATCCATCTCACATTACCAGGTGGAGGATTCCTGCCTTAATCTCATCTCTATATTTGCTGATTAAAATTAGCTTTTGCCACCTGTTGCCTTCCAGGCAGGTTGGACTACACTGCCCATCACTTCCAGACTGCCCTGGGCCCAGACTGATACATCCGGAGAACAGTAAGTTGGAGAAGGAGGATTCATACAAGACGTTCGTGCTTTTGCAGAACATGGTGTGCATTTTCTTTTTAAAAAAAATTACAAACAACACAGAAACTGTTGGCAAGATCCCTTTGTCATTTGGTGCTGTGCATCCTTGTGGCAAACTCAGTGGTGATTTTCTCCCCCATAGTTTATTCCGGGGGAGGAAAGGATGGTAGTTGCAATGGATGCTCGATTATACATTTAGTCCTCAATTTACGATAATTGAGTGCAACATTTCTGTTGCTAAGCGAGACAGTTATTAAAAAGTGATTTCTGCCCCCATTTTCTTGCAACCATTATTAAGTAAATCACTGCAGTTAAATTGAATGCGCCCCCCCCTTGACTTTGCTTGTCAGATGGTTGCAAAAGGGGATCCCGTGATCCTAGGGCATGGCAACCGTCATAAATATGAGTCAGTCGCCAAGGGTTTGAATTTTGATCATGTGACCATGGGGTCGTAAATGTGCAAAACGGTCAAAAGTCGCTTTTTCCAGTGCTGTTGTAACTTTAAACGGTCACTAAATGAAATGTTGTAAATCGAGGATCACTTGTAAAAGGGATCTTACCGGTTGGTCAGGGGTAGGCAACTTTGGCTCTTTTATGACTCGTGGACTTCAACTCCCAGAATTCCTCTCCCTTTTCCCTCAGCATGGCTGACTCAGGAATTCTGGGAGTTGAAGTCCACGAGTCATAAAAGAGCCAAGGTTGCCTACCCCCAGGTTAGGTGATATTTAGCCGAATGTGCTAGCAAGAATGCAGATTTTTTTTTTAAATGCTTGCTTTGATGGGGTTGACGAGAAGAGTTGAAGCTGACTCAGCGTTTCCCCATGTCTGCAATACAAACAGAAGTGGTTATTCTCTCTATCCCTCCCATTGCATCCTTTCTCTCTCACTCCTTCCGTCGGTACAACACTCCAAATAACGGGTGATTGGCTGGATTCTTTTGCAGAAATGCAGAGAAAGGAGGCAGTAATGTGTTACAACATGTGATACGATCTTGTTGTTCATCTCAGCCAGATTTCTAGACTGGGTTTAAGATCCCAACAACATGGACCAAATCAGGGATTTAAAAAAGGGTTGACTCGTCGCTGGGGTGGAATTGTTTGCCTTTGTGCCTTGAGAAAACTCAAAGCTTGTCCTTGTTGTACGACCCGTTTGGGATTGGAACTTCTTTCACTAAGCGAAGCAGGTGCTAAGGGAGTCAAAGGCAACGTTATGACTTTTTTTGCCATGTCGCTAAGCAAATCGCAAGGTTGTTAAGTGAGTGCAGCTCTCCCTTCCTGACTTTGCCTGTTGCGAACTGCCCTGATTTTGATCACATGACCTCAGGGATGCTGTGATGGTCATAAATGCCATCACCGTCATAACTTTGAATAGTCACTAATCGAACGATCGTTAAATCGAGGCCTAGCTATACACCCAGGGCTTATACGTCCTGTTTCTATAGCCAGAAAAAAATAAACAAATATGCATTGGATATTAAGTGCGCAATTGGAGACCAGCTACCACAAGGTGAGAATTGGAAGGACTGTTTCATACAGAATAAATTAACATTGTTCTGCTGAGCGGAAGCAGGTTCGGCAAACATTTTTTTGAGAAGATGGACGTCTCTGAGCTCTGATGTTTGCACAGAGCCTGCCAGTCGAGGGGCAGTCTATCTTGAAATGCCAACTACCAGGGACAGACAAGGTGGGTTTGTCGTGAACACTTTCACTTTGGTTCCAATTGCTCTCATAAACACAAGTGCGCTCACAACTGCTGGACTCCGGAGGAGTAGCCAAGAATATATATTTCCCGGTTGTAACAAAGGCATTAAAATAAACTTCCAGCTAATGTTTTACATTATAATTTCCTGCTTGTTGCATTATTTAAACGCACCGCTGATTCATAATACCTCCTTGCCGATTGTTCCAAAAAACACAAAAGGAAAACAAAACAAAAAACCTAAATAGAAGGACAAACCACGTTCCTCTGAAAAGAAACCTGAACATTTGCCAAAGAGCAAAAGAAGTTGGTCTTAAAATAATTTTTTTCCTGCGTCAAAGACTCGGCTTGAGAATATTATTCATCGGTTTTATTTATCACCCTCATTCATCACTTCTCTGAAAAAAATGAAAAACATTCACACACAAACCTGGTGACGTCCAGATGACAGATGCATAATGCAAACAGACCTGAGCAGAGCCTTTTCGGGATGTGCAATTCACACTTTCGCTGCTCGCTTGGCGTGCAAACCCCTCGCCTGTCCCATCACCTCCGGATCTCAGAACCCCCAGCTGCCGAATCCAGCTGAACGTCCCTTGCAGGAATGAAAAAGCTATTTTTTACATTCCGCTTGACTTCAGGGAAGAAGGAAGCAACATTGAGAAAAAGATTCTTGTGCTGTTTAAATATTAAACGTGTCAGGCTAAGCCGCCACCTCGCCCCGGACCTTGGACTTCAGAGTGGGAGCAGACATGAAGCAGAAAAAGGGTAAGTGGTCTGGGGCTGAGAGCACCCCTAAACTACAGGGTTGGGTTTCTTACTTAGAGGGTGAGGGACCTAGAGGAATGGAGGGTTACCAAGTGGTGACCGTGACTAACCACCATCAACCTCTCCAGAGGTTCCTGGGAATGCCAGTCTTTCTCTCGCTTGTTTGTTTTCTGTGTCTGAGCGTGTTTCTGGGTTTGACACCCAACTGAAAATAGCAAATAGCCCTGCTGTTTGAAGGCATTCATAACCATCTCTGTTCTTTGTAACCTGTTGTTGAACAAGTCTTAAAAATCGCCCCTTCTTCTAAGGGAACTTTAAATCTGAAGCTGTCGAAATTCAGAAGGAGAATCTGCCAATGTGTTGCTCCCAGCAGGACCCCAGAGGTTGCAAGAAGGTAGAAGTTTAATCCCTGGAACGATCCGCCTCCATTGAACCCCCAAGCCAAGCTAAATTGGGCCATAGGTTCTCCCTCGCTCTCCCCTCCTTGTTATGCTGCTGTTGTCAACATAACCACCTTTGCATCAATTAAATCCAGGAATAAATGTCCTGCTCTCAGTCCAACCTTCTCCACCTAGTTTTGCTTTGCTTAACAGGGTGGAGGAAGAGATGATTATCTGGCCAGCGTTAATGATCTTGCTACATCGATAATCTTTTAACAGTGAACTACAACAAGTGCGCTTCAAAAACACTTTGGGTTTTTGAATCTATCCAGTGGAGAAGAATCTTGTTCAGTATTTGGCTGCTTGGCTCATGCTTAGGCCTTGCTTTTACAGGGCTCCAGGACACCACGGAGTCAACCATGTAAGTGCCACACTGGGGGGGGGGGGGAAGGCACAAGCAAAACTGGCAGACCTACCAACTTTTCTTTCTCCCCCCTCCCTCCCCACCATGTGCAATTCCACACATTCCAACTGTGCACGCAGGCCAGTTTGCACAAACAAGTTGATGGGATGGGTTGATGGTTGGCTAAGCTTAAAGCCATCCATTAAAGATGGCACTGTGGATGGCAGCCTCAGAGAAATGCTGTCTAGTGGGTCTGATCAATGACCTGTTAGTTGCTGTTTATATGTACACTGTGAGCATATGCAATGGAGACCAATTAATTGTGTGTCCAATCATATTTGGCCAATAAAGAATTCCATTCCATTCCATTCTATATTCTATTCTATTCCTTTCTTCTGACGATAAGCTCCAGAATTAAGGAACACTAACCATCAAAGAAATAAGAAAATATTTCCATTTTGGTGGCTTTTCAGCCAGGGTGTCTGCTACCTGTGATGAGAAAATGTTGAGATGGGGGCCATGGGGACGTGACCAAATCTGCTTGTTTGTGGCTTGGCCCACAGATAGAGCTTTGACGGCATTGCTGTGGCCCCAATCTCGAGTTTTTGGACCCTATCCTGTGAACACCTGCTTCTCAACCTTTGAAATGCTCCTTCTTCTTCCTCTCTTGCAGGAAATTTGAATTTAACCCGAAAGAAGGAATTGATAATCCCGCCTTATCTCTGGCAGAGGATTCCGGTAACAAGAGGACTGGCGGTGGCCGCTTGTGGGTGGGAAAGGAAGGGCTGGTGTTTTCCTGAGGCTGTTTGGCAAGTGGGTTGCTTCGTCTGCAAGCTGATGCTTCTTCCTTCTCCCTGGGTTCCCTCTCAGCCAGCGTTCAACTGAGCTCCCTTCCAAGTTCTTTGCAAACGTCACGGCCAAGTTTGAGTGTTCTACTAGACAGGACTCAAGACAAGGAATTGTTAGCGTGTGATGGGAGGTGGGTTCAAGGGTTCAGCCGCCTCCTGTATTCAAGAGAGCCCATCTACCAAGGAAGGTTCTCATAAGGGATTGTAATAGAATCGCTGTAGCTCAGGATGGTGCTGAGTTTAGTGGGTTTTTTGCAGATGTTTCATGACTTGACTAGGTAACATCATCAGTGCTAGAAGGGAAGGGGGTTTGTGGAATGAAGGATAGGAGGAGGAGGAGGAGGAGGAGGAGGAGGAGGAGGAGGAGGAGGAGGAGGAGGAGGATTGCGGGGTCCTTGGTGCTCTGTGAGCTTGATGCTTTTCTTGCAGACATTTCATGACCTGACTAGGTAACATCATCAGTGCTAGAAGGGAAGGGGGTTTGTGGAATGGAGGAGAGGAGGAGAACTGTGGGTCCTTGGTGCTCTGTGAGCTTGGTGTTTTTCTTGCAGACATTTCATGACCTGACTAGATAACCTCATCAGTGCTAGAAGGGAGGGGGAGAGGGGAGATGACTATGTTATTGATCTTAGTTATTTTCTTGCAGATGCTTCATGATCCAACTCGGGAACATCATCCGTGCTCTCATCATCAACGTTAGCATTGATGAAGTTCCCTAGGTGGGCCGTGAAAGATCTGCAAAAAACCAATCAGGCTGAAAGACCACCAAGGACTGCATAGTGGTGGTTCTGCATGTGTCTGCTGGCTGGGGAATTCTGGGAGTTGAAGTCCATAGGTCTTAAAGTTGCCAAGATTGGGGACCCTTGATATAAAGAACTCGGAGTCCTTTCACTCAGCCTATCCTTTTCCTCCATTTTCAGTCTTCCCAATACAAAGGTCCACCCTCCTCAGCCAAGCCATTTTGAAAAGAGACGCCCCTTTTGTCTCCCTCAGAACCAGAAGGCGCTTCCCAGCTACGCTTCTGTTTACTGAGGAAAGCTGGTGCTGAGAGCCTGGGCTTCTCGTTGTGTCAGGAGGCTGGAGGGTTGTGCCCCATCGTGCGGAAGGTGACACCGGGAGGGCTGGCCTACCGTAGAGGCCTCCGGGATGGAGACCGAATCCTTGAGGTCAACGGAGTTAACGTTGAAGGCATGGGATATCTTCGGGTAAGGTTTTGATGCCTCTCTTGCTTTGATCTGGGTATATTGGGTGCCCCTGCCTCCGGGCACAAATGTTCAAAATTAAACAAGTCTCACAAATGAACAGCTTCACAACCTTGGCAACTTTTAAGGCATGCGGACTGCAGTGCTGGCTGGGGAACTCTGGGAGTTGAAGTCCATATCTTTAAGGTTACTTAAGGTTGAGAAACACAACTGTGGTCAACTTCATCCATCTAGATCAGGGCTCTCCAAACATGGCCAAGTCTTGTGGGCTTCAACTCCCAGAATTCCCCACTGAGGAATTCTGGGAGTCGAAGCCCACAAGTGTTAAAGTTGCCAAGTTTGGAGATCCCTGATCTAGATGGTGTCTGTACCGGAACATGCTGGCAGGGGAATTTTGGGAGTTGAAATCCACACATCTTAAAAGTTGTCCATGTTGGGAAACCCTGATCTAGATGGGGACTACACTGGGATCAAATGTTGGAGCAGATTGTCAGCTTCTGACATTTGATTTTCCCTTTCCAGATGTCTCTCTCTCTCTCGCTCTCTGTCTTGTCTCGTTTCCAGGTGATCTGGAAGATCAAGAGTAGCTCAAAGCAGGTCTTGCTCACTGTCCTGGAAGGGAACACCTACGAGGTAGCCAAAGCCCTGAACCGAGATCTCAACCAGCTTTTGTCCAATTACGGCAGGCCACGCCTGTGCTGTGTTTCCAAAGGCTCAAGTGGCTTTGGCTTCAGCGTGTCAGCTCCAGAAGGTAGCAGCAGGAGTTGTTTCTGCTTATCTCCGTTTGTGCTCACGGTTTTGCACTGTTAACTTGAAAGATTCTGCCTTGGGAGAAGTCAGCTCTCTTGTTCTGAGTTGGGTTATTTATGCATCTGGTTTCTGCTGCTAGATTCACATTTGACATGCATATCATGCAAGGGGCAGGATCAGCAAGAGGAATGGAAAGAGAATGGAGGCGTTGCAGCCAAAGAATAAGCAATGGATCATACGTGGCAGGATGAGACATCTCCAAGGAGACGTGCTGAGACAAGGTCTGGCCTGGCCTTCCTCTCCCTTGGGATGACCGGTTCTGCCCCCAAGCTCAACTGATATGGGATCCAAACTGATGCTGATGGAAGGGTCAGCTGATGCCCAGCCAGCTTTTTTTCCATGAAAGGAGAGAGGTTTATGTCCTTTACTTTGGGCCTGAAAAGGACAATCTTGCAGATAAATAATTAATCAGTCACAGCTTCCCTCTGCCAGAATCTCCGACGCTGTAGTTGGTCAACATTCCTGGTAGTTCTCCATTAGAGATGCCTCAGGATTAAAAAAATCCACAAAAAGTCCTCTAAAATCTTTAAATGCTCTTAAAAACAGGAAGGACTTTTAATCTAATCTTAATGCTATAATTGGTTTTTTTTATGCTAAGGCACAACAGGCCTAGTTTGCTTATATTAGCTCTCTTGAATGTCTGTCTGTCTGTCTGTCTGTCTGTCTGTCCGTCCGTCCGTCCGTCCGTCCGTCCATCCATCCATCCATCCATCCATCCATCCATCCATCCATCCATCCATCCATCCATCCATCTATCTATCTATCTATCTATCTATCTATCTATCTATCTATCTATCTATCTATCTATCATCTCTGTCTCTCAACTTTCTATCTATCTAATTTAGGTTCTGCCCATACCATCTCAGAGTGACACTCGGTCATTTACAGCAAAAAGCATAAAACCATGTATCTGGTTATATATATATTGTGTGTGTGTGTGTGTGTGTGTGTGTGTGTATACAGTATATATATATATGGTTACATTATATTGAACAATATAGTATATTGCATTACAGTATGTATACCATATTGTATTATATATTACAGCATATAATATATAGTTAGATATTATCATCTCTCTCTATAAACAACGTAATATATGTTTACGATATATTGAACAGCATAGTGGGGAATCAGCAATAAAGACCAGTCTTTGTAGCATACAAAACATGATTTATTTGTCTCACTATGTTGAGTAAATCCATCCAATTGTAGTTTGCTCAAGAAAGCAAGCTTGGGTAAACCAAGAGTTCACACAAACTACAGCATTATCGCAGTCACAATATGGACACCCAGAGGCCTTTGTTTAATTTCTGTTACTTGTTCTTCTACTCCGCTAAAAAAATGAGTACCGGAGAAAGAGGAAGGTGGCTGAGGGCAGGTTTGCTGGTAGAGGGAAGAAGCTACCTAGGAAAGCTGGTTGTTTTCAAGGGCGCAAGTTCTCTTCCTTCACAAGGCTTTCTCTTGATGTTGTGGTCCTTCTGGGCAGGTGTGACTGGCATATTCCAACTCTCCGTGCTGCAGGATGGGCCAGCTCAGAAAGTAGGGGTGCCGCATGGTTCCTGGCTGGTGGAACTCAACGGCGTCAGTGTGAAGAACTGGACGACTGCACAACTCAACCAAAAGGTTCTACCAACGCAATGTACTTTGAGATTTATTAAGTGCCAGTCTCTTACGTTCCATTCCACCCTACCTCTAGGATGGAGGTTAGAACTTTCCACCTTCTTTTGGTGGAGATCATGCTGTACGTATTGTGGGCCACATGGCCTCCATATCTGGTCATGGAAGATCTTCCCACTTCCCACTCCATAAAACTTTCCCGTTTGGTTTTCTCTGCAACAGAGGAAGGAGTGAGTAATTCTTTCCTGGGTTTTGACTGGATAAAGTCAATGATTCTAGATTAAAGAGAGCTCTTTTCCTCCCAAAACTTTACCCTGGCCAACCTCTGGGTGTTTTTATGCAGCCCCTTCTCCTTTCGTGGCCAAATAATTTCCCAACCCTGTCTAGAACTAGTCCTCAAGAGGACATTTGATCAGTGTTCTCTTTTCTCTCTCTCTCGCTCCGATTTGGATTCAGATCAAACAGAGCAGCAGCCCCATGGGGCTCCTGGTGATGGACAGCCGGTCGGAAGCGGCGTACCGACAATGTGGTGTTAAGGTTACAGCCAGCCTGGCTGATGCCTCTTGGGTTCCGTTCCAAGTGAGGAAGCTTCAGATGAAGCGAGGAGAAGACGGATATGGCTTCTTGATGAAAGAAGAAAAATCTAGCTCGGGGAAGAGGGGTGAGGCACCTCCATTGCAGGCTCCATTAAAGCTAGTCCTCGACTTACCACCGTACGTTTAGTGTCCAGTCGAAATTACAACTTTGAAAAACGGGACTTAGGACCAGTCCTTGTATTTGTGACATCACCGCATCCCCGTGTCACATGATCGAAATCTGTTGCCTTGGCAATCAGCATGTATTTATGACCATTGCAGCATCCCGGGGTCATATGATCGCCATTTGCCACCTTCTCAGCCACCTTCCAACCAGCAAAATCAATGGGGAAAGCTCGATTCACTTAACGGCTAACAACTGCAGTAATTCGCTTAACAACCAGGGCAAAGAAGGTCTTAAAATTGGATGAGGTTCTCTTAACAACCTTGCTTAGCCAAGGAAATTCTAGTCCTAATTGTGGTCGTAGGTCAGGGACTACCTGTATAGCTTCTCCTAAAAATATAAATCAAGTGACTCTGGGGCACGGTAGAGAAGATGCTCAACCCTTCTTCTTTCTGCTTCTTCCAGTCTGAAGCTTTGTCTTCCAGCTTCCCAGGAAGTGGGAGTCAAGCCAACTTCCGCTCACAGTTGGTGGAAGGATTACAGGCTACAAGATTACAGCTATCTTGGGTTACTCCTGACAACCCCGCCATACAGGCTAGGAGTTGGGAGCTGTATCCAGCAGATCTACCAGATTAGGAAAGCCAGATTTAGAATAGATCAATGGCAGAGGAAGCTGGATCCCATTCCTTTAGCAGATCTCCAGTTTTCCTTCCAAGTAGGTTGGGCTGTTTTGTGAGAAAAAGCATGCCCGTCAGATGGGGATGGAGAAAAACATTTCAGCTAGCTTCTAGGCCAGTGTTTCTCAACTGTGGCAACTTGAAGATGGGTGGACTTCAACTCCTAGAATTCCCCAGCCAGCATGGGAAATTGGCTGGCATGGCTGGCTGGGGAATTCTGGGAGTTGAAGTCCACCCATCTTCAAGTTCCCAAGGTTGACAAACACTGGTCTAGGTAGAAGTGCTCAGGGCCCAATCATAAACTGATGTGGAAAAGAGGATCAGAAGTTTATATATTGGAGAAAATTTGGAATCTGGTGTCTGGAAGTTCTTAGCTATTATCTGTTGGCAAAATTTCATGCACGGCCTGTCCTGTCTTTCCTCTCTTTGACTTGCAGCTCAATTTTTGAGAGACCTGGACGCTGGGCTCCCAGCTGAAAAGGCAGGGATGAGAGAAGGCGACTGTCTGCTGGCGGTGAATGGCGAGGTTGTCGAAGAGCTTGACCACCAGGAGGTGGTGTCGAGGATCCGTTCTGACAACCAGCGGGTGACTCTCCTGGTCATCGACTCAGAAGGAAGCAAGTTCTACAATACGGTACCCAAGTCAAGATTATTTCTCTTCCCAGAAACATGGAGATAATAATACACAGAAATCACTTGGGGAGTCTTTATGCAGATATAATCTATGTACCATATACTTCTATCTATCTTTTTAATGCCACGACCCCCCAACCGGTCGTAAGTCGAGGACTACTCAACCAGTCGTAAGTCGAGGACTACTCAACGGGTGCAGCACCGTTTGCAGAATGGGACTTTTGGCGGGCTCAGCAGGGCAGAGACAGCCTGGACAATTCCTATTGGCTTTTGAAAGCCAATAGAATTGGACTCTATTCAAGAGAGTCTATTCTATTGGCTTTCAAAAGCCAATAGAATAAAAGGGAGTAGCACAGCTAAGGAAAAGGGGAAAAAAATGGCGGACTGCGTTGTTTGGCGACCCCCGTGAAATGGGGTCCCGACCCACAGGTTGAGAACCACTAATCTAGGGAGTCCTTGACTTGTATCACAGTTGGGACAATTTCTTTGGCTAACCAAACTGGTTGTTAAGTGAGCGGTGCCTGACTTTATGACCTTTTCTGCCAGGGTTCTTAAGCGAATTATTGCAGTTGTTAAATGAATCAGGCAATCCTTAACTTTTGCTTGTCAGAAGCCTCTAAGGAAGACCACCGATGGAAATGTATGACCCCAGTTGGTAAATACATACTGGTTACCAAGTAATCCAAATTTTCAATTTCAATTCAGAATAGAGCTGGAAGGGGCCTTGGAGATATTCTAGTCCAACCCCCTGCTCAAGCAGGAGACCCTATACCATATTTTGATCATGTGACGGGGGGGGAGATGCTGCACAGATTGTAGTAAGTCATTTTTTCCCATTTTGAATGGACATTATACAAAGAGTTGTAAATTGAATTTCTCCATGAAGTTGTACACTCAGACTGGGAAAGCAAAGAAATCCCATCATTCTCCATTAACCTACAATTCAGTAGGATTCTCCAGGCAAACATGTCACCTGGTGTAAAAATGATGCACGTGGACAGTGTGTTTATGAACGTGTGGGGTACTTAAGATGGACTAGACTTGACTCCACCCCATGAGATAATAAGAATTTTTAAAAGCTGGTTTTAGGAATTGACTGATTGATTTGTTGACAGTGCACCAATTCTTGACTTGGGTCTACATTCCAGGTTGGAGTATCTCCTTTAGTCTTCTATGATGATGAAGACTTCCCATCAAGCTTTCTGATCACCTGTGGTTCTACTTCTCCAGGCACCCTTCAGGAACAAAGCTGGCCCACTTTGATACCATGTCACAGTCAAATTTCTAGCCATATAGGCCCACCTGGGCAACCTGACCCTACCCCATGGACCTTCACCAGAGAGGTAAGAAGTCCTAGCAAGTCTTAACGGAACATAATAACAGAATTGGAAGAGACCTTGCAGGTCTTCTAATCCAACCCCTTATTCAAGCAGGAAACCTTATACCATGGTCAGACAAATCCTTGTCCAATCTCTTCTTAAAAGCCTCCAGCGATGGAGCACCCACATCTTCTGGAGGCAAGGAGTTCCACTGATTAATTGTTCTCACTGTCAGGAAATTTCTCGTCCTTCCTTTAGGTGCTTTGGAAAATTTATTTATTTATTTATGAGACTTATATACCGCTTTAAGTGCAAGCACTCCCTAAGCGGTGTACACCAGTAAGCAATGTGTATATATATATTTACATTGCCCCCAACAATCTGGGTCCTCATTTTACCTACCCCGGAAGGATGGAAGGCTGAGTCAACCTTGAGCCGGTGAGATTTGAACCGCTGACCTGCTGAACACAGTCAGCTAAAGTGGCCTGCAGTACTGCACTCTAACTGCTGCGCCACCTAGATTGACCCCCCTTTTTTGTGGCACCCCTTAGATATTGGAACACTGCTATCATGTCACACACACACACACACACACACACACACACACACACACACACACACGGTCCTTCTTTCCATTAAACTAGACATACCCAGTTCCTGCAACCATTCTTCATATGTTTCAATTTTCTATGAAGTCGGTGACCTGACTTTCTCCAGCCTAACATCACCTCTTACATTTTAAGCATAGACCACCAAAGTGGGATTTGTTCGGTGTTACGTTTCTTTTTCTGGGATTGTCTGTGGAAACATGACCTAGCTTCTCCTTGTTCCACACAGGACCATGATGGGTTCAGCCAGGCCTTCTAAAGATGGTTCCTTGCTCTCTATGGAAAAAATGAGCACCTTTGCCTCCCCTTCCAGCATCACAAATTGATCTCAGCTCCCCAAGACAACTTTTCCAGGCCTTCTTCTGCCTTCCGTGTCAATCTGTCTTGGCACTCAAAATGACTCCTGCAGAACTTGGCAAATGGGACGAAGATTCAGATCAGACCATGGTCAGAGAGATGGAATATGTGAGTCAGGGCCATAGTGGGGGAGTTCTTTTGGGCAAGATTTTTTTTAAAAAAATGAAGGTGCGGTAAATAATTGCAGTTTGAGAATAGCCCTCGTTCATTGCTTTTTGTGGAAGAGAAGCTAATGTGGACGTCCTATCTGGATGTGACGGCATCTCTACATGATTTCTACCAATGTAATGTGAATGAAGAACATTGACTACTTCCCTCTGACCCTATCTCCCTCCATCAAAATATTCCCTCTGTTGTAGGGGTCTCCAATCTTGGCGACTTTTAAGACTTGTGGACTGCAACTCCCAGAATTCCCCAGCCAGCCATGCTGGCTGGGGAATTCTGGAAGTTGAAGTCCACAAGTCTTCAGGTTGCCAAGGCTGGAGGTCCCTGCTCTACTGGAACCAATAAAATCAAATACTGGACTTATTTTCTTCTTTTTCTGACAATCAACCCATCGATTTTGCGTAAAACAGACTGTGAATGTTGGCATAAGGGAAGGGACTTTTTCCACGTGGAGATGCACAGCACCTCCTGTTCTTGGGGTACACCCTGAAGAGTACATGATTACAAGCTCAGCCCTGTTCAACGGGAACAAATGTGTTCTGAAACAGAAAACTGAAGGAGGCAACAGACTGCCTGATCTGGAATTTACTTCCTTCCTTCATTTGAGCTACCTAAGAAAGGAGTTCGTCAGTGATGGAAAGTACTTTTCACACCCCTGAAGACTGGATTGTTTGGATTCACCCACCACACTAAACCATAGTTTCCTCTAAGAGTGGTCTGTTGCAAGGCACAGAGAGCAACTTCACACAGGACACTAAACCAACTCAAATAAAACACACTGTGTTTTCATGTGGTGGGTTAGCTGCTGAGCAACGTTGATTAATAACTCCGTATTTTATTCTGTGGGGTTCTTGGTGCACTCTGAACCGTGGCTGTTTTCTTGCAGACTTTTCATGACCCAACTAGGGAACATCATCAGTGCTAGAAGGGAGAGGGGTCTGCTTTCTGCTTATACACAGGTGGCTTGCCCTGTCGGTATTGGTAGGACTGGTCTTGGTGGTTCCTTGATTAGGCTGCTGTTTCCTGTTAGCTTGTTTATCTGAGTTGGTAGCTCATAATAATAATAATAATAATAAATAAAGTTGGAAGGGACCTTGGAGGTCATCTAGTCCAACCCCCTGCTCAGGCAGGAAACCCTATACCATTTCAGACAAATGGCCGTCCAGTCTCTTCTTAAAAACTTCCAGTGTTGGAGCATTCACTGCTTCTGGAGACAGGTTGTTCCAATTGGTTAATTGTTCTAACTGTCAGGAAGTTTCTCCTTAGTTCTAGGTTGCTTCTCTCCTTGATCAGTTTCCATCCGTTGCTTCTTGTCCTGCCTTTAGGGGCTTTGGAGAATAGCTTGACTCCCTCTTCTTTAGGGCAGTCCCTGAGATATTGGAACACTGCTATCATGTCCCCCCTTGTCCTTCTCTTTATTAAACTAATTCAATTAATTTCCTTAATCGGGGTGTTTGTGGCTTGGTTGTTGGTCTATGTTAACCTTGATGTTAATCTCTTTTTATCTGGGTATTGGTTGCTGGTGAGGAGGAGTTTAGATCTTTTTGTTTCCTTTTTGGTTTTTTGATTGGTATGGAGAAGTGTTTATCCATGCGTCTGCTGATGGCTGATTGGCAAGAAAACGTCACCAAGCTCAGAGAGCACCAAGCACCCCACAGTTCAACCTTGAGCTACAAATATTCCCTTCTAACCGTACTGTCAAGCTCAAAGAACGAATACGATGTTGCCACAATTACTGCTTCTCAATTTGCCAGGGGGGAGGAGAGGGGAAAGTGGAATGCAGGCTCCAGATGACATGAAGTCAGCCCATGTGAACCAAGGACGTTTCAGCAGGTGTTTGCAAACCCACAGAAGACACTTTCTCATTACAATATTTTGACACTTGATTGGACCATGTGATCTGCACTAATAGGGGGAGGAAGAATTCTATACTTTAATTATAGTGGTATATATATACTTTAATTATAGCGGGAAATAACCAGAGCTGCTTTTGCTTTCATCTGTGCCGAAATGATGTACTCAATAAAGTTTTGCATTAACAGATTGGATGGTCACAATGGTGCTTGCTCAGTTATATTTGTCAGCCAGAACCTTGACAAGTACATTTTAATGTCTGTGGCAATATGAGACCCCAGGGAGGATAAGGAGAGAGACCTTAGCTCTGCTTGAACGCTGCTTCAGATCTCCAGCGGGTTCAGTCCAAACTCTTTTAGCATATTCTTATATTCTGTATGGATGAGGGCAGCCTCGGTCTCCCAGCCCAGTTTGGCGGTTTGTAGCTTGGAAAGCACCTGATCCAAACTATCCTATTGAAAGGAAGTAAGAACAGGGAAGGCATCAGGTCAAGGGATTAGAGCACTGAAACAGGATGTGGTCTCTGACGGAACGTCCAAAGGGCAGAAGGAAGAGAGAGAGAGAGAGAGAGAGAGAGAGAGAGAGAGAGAGAGAGAGAGAGAGAGAGAGAGAGAGAGAGAGAGAGAGAGAGAGAGAGAGAGAGGGACGTGCTGGGTTGTTTGCATTCATGTTATCTGAGAACTCTGAAAGATCTCAGTGGTACTGAATGCTTTTTCAGGCATAAGGATTTAAAGGGGGGGGGGAATGCAAACCAACAAATCAATTTTTCTGCTTCAATAGGATGATGAGACGAAGAACGTTGCCCAATAATTTTGACTGTCGTCATGTTGAAGAGGAACCTATAACCCACAGAAGCACATACTCTGTCAAGCATAGTTTAACATGAGCAATCGTGGGAATAGTCACCTCTCTCTCCCCCCCCTCTCTCTTTCCTGAAACTTTGGTAATGAGCAAGGCTGAACATATTGTCTCCTCCCCTATGTTCTTGGCTGGGCCAGAATCCATGTCCTTCCCATCCCCGACTCACGTGCAGGGTTCTTTCACATTCCTTCTCCATCTCCTTGGCCTTCTGCTGCATCTCGGCCACAGCTTTGTCCTTCTCCTCTGAGATCTTTGCTCGGTCCTCTTCACTCCGCTGCAGTTTTTTTTGGCAGGCAGCTGCCGAGGACAAATGAGGTGGATGGGAATAGAGAACAAGGTGAGGGAGAGTGGAAGAGAGCTGAGGAATTCTGGGAGCTGAAGTCCACACGTCTTAAAAGTTGCTTAAGGTTGAGACACATTGTTCTAGTCAACTCCATGCATCTAGATGGTGTCCACACTGGGATCAAATGTTGGAGCAGGTTCTCAGGATATGACTGACTGGGGAATTCTGGGAGTTGAAGTCCACACAACTTAAAGTAGCGAAGGCTGAGAAACACTGCCTTCAGTACTCGGAGATGAAACTCCAAAGTTATCCCAAGATTGGGCACCTTCAAAGTTTTTGCAGTTAACAACAGTGATAAATCATTTTCCTAATGTTGCTAAGAAAATTTGACAGGTGCAACTCAAATATGTACATTTAAAAAAAATAGCATGGTTTATTTTTCAAATGGGGCAAAACCTGGACTTTATTGCTATAGGTGATATCCTAATCTGATGCACTCACCTCAAATTATTATTAATTTTTTTTTGTTTTTTTTAATAGGTTCAGAATATCTTCTTTAATACTAGCTGGGAAGGACACACATTATTATCTCTGCTGCCTTCTCCCTGAACAAAAGTGCATTGGGAGGCCTCTTTTGTTATCTTGTTCTGAGCAGAAGAAAAAAACCCACAGACGCTCTGCCTGAAGAAGCTCTGAATTCTGCAGAAAGGAAACATTTTGCAACTGCAGTTTTGTTTGGCTAGGGTCAATATTCTAAGAGTTTACATAGAACAATCCCGGGGGAGAAACTCCAGATTCCTATTCCAACTGCTAATAATGTTTAAAAGATGCAAGAAAGTGGGTACAGCTATTTCCTTTATTCCTTCCTAGTCTTTAAACAGCAGCCTTGAACGGCCACAGCCCTTCTGTGTCACCTTCTGTAAGGCAAACATTTGTGTAAATACCAAGTTGTTCTTGCAGGTTCTGCTTTTCAGCTTCCAAACGCTGTATCTGGGTGTCAGTCTGGCGCTGAAACTGCTGATATTGACGAATCATCTCTGAAACGGAGGGAAGAAATGGAAGTGGCATCAGGGGGAGGATTAAACCCTTAGTCACCCCTAGACTCCTAGAGGCTATTTTGGTAGCACCCAAGTGTGATGCTTGAGTGTACAGTAACCTAAATGGATAGGTCCCTTCCGATCACAAGACAGAGAGGTTGGGTTGAAGGCAAAGCGGGGTCTCAAAGAAGAGCCAAGCATCCTACAGAAGGAAATTTTGATTGAGTTTTATCTTCTCTAGCTCTTTTTGGGTGATGACATGTAGGGAGAAGAGACTTGGAGTCTTCTCAAGATAAATTGATTTTCTACATCACAAATCCATCAGCAAAAATCTATCCTCTAACTAGTAGGAATGAGTGGCTTGCAAATATATCCCCCCCCCTCTTTGAAATGTACCAAGCTGAAGGTTTTCCTAGAACAGGGGCTCTCAACCTTGGCAACTTTAAGACTTGTGGACTTCAACTTGTGGACTTCAACTTCAAGTCTTAAAGTTGCCAAGGTTGAGAACCCCTGTCCTAGAACATGAGCTTCATGGGCAGGATCATGATTGATGTCTATTCACAGAAACTGAGGTATAGCAGGGCATAAATCTAATCCCTTAACCAGTGTTTTTCAACCACAGCAACTTTAAGATGGGTGGACTTCAACTCCCAGAATTGCTGGCTGGGGGATACTGGGAGTTCCAGAACTCCAAACATCTTAAAGTTGCCACAGCTGAGACTAACTAAAAAGTTAAAGAGGGCACAAATGGAAAAGATGCACATCAATAGCTAGACTGTGGAGAATGAGTTATGGCTTCTTCGTAATAATGAATAAATCCCAAGTCTGTGCAACCTTAAAGAATATTACTGACACTTCTTAGAACAGTCATTGTCAGAAAAATCTTCATATATTTCTTGATGTTCTTTTAGGAGATGTGCTTTCTTAGGAAAGTTTCCCTAAACATTTTGATCAAGTGGATCCCCCAGAAGAATTAAAGAGCTAAGCTGTCAAGGCATCTTCCATCCAACTGCTAGTTCCATTTCTGGGAAAGGAAAGAATTGGTTTCTGCAAGCAATGATCAAGGCAGCAGTCTCGCCCACCTCCCCCAAATAACCTTCATAAATATCCTTTTTGTCTTTCTGGGCTTCCTCCAGGTCTCTCTCCAGTTCTGTCAGCCTCTGCCTGAATTCTTCCCTGTCAATCATAGCTTGTTTGGCCATGTCTCTCTGGAGAACTGCAAGGCAAAAGGACAAAGCAGCCATTTCACTATTCGGTGCCGTCTCATGTCTGAAACTCAGGAACTAGAAAGGGGGAAATTATTACAAAAAATTTAAATAACAGCTTTAATAAACTATAGATCTGTACACTTATAATCCAGTACCAGGCCACATTAATGGCAGAGATATTTCTGAGCAGCAAATTGTTCTGTGTGCATCTCGGTTCCACTGGAAAAGATGGATAGTTATTGGAATAGTGCCACATTCACAGTAAATATCTTTGTCCTCAGGGAGGAAACCCACCCCCATTTTTCCATGTGGTCTCTAGTTTTAGCCAGGCCAGTGCGCAGTCTGTTTAAACATCTCCAGACTGTCCACTCTTCTTCCGAACCTGCAGGCAGTTCCTCAGGGAATTCTGTCCAATTATGAAGATGTTTTAATCGTTCCATTTTGAGGTGGAGTAACCATCTCTTCAGTCGCAATCTAAAAAGCTCCTTCTTGATTTCAATTTTTTGTAGGGGACATCTGGACAAATATATATATATATTCTTTTCTTAAAATCTTCTGTCTCTGGTTTCTTAATAAAAATGATGAATCCTCTATTGGCATGATGCATTAAAATTAAGGGGTATATACTGGCGGATTCTTGCAAATGCTTTGTTATTGTGCCTTTTTTTTCCATGTCCAATTCTTAGAGACTACCTGGCCAGATCCCTGCTGTTTTCTTGGCAAGGTTTTTCAGAAGTGGTTTGCCATTGCCTCCTTCCTAGGGCTGAGAGAAAGCGACTGGCTCAAGGTCATCCAGCTGGCTTTGTGCCCAAAGCAAGACTACTATAGAATTCGCAATCTCCCCGTTTCTAGCTGGATGCCTTCGCCACTACAGATCATCCCTGAGTTATGATTGGTAGTTTAGTGACTGTTCAAAGTTATCAGGGACTTCTGCTTATTACTACTTATGACCTGGATTTGAAGTTCTGACAGTCACCCTCATTTGAGGTCACACAATCACATTTTGGGCGTTTAGTAACCAGCTTGCATTTTACAGCCATTCGCTGCGTCTCATAGTCATATGACCGCAGTTTCCGTATTTGTTTTGCTTTTTCCTTCTGATTTCTGCCAACAAACCTCTATTGGGACAATGGATTCATTAACAATGGAGTCACTTAATGACCATCTTACTTGCTGGGTTGAACAACTGGCATGACCACAATTCCAGGCTCAGTTATGGTGGGAAGTCAAGGAACACCTGTATACCTAAGTGGCTTTCAAATGGCGGGGGAGGGGGGATCTTAGAATATTACAGAAAGCAATGCAGTTCCACACATCCTACTCCCCTCCCAAAGCTACGCAACCTCGATTGCTCACTCGGTTTTCCACATCCTTGCACAACTATCATGCTCTCCTCACCCAAGTGCTGCTTAAGTGCGTCGGCCTCCAGCGATGCCTTTTTGTGTCTCTCCTCACCTGGAAGGAAACAAGGGAAGAATGAGAACAAATCCTGAAGAAATATGAAGGATGAAATTCCTCATATTTGGTATTTAGTTAAAAGTCAACCTTACAAGCCTTACACAGCATATCCAAGAAGGCATTTCGTAGAATCACAGCATCAGTCAAACATATAGTAACAGGAGCCTGAAGTACCAGGGAACTTCTAACAAACTACGAGGGATGGGATGCAGGAAAAACTGTTAATATTATTCCATTTCCTTTGAGTTACGCATTATTATTTCAGTGCTCAACATTATGGGAAGAATAAGACATTGGACATAGAAAAATATTTTAACAAGTCACATTAATAACTTCTGTAATGTTATTTTTTCTTCCTTTAAAGTGAAAATGACAAATTTAAGTATAATTAATGCAGCCCATTTTTTCTCAGTGACACATGATGAAAAAATAATTTTAAGCTAAGCTAGGTGTTTTTGTATACAGTTTGTGTTGGATTTTCAAATTTTAACAGTCTTGCTCCCAAGTGTACAAAATAAGTAATTGTTTCGTGTTGGTTTTGATTTAATTTCCTCCTACCCTCTGCAGAAGTTTGGTTTGTATTCTTGTATAATACTTTCCATGGAAGGAATATAAAGGAAAAACTGCCTGCACCGAACTTTACCTAGAGCTGCTGACTTTTGCTTCTTTCTTTCTTTCACTTTTCCTTTCTTCGGAAGAGGCATCCTCGGGAAGACTAAGCCTGTGCAACACTCCCAATTTTTGGCAGAAATTCACACTCTGCACTCCTTGGTAGTTCAACCGGTTTAGCAATTCAGATGTGTGTCTCACACCTTGTAGAAAAAACGAGGGTGTCTTTTCAGGTGGCAACAGTTTTTTTCCACCATAAAATTGCAAACATTTGCTGTAGCGACAGCAGACGCATCCAATGTGCAAAGGGCCTGAAAAAGCGACAGGATTTTAGCACGTCCCTCCCTGAAATCTGAGTTGTGTTTTTTCTCTGTTGCATGGCAACAGCCCTCCTTGGCTGCCATGGTGACTAAGGAAAGCTTAGCAAAAAAAAAAAGAGTTCAGTGCACAGTAGCATTGAACTGATCAGCAAATAAAAGATTTTGAGATTCGGGCCAAATGTTTTGTTTGAATATTTCTTTTCCCCTTTTTTGCAGGGAGGGGAGGAAAAAAAGCAACAAATTAAATTAAGACAGCAGAACCAGATTCCGTCTTCTTGGCTGAAGCCCTTAGCCTATTTTTTAAAATTCACTTCCTTACCCTCTGCTTGTTCCAATTTTCTGCCCTGAGTGTTGAAGATCTGCACATAATTTGGGCCATTGTGTTGGTTCTACCGAAGGTCCTCTCCACAGCAGATCTGGAAGACTTGAAGAGCACCAGGAAATCCTCAAGTTATAAACTAAGCAGAGAAATTCAGGGTTGTTTTTTTTAACCAAGAAATGGTTGAAATGCCCTGGTTGAACTCGGAGATTTCACTTATGACATATTCAGTTACCTGATAACAGAATAACAGAGTTGGAAGGGACCCTGAAGGTTTTCTAGTCCAGCCCTCTGCTCAAGCAGGAGACCCGATACCATTTCAAACAAGTGGCTGTCTAGTCCCTTCTTAAAAACCTCCAGTGATGGAGTACACACAACCTCGGAAGGCAAGCTGTTCCACTGGTTAATAGTCCTCACTGTTAGGAAGTTTCTCCTTAATTCTAGGTTGGTTCTCTCCTTGATTAGTTTCCGTCCTTTGCTTCTTGTCCTGCCTTCGTGTGCTTTGGAGAATAGGTTGACCCCCTCTTTTTTGTGGCAGTCCCTTAGATATTGGAAGACTGCTAAAGTGTCACCCCTTCTCTTTATCTAGACATATCCAATTCCTGCAACTGTTTTTCACATATTTTAGCCTCCAGTCCCCTAATCGTCTTTGTTGCTCTTCTCTGCATTCTTTCCAGTCTCAACATCTTTTCTGCATCATGGCGACCAAAACTGGATGCAGTATTCCAGGTATGGTCTTACCAAGGCCTCATGCTGTGGTAGGTACTAAACACTTCATGTGATCTTGATTCTATCCCTCTCTTACTACAGCCTAGGATTGCATTGGCTATTTTGGTGGCTGCAGCATTCTGGGAGTTGAAGTCCACCCTTTCTTAAAGTTGCTGAGGTTGAGAAACTCTGCTCCATTGGCCATCTAATGGGGTTCTTGAATGCTTTGAATGGTTGAATAGACACCACAGGGCTGCATTGCCCAAAAGGAGTCCCTCAAAGGGGTCCCAGTCTGGAGAAGCCGTTGCATAAGGTGCTTTTTCACCAGTGTCACAAGCCCCTTCATCAACGAAGTTCGCAAACGTTCATCTCACTTCCTTGTTCTGATACAGAATCTTGAGAAGGACTTCAGGAGAAAAATGAAGTCTTGAGCCTTTGAGTGGTGGGATCAGTTCTCTCTTTTGCCCAGATCTTTCTCCATTTTCTTCACCCAGGACAGCCTCTAAACCCAACTGGCTCTTGGATCACTTCCTCTTTGTTGTCCGAAGGAAGGCCAATGAAGATATTTTGTCACCCAAAACCTCTCCCAATGCCTTCATTTCTCTTTTTTGCTGCTCTACTTCCGTTTTCTCAGCCACTTTCATGCTTTCCATGCAGTTTTCTGCTCCCCTGTCAGAAGGCACCATGACGCTCCAGATTTCCATACATTTGCAAAGAATTTGAGTTTAAGGCAGCTCTCCCCAATCTGGAGCCCAAAAGCCACACTGGCTGGGGATGATGGGAGTCAGTCTGGAGAAACAAGGGGTAGGAGGCTGATCTTAAGAAAGGAAAACCAAGTCACATTGCATCTGCTCTGTCCTTGGCTGTGCCTTCCAGTTACCAGCTAGCTGGTTCAGAATTAAAACACAAGAAGAAATTTGATTTCTGCCATTATAAATTTTTCATAAGAGTCGCAGGGAAGAAGCTCTGCATTAGGCCAGTAAGTTGCAGAACTGCACTTTTCTATACTGATTGCTCAACCCTGCAGTCTCTGATACAGAAGCCGGGCTGCCCAACCTCATCATGGCACTGCGAGCATCATTTCGCAGTACTACGCATGCCCCCGTGTCCGCTCTCAAAGAGCATGCGCGATCGGCTATATGGCGCACCAAAGACATTTAAAGAAACACGGCGAGGCGTGACTATGCTAATCCGACGCCGGGTGGGCGTGGACAGAGCGAGGCTTGATGCGCTTGTCCTGCCTGGAATGGGAGGGTTGAATTCTCGGGTATCCTTCGAAAAGGAAAGAGAAGGCCAGCATAACCGGATTCAAGCCATTTAAACCCAGCTTCCTCCCGCTCGCGAGCCAGCGCCGATCTTACGTGAAGAGAAAGGTCGGGCGCCCCGCCCCCTACCTTGCGCAGACCAATCAGAGAATGGCTTTTCTGAGGGGAGGGCCGTTCTCGAAACCTTTGACCAATCAGAACCGGCTTTCCCGCCGGAGGGGGCGTTGTGGGCGGCCAATGGCAACGCGCCGCCCCTCGAGGAGGCTAGCGCAGCTCCCGCTTTCTTCCTCACTCGGCTCTCCTCCCTTCGCCTCCCTATTTCCCCCCCCCGCTCCTCTCCCTCCGCCCAGCCAATCAGGAGACTCCGCCCGGAGAGGCTCGCGCTGGCGCGCATGCGCCACAGCTCTTCCTGCCCTTACTCCCCCTCCCCACTTCCCTTTTCTTCGTCAGTCGGGCGCGTCCGCGGCGCTCGTGGAGCCGCTTCGCCTCTCAGTCCGGCCGCTGCCCGAGCCGGGGCGCCGCGGCAAGGGACCCCCCCCCCCTCCTCAGCCGCCCGCGCTCCCTCAGCCCGTTCGCGGGGCCCGGCGGGGGCGCCGCCTCCTGCCCCACCCCATGGCGGCCCCGCTGAAAAAGGGCCCCGGGGGCCTCATCGGCCTCATGAAGGACGCCTTCCAGCCGCACCACCACCACCTCGGCCCGCACCAGCCCGGCACCGTGGATAAGAAGATGGTGGAGAAGTGCTGGAAGCTGATGGACAAGGTGAGGGAGGGGCGGGGGAGGCAGCCTGGGGGGGGTCGCCCTTCGCCCCCCGCCAGGCTCGGGCCCTGGCAGGGGGTGGTCCCGGAAAGGCTGCCAGGCGGGGGGGGGCGAGGGCAGCGTCCGGGGGTGGAGGAGGGGGCAAGCAACCGAAGGACTGTCCATCTCCCCCGGAGGGGGATGGTGGGAATTCTTGCCAGGGAAGCAACGTCGTGTGTGTGGGGGGTTTTGGGTGCAGTTCTGGAGCTTCACTGGGTTTTCAGAGACTCCTGTCAGTTTTGGAGGTAGGGAAGGCATTGAATAATAATAATAGTAAATACAATCAATTGCAAAAGGCAGCTTTGCTTGGAGCAGCTTACCACTTGCCTCCATACCTTTAATATCATCGAACGACAATATCTGCCAATATTGGGAAGGACTCAGGTGGATAAAAGGGCCAAATCCAACCTGAACATCTGGCTGACTGTGAGACCGACTGTCCCTATCAGTCAATTGCATAATGGCAGCTTTGCTTGGAACAGCTGACATCCTGTGAGAATACCTTTAGCACCAACCAACCACAATATCTGCCTGTCCTGGGTCCTTGGGAAGGACTCATAAGTGGATAAATATGCCAAATCCAACCTGAACATCTGGCTGACTGCGACTGGCTGTCATAATAAGCAAAAGACAGTAGAGAGAGTACCAATAGTGATAGGTGCCTTGGGTGCAACCCCAAAACATCTGGAGCACCACTTGCACATCATCGGTGGCATTGACACAGTTGCAATCAGTCAATTGCAAAAGGCAGCTTGATTTGGAATAACTGACCTTCTGCACTGCATCATTAAGCAACAGCAACTACCTGTCTCAGGTCCTTGGGAAAGACTTGATAGGTAGACAAAAATGCCAAATCCAGTCTAAACATCTGGCTGATTGTGCAACCAATCATAGTAATAAAAAACTTACTGGAAGGGATATGAGATCCCATGTGCCTGCAAAGGTCAGGTCTGCAGATTAGGTGGTAAGTAATGGAGATGTGGGGGCTTGGGAGCTCTGAATGCTTTCTGAGATCTGAGAATCCCACAGTTCAACCTTGAGCCATGGCTATTCTGTTAGAAATGGAGATACTGGGTTGAGTTTGCAGGAGAAAGTACAGTACAGTAGTAGGAAAAACAGTAAGTTAGATAGGCTGGCTGGCTGGGATGTCATAATATTAGGGTTTCAATATGAACCTAAACTCAAGTTCTTCTGGTAGTGGGATTGATACAAAACTGCAGGCTGCATTGGTTATTTTGCAACTGCTGCTAATCGCAAATGGGTTCCTGTCCTGAGGAGCTGATCTTAATTTAGAAGGCGAGGGAAGGAAGTGAGGAAGAGCAAAAGGAACATGAAATCAGTGCAGGCAAAAGCAGTTACATTCTGTTTTATTCTTTGGCTGAATGAATATCCCGAGGAGAAGGCTGCTGTTTTATCTGGAAAGAAGGAAATAGTTGTAGGTTGGGTTCTGGGAAGTTGGGTTATTAGGGAACTGGAAATTTGGCTACAGATCAAACTTTAGATGCCATGAAAGGTTTGATAAGCATCTGCATTAAAGGGCTTGGACTAATGATGTGGCCTGGAAATTTATTTATCATATTTATAAGCCGCCCTAATCAAATAGGAGTTCCCACATGGAATTTGCCAATACTTTTTCACTTGTATTGAAATTGTAGATTGTTAAGATAATTTTTTTTCAACTGTAAGTTTTAGAAGCCAGGGACTTTCTTAGGATGGCACAATATTATTGAGGAGAATGCAAGCTTCAATGTTTATGGATATGGTTTCTACACATCTGTTTCTGTATATTGTTATACAGTTTTTAAACATATGCAATTAGTCTTGCTGGTGGATCAAGCTGCTCCTGGTGGAGATTCTGCTCATGCCTCTGAAGTTGCTTGCTCACTTGCTGGATGGCATGGGAGGAAAAATCAGTTGTTCTTCTTTATAGCCAGCTACTCTATATATTTTAGCTAGATAATATGGATGGAACTTTTTTTTCTATTTTATGTTGCTTGGTTCTATTTATGCATTAGACTATTATATGCCTAAGAGTTGCAAATATCATATTTTGGACAGTAATACTGTATATTGTTGGCTCATTCATTAGCCTAGAATGTTATTTCAGTATTAAAGCTGTAGATCAGTGGTTCTCAACCTTTTTAATGCTATGACCCCCAACTGGTCGTAAGTCGAGGACTACTTAACCGGTCGTAAGTCGAGGACTATTCAACTGGTGCAGCACCGTTTGCAGAATGGGACTTTTGGCGGGCTCAGCAGGGCAGAGACAGCCTGGACAATTCCTATTGGCTTTTGAAAGCCAATAGAATTAGACTCTATTCAAGAGTCTATTCTATTGGCTTTCAAAAGCCAATAGAATAAAAGGGAGTAGCACAGCTAAGGAAAAGGGGAAAAAAATGGCGGACTGCGTTGTTTGGCAACCCCTGTGAAATGGTCGTTCGACCCCAAATGGGGTCCCGACCCACAGGTTGAGAACCACTGCTGTAGATAATATACTAAAGTAGCAGTTGAAATGAGAATTCTAAAAATAACAAGAAGCCACCTAAATATTTTGAGGGATTGGGTCCAGCAAAATTAGAAAATTTTCTAAGGATAGAAGATGTAATCATCACGTTATAAGCTAAAGAATGATTTCTGAATTTGAACAGAACATTGGCAAGCTTTTAGGTCAATGTTTTAAGTATCATTACAACATCATGCTGGATAGTTTTGTTTTTAAAAATTGAGTGGAAGTTGAGGGGCCAATAGCAAAATGGCATGCTGGTTAAAATGTGCTTTTTAAAAAAAATCTAATGGAGTGCATTTAAAAATAAAATAATCAAGGACCTAATGAGCAAATAATTAGCTAGTGTAATAATAATAATTAGCTAATAACCTATTTCGTATGCATGAATTGAAGCAAGAATGTTGCAGCTAAACTAGAAATGAGAGGTGAAGTATGGTTAGGTCAATCAGACTGTTGAAGGGAGCTCACCAGTTCATGTGATTTGCAATAAAATTGTTTTTGCCAAGTTTCCTCTTTTTCCTTTCTTTAAAATATTGAGCAACAACTTAAAAGTTTACGCTTTGCTCCTCGCCTCCCTAAAAATAAGAGTTTAAACTGGGAGAGTTTTTGAGAAGGTGCACTTTTCACAAAATCACACAATGTCAGTGCAAAATGTTTTCATTTTTAAATGTAAGGCTGCTAGCTATCAGCATCTTTTTGCACAGCCAGGAGTCAAATGATGTTCTGGGTGCCATGATGTCATTAATAAACTTGTAATTCATATAATGATATTATCCTGTCTTGTACTAGGTCCCTACACAATGTGAATGCAGCCCAACCAAACCATCTTCCCTTCCTCTAGCTTTATTTTGAATGATTAAGGATCTCTTTTAATTTTATCCCAGTGATTATGATAGACATTTTGATGTGATCGGAAAATACTTGCCTATAATATGATTATTACTATGACATTAATACTTGGTGAAGAGCCTCTTGTTTTTTGTGGTTAAAGGAATTGTCTGTTAAAACTGAGGAAGGAGAATGAATATAGCATATGTGCCAGTGTTTTTAAGATCTGCGGACTTCAACTCCCAGAATTCCCCAGCCAGCACAGCTCTGGGAGTTGAAGTCTCCAAGGTTGAGAAACACTGGTATGTGCTATAATTTAGCCACCTAGAGTCACTTCTTGGGGGATGGGTGGCCATATAAGTATGATTAATAAAATATTTCATATTCATTTTCAAATCAAAATAAAAGTGTCTCTATTAAATCTTAAACTAGAGATGCTTGGTTAATCTAGTGCAAATAACTAAGAGAAACTATGGATAGTGAATAATGCATTAAATTAGTACACTACTATAAATCATTCACAGAGATAGAATATAAACTCTAATACCCTTATTTTGGATGTGGCACAATTCCATATAGGAATGTTGTTCAATAACGGTTTTCAGTTGAAATTAAATTTGAGAATGAATTATTTATTTTATTGATCAAGACTGGAATGATATATCAACAATCAAACATCTTAACTATATAGCTGTTCTAATATTTGAAATAACTTTGATATTCTTCTTTAAAGTCTTACTGCTGCATATCTGTAACTATACAGCATTTATACTTGGCTTCCATTTAATCATACAGTTTTGGGTTAGGAATCATTAGGGTTGCTGAAGTTCTGTGACAAAAGTATACTTTAATATAGTATACTAAAATAACTATTCTCATTAGCTCCTGGGAATGATACTGTACAGCTTCATTGCTTTAAGAGAAAGTTGGATTTTATATTCTGTCCTTTGGAAGTAACTAATTGAACTAAATATTAACTAATACTAATGAAGTATAATATGCCCTTGCTTTTCTGACCTGTTAACTTTTCATAGGAGATGGTTATTTTTGGTATTGTTTTCCTAGAAGTCATGAGAATGCATGTATGATGTATATAGTAATTAGATTTATGGCGTAGATAGTAGTTTGTGCCATTTTCTATTTCCCATTATTTCTGATGCAGGAACATGATTTTTCTGTGCTTTTGATTTCCGGGATAATGCTGCTGTCAGTGAATCATCTTCACTTTGAGCTATTCAGAACATAAAATGGCTTTACAAAAAATAAAAAGCATTTTTGTTCTATACTTTAGAACATGTTTTCATGGTTTTAGAGGCTTTTTAATGAAAGTATGATCAAACTCAAGCTGAAGAATAATCCATAGTTATTTTGATTCCATTGTGCCCTTTCTTTGTTAGCCTATTTAGGGAAAATTTATGTAATAGTATCTTGGAGCACTTTGTCCTTTATATTTTGAATTCTAGATTTTTAAACTATATACAAGTTGTTATTCTGCAATTTATAACAAATCCAGAGTCACATTGGATTGCATGGAGTTGTGCAGTGGCTTACAGTTATTTGAATTTTAGTCATAATATGCATATTTTTAAAAAGAAAAATGCAGACTACACCTTATTATTTGAGAATCTTCCAGGCAGATTATTCTTTTAGTTAGGAAAGGTGGCTGGAGAATTCTGAAGTCTACGCATCTAAAACTGCTATAGTTGAGAAACACTGTTTTACATAGTTCCTAAGGAAGGATTTGTAGAATTAGAACAGAATAATGTGACATTTTGGATGCTTTATACCCTTGCTTGTACTAAACAGAACAACATGAACTTACTGGTCAGCTAAAGTTATAGCTGATAAAAATAACTGATTAGCTGTTTCATAGCCCATTTCCTTTTTGATAGTTTAGGTGCCAAGTGCTATCTGCGCTTTAAGATTATCCTCATAAGTCTTCTAATATTTGCAATTTAGCAGTAGTCTACATACAGTAGCTCCTTCTTCCCCTATCCCAGACTTAGTACATTGTGTCAAATAGCAAAATGTGGTCTCTTGCAGTAAATAAAATTGTTTAATCAGGTCTTTTTTTTTTAACTTCTTGAGATAGAAAAGTTTCAATATTACATATCAAAGAACGGTTCGCCCTAAGATGAGCTTTGCAGAATATTCCATGATCACACGCCCTCTGCTCATCTGCAGTCCTTGGCTCTTCCTTCATCTCCTGTTTCAAGTGTTGCTGTATAAACTGTTGAAGTTTGTAGAGTTATAACAATGCCAAATGTAGGCTAGCAGATACTTGGGCAAGTGTAACCTGTAACCTCTTCCTCCTTTTCTAAGCTCAAATGATTCTGGGCCATGTCTGTCACCCACCAAATTGCTCCACTGATAATTTGGTTAGAAATCCAACTTTGCTAAGACACCACGCTTGAGTGGACATAGAAAGTCAAGAAGCTAGTAAATTTTTCTTAAGTGAAAACTTTTTCTTGTGTCACTATTTTGGTGCTTTGTGCACACTGAAAAAACTGGTGATGGAATAGGAGTAACTTTGACAACTTTTAAATGGCTTATTAGTCTTAGTCTTTGTGGGAGAAGTTTATGTGATAGCAGGTAGGCTACCTGAAGTTTGGAGATTAGTGTGTGGTGTGGTCTGAACTGAACTTTGTAGGTTTAAAATTTGTGAATCAGAGTCCGTGACTGATAGGTTCGACCTCTGAATCGTCATGTTTTTGAGAATTCATTAAAGTATGCTGTTATTGTGAGAATGCATTCTTAAATTTCAGAACGGTGCTGGCCCTACGGAAGGTATTTTTACATTTGATTGTGTTTGCTCTTACACTTCTTAGGTTGTGCGTTTATGTCAGAACCCCAAGCTGGCACTCAAGAACAGTCCTCCCTACATTCTCGACCTGCTTCCCGACACCTACCAGCACCTGCGAACCGTCCTGTCCTGCTACGAGGGAAAGATGGAGACCCTGGGGGAAAACGAATACTTCCGGGTGTTCATGGAAAACCTGATGAAGAAGACAAAACAAACCATCAGCCTCTTTAAAGAAGGAAAAGAAAGAATGTATGAAGAGAATTCCCAGCCTAGGTAACGCTGGTCTGTGCTGGAATTTATCTGAGGTGTTCTAGAGCACGCCTGGATCTGGGGAAGTCCTCTTGCTTCTTTCAAAATTCCTTATTTCAGTGTGCTTTTTCTTCATGTAGACTTTTGGTTTTTCCCTGAATTTTATACTTCTCTGGCAGTTCGTCAGTAAGAGTTGGAGGTGCTGCTCTGCTCGTCCACTTTCACTGAAATCTCCATGTCCATGCTTTAACTCAGTGGTTCTCAACCTTTCTAATGCCGTGACCCCATAAAACAGTTCCCCATGTTGTGGTGACCCCCAAGTGGGTGTGGCCACCAATAAGAGGGAGTAGGACAGCTAGGGAAAAGGGAAAAAAATGGCGGACTGCGTTGTTTGGCGACCCCCGTGAAATGGTCGTTTGACCCCAAATGGGGTCCCGACCCACAGGTGGAGAACCACTGCTTTAACTTGAAGTCATCCACCTCTTGAAGGTGCTGGGATTTGCAAGATAGATTTATGTGCAAAAATGAGTTTGGCTGATTAAAAAAAAGCATTTTACTAATGCTGTGTAAAAGTTGTATAGAAATGCTAATGTGAGGTCCTGGATCCTCTCTGATCTTGGTCGTTTTCTTGTAGATGTTTCATTACCCAAACTGGGTAACGTCAACAGTGCTGTTTTCATCAGAAAACAAATGAGGAGCACTGAGGACTCCTCATTTCAACCCTGAGCTGCAAATATTCTCCTTTATCGAAATGCTGATGTGCCCGTGTAGTGCCCAGTGAAAATAGGATGGTCCAAATAGAGTGTCAACCAATACAATTAAATCACATTAAGCAAGTACAGACAGTGAATGTCTATGGAGGTTTTCAGTCATCCAGGTCACGGTTGTCCCAAAGGTGCTTTTTCAAAAGGCAATTGGAGTTCCTTTGTTTTGCTTGAAAATGTTTCACATCTCACGCAAGAACCTTCTTCAGTTCCATTCAGCTCCACCATTCAGTCAGAAGAAGCGTCTTGGATGAGAAGTGACATGTCTTCAAGCAAAAACAACGCAGCTCCAGTTGCATTTTGAAAAAGCATCTTTGGGTATAGACCAGTGATGGCGAACCTTTTAGAGACCGAGTGCCCAAATGGCAACCCAAAACCCACTTATGTATCATCGGGTGCCGGGTGGGTGTGGCCAATTGGGTGGGCGTGGCCGTGATAACGGCAGACTGGATGGGACTCAAAAGTTCAATCAATTCCAACTTTGCGAGATCTTTTTTTCCCGCAAGAAGTTGAAACTGATTGAAACTTTTTTTTTTTTTTTTTTTGCACACAACAGCGGAGGCCTAAAGCAAAAAGGTTTTATAAAACCCAGCTGAAGGCCTAGGACTGGGGTGACGGTGCGCGTGCCCACAGAGAGGGCTCCGCGTGCCACCTGTGGCACACGTGCTATAGGTTCGCCATCACAGATAGAGACAATGAAGTGAGGTCAGAGAAGAATGTATGTTTTAATTTTAGGCTAAAACTTGCCCTATTGTTTTTGCTAGGTAATTTGGAGATGCATTCAATATCCAGAAGCTTTCCACCTATTTATCTTTATAAGTCACCTTTCTCTGTAGTCTCCTCAGAGAGAGCACTATTAAAGAAACGCAGGCCTCTGCCTGTTTTTACTTTGCAGGAGGAACAGGCAATTTCCAGGCTGCTTTGAAGAGTTGGCAGGTGGCTGTTTTCATCCATGATGATCACAGTTTTTAAATTAGGGATTAAGCTTCAAGTTGACAATAGGAGTTTTGAGATGGAGGAGCTGCCTCTGAATGTGGATTGATGCTGGAAGACACATGGAAAAGATTGTTGGCCAGGCTGCGTTCACAAAAGCCATCTCTTAATATTGATGTAGAATCCGCTGTCTCCCAGTTCCGAATAGAGTACTGAGGCAATTTTCTGTCGAATAATATTTTATAAATTGAGCATCTTTAAAACTCTGTTTGCAGCAATTTAAACAAGCCTGGGGCTTCATTGTTACCACAGCACAAGCAATATTTTCCACTTCTGCGTGGCCTACCTTTAAAATTAAGAAAGCATCAAGCCTTGTGGTTAGAGCCATAAATAGAGCTGGTTCTGTCCTCTGTTCTTGGAGCTTAGTTTCACTTTAGGCCAGTAGCACTTCCTGCTACATGAAGTACAAAAGCTGATGTCGGTAAATTGCTGGGAAGGTGGGCTAGTTTATGTGGAGAGTTTGGTGTCTTCAACGCCTTGGAAAGCTGTCAAATGTCATTTTCATGTATATCTATCTATTTATATCTATTCTCTCTCTCTCTCTCTCTCTCTCTCTCTCTCTCTCTCTCTCTCTCTCTCTCTCTCTCTCTCTCTCATCATTATTTGGAAGCCATAGTTAGTCTTTTTTTGTGGTATGTAAGTCAGTTACTATCTCTGGGTAAGATGCCAGGAATTCAATAGACCATTGGTTACCTTGAACAGTGTCAGTGAACAGTACAGATGAAGTAGTTATGGTTAGGGGGGGAGAGGCTCTTGGATCATTATTATGAGTCATTTATTGTGTACATTTGCAACTGGAATGGGATTTGTTCCTAAGACTTCAGCCTTCCCTGTTGCTCTCAAGGATGAGAAGCAAGAGATCAGAGAAAAATATCTTGTTGGTACATTGCTAGTAGTAAAGATAGATCAGGGCTTGTTTTTAACAGCCAGTCTTATCCTCAGAGAGGTCTGCAGAGGATTTGCCTGAATCCAAATCGCCTAGAGGTTACTACTTGATTTTGAACATGAGTCATAAAAATTAATGCCTCAGTCATTGCTCGGAGGTCAAGGTTTCAGATGTTGATGATATGATTTCACTGTAACATGGAGGATGGTATGTTAAAAGAATGTCCAGTTCTAAAAAAAATGGTTTCCCAGGATTTGTAAATCTCCCCCTTCCCTTTTTAATGAAAACTTAATTTGACATAGTAAGGGGTGATGGGCATTTAAAGCCAATAGCCAATGTATTGAGTCCTTGTCTCGTCCTGTCGTGAGACGGGGTTTGGCTGTCTTGTCAAGATGTCATGCTTGTCTTTAGCTATAGGAAGAGGAACAAATCCATACAGAAAAACGCTGCAGATATACCAAGTGTCTTTATATGTATGAAATGTGTGCAGCTCCATGTATGAAGGAAGCTGATCTTCTTCCGGCTTCTTTTTTAAAAAGCAGTTTTGAAATATGCCTGGCTATCACCACCATTCGGAAGCAAATTCGCCACTAATCATTTTGTTTCTTAATGTGAGGAGCTGGATCAGAAAAACACAATAAGGCATTGTTGAGGCAGCCTATCCAAATCTGCTGCTTGCTGCTGCTGCTGCTGTAAAAAAAAAAAAAGCCTGTCCCTTCAAATTAACCAGGCACTTCAGAATGTAGGAAACTTGTACAACCCACTTCTGCATTTCAATTAGCGCTTCTTAGAGACTAAGTTCAAAAGCTGCCCATAGAAAAATAAGACATTTTACTTGCCAGATTGCCACATAGGAACGTGAACTGTTTGCTGTCTAAAGAGATCTACTGGAATGAAGAAAATATATTTCAGTGTTGGTCTGTAGTACTCAAGAGACAAAGGGGCAAACACCTCGCTTGCAAAGAGTTTAAACATGCTCATGAATAAAAAGAGGGGGGGGGGCATTTATTAATGATCCATCAGTCTTTCCCAAACAGGTAACTTCCTGATGAATGGGACTTCAGTTCCCATAAGCTCAAGCTAACCGTGGCTATTGGTTGTGTAGTCTGGAGGACACCAAGTTGGGAGGTCAGGAAATGGAAGTGCTGTGTTAGGTACCAAGGTGGAATGGAGGATTAGAAACAAATATATTGTTGGTTTTTAATGTTAAAGAAAGTTCCATGGTTAAGCTTTTATTTTGATCTTGATTCATGTGCCTGCTCTGAATTTTATGCCAGAGCATTGGGGAATTAGTTCATGAAATCAGAGTAATGCTGGATAGTTCTTTATATAGGCACTTGATGATGACATACTTGCATTTGAGATGTATATGTTCTGCTTAGTTTTCCATACTTCTCTAGAAAGCAATATACTGTATGCTGCTAATTGGAGCAAAGTAAAACTTCAAATTGCGTGTTGAAAAGCCAAATTGAAAGTAGTTGTGCGTTTATTTTTTTACAAAGTTGATTACTATGGGAAACAGACTCTGAAGGTGAGAGCGACGATGAAGGAGCCCATCTCCTCTCACACTCAGACCATGACAGCAGGAAGTGTCTAAATGTCATCGTATGATTTTTAAATAGGACTACTCACCACTCACGAGGGGTGAATTCACAACAGCAGGATAGTTGTAGCTTTCATGCAATATTCTGTTATTGGAAGGCCATTCACCAATTTAACTACCTTGGTGGAATCTGTTAGTTGGATCAGAGATGAAAAAGCACCTGGCTCACCGGTGGTGGCAACATTCGGGGGAGGCCTGAGTTTTTAAGAAATGCATTGTCTCCATATTGGATGCATTGTGAAAGCCAACCTGAAGGACTTGCGATGGGGCAGAGTTCCAAAGTTAAAGTTTCAGTAAACGTTTATGGTAAAATTACAAGCTCCAACTAGTTACTTTCCACGCACTCCACATATTTATGGCTACTTCATTCCACTTACCAAATGTGGCTGAAACATTACTGTCCTTCCTTTCAAAGTAAAAAGGGAACTGTTGGCCATGTTGAATCCTTTTGAGGTAAAAAAAAAATGTTCTCCAGATGTAGAGACAACTGAGCTGCTGAAACATATTGTTTACTTTCCTCTACTGCAGTGGTTCTCAACCTTTTTAATGCTGCTACCCCCAACCAGTCGTAAGTCGAGGACTACTCAACCGGTCGTAAGTTGAGGACTACTCAACTGGCGCAGCACCGTTTGCAGAATGGGACTTTTGGTGGGCTCAGCAGGGCAGAGACAGCCTGGACAATTCCTATTGGCTTTTGAAAGCCAATAGAATTAGACTCTATTCAAGAGAGTCTATTCTATTGGCTTTCAAAAGCCAATAGAATAAAAAGGAGTAGCACAGCTAAGGAAAAGGGGGGAAAAATGGCAGACTGCGTTGTTTGGCGACCCCCGTGAAATGGTTGTTCGACCCCAAATGGAGTCCTGACCCACAGGTGGAGAACCACTGCTCTACTGGCACTGATTAGGCCAGTGGTCTCCAACCTTTTGGGCACCAGGGACCGGTTCTGTGGAAAACAATTGTTCCGTGGACCAGGTGGGGGGGTAGTTTTACGTGCTACCTAGATCCCGCACATGCACAGATGAAGCTTCGCTCGCTTCTTCGGCCTGGTTCCTGTTGGGCCGCAGACCGGTCCCGGTCCACAGACCAAGGTTTGGGGACGATCAGACAACCTTCTAATTGGTCAAGAAAAGCCCACTAAATGAATTCTTCCAACACTTTTTCTCATGAGGTCCAGTGCCCATATAACCTAATTTTCCTGCATAGCTAACTGCCTACGGGAGACAGGCAGTTAAGATTATTTTACCTGACTCAAGTTGCTATTGCAGCAAGCAGGCGCAGGATGCTGAGATAACATCACAGGTTGGCATTGCGTGCACAATTATTGAGTCTTTTCCAGATGTAGCAACTCCAAGCTTGAGATGGAAGAATTCAGCCAGATGCCTTCCATTGTGGTGGCCGTTGCCCTCTCTACGTGTGGTAGGATAACCCTGGGCTGAATAGAAACCTCCCCAGAGGCTGGTGGCTTTGCTCTCTCACTTCCTCTGAGTGATAGAAAGGATAGGAGGAAGTCAAGCTAGGATGTTTGTCTCATCTCCCCGGCCCAGAGAGGCACACGCTGCTTTCCTTCACAAACTTCTAAACTATTTGAAAATGCTGTCATTAAATGTTTCCATTTGGTTAGACTCAATGAAGTCAAGGAAAATTTCAGCATTGAGAGGAAGACCGAGCTGGAGAATAAGGAGGGAGACTCTGAACACCCGTTGCTTCTTTAGCAATATCAGTATGCCTGCTCTGTCAAATTGTATTGAGATACGGTTTCTAAAAGATTGGATCTGGACATTTGGCAGACCTGTGTTCTTTCGCTTTTCAGAAGGAAACTGTAGATAAGGTTTTAACATTATGGTCTAAAAAAAATCACACCATGCTTTGTCATCCCTGAGACACATAACTCATATTCCGCTATACACACATGCAGTTTTTCCAATCAGCTTCCATCAATCTGCAAAATCGTGTTCTGGACCCCAATCAGCTAGGAACCCAAACTAGCCAGGAAGAAGGGACCCCTTTGTATTGATCTTTCAGACCCTTGTTTACTTTATTGGCATGAAGTCAAATGTGCACCCTGCCCCTGATTGGAGAGACTGGGCTTTTCCTTATAAACAACTTGCATCTTTATCAGTCTGTGAATTGAACCTTTCCGCCCCTGAGACAGCACATCTGGCTTCCCTGAGGAAAAAAAAAAAACTGGTGTGTGTTTAAAGCTAATAACAGAGCAGATTAGTAGAAATAACATGCATTACCTTTCTGCGGGGGGGGGGGGGGGTAGCAGTCTTGTTTCCTCTCTTCCATCTTGAGTTTGGACATTTTGAATAAACAGTGATTGCAGAATCAGATTTGCTTACACAAGCTGTCCCCAGGTACATACTCCGTTTTCCTCAGCAAACATAAATAAGGAAGCATCCTTGTTATTTTTAGACAGGATATTTATATGTTTCAGAGATATCTCATTCTTTTAAGCCCATTCATAACATTTGTATTTATTAAGAACTCAAAACACTTCTGTTGTTTTGCTTTGTTTTGTTTATCCAATTCAACTTGTAACCTGCCTTTTGAAACAGGCAATCATTTTGTCACAACGCCATTTGTTTACTTACGTTAGCAGTTTGATTTTGCAAAGAATTTTATTCTAATTGTAAGATAGTGTAAGTACACGTATATTTTTAGGGCTAAGGTTGAAATAGTAACGGCATGTTTAATGTTAGTTTGAAAATTGCTCATGCTCTCTGCTAGAGCCGCTTTTAAATTAGCCGACTATATTCACTCTTAAGGAAGTATATAATACTTCTAGCAAATTCCTTAGAGAATATTGTAGAAGATCACGAACCTTACTTGGTGCCATAAAATATAAATGGTATGCCACATAGATTTAGTCTGCAATGTATTGTAGCTGCTACATATTTTTTAAAAATGTTATACCCAAAAGAGAGAAATTCTGTGAAGTGTTTATAGGCTGTATCAATGCAGATTATCATGCATGTCTTCCCTTCCTTAATTTAGTTTCTGCTAGTCATATGAGTGGAATTAGCAGTATATGGTAGTAATTGCTGAGAGATTTCCTGGTGTTTTTCTACTTGGTTGCCTTGTATTCCAGAGAGTTAGGATATCTAGTCCCCCCCCCCACCCCCCAATTTGAAAAACTTGCTTAACCTGGATTTGTAATGGTTGTCTTGATGTATAATTTCAGGAAAAGTGATGCAAAGCAGAGATGTTTTCTGCAGAGGCATCAACAGAGATTAAGGGCAGCTTTTCTGCTGAACATCCCGTAATAGCTCAGTTAATGGACTAAAAACTGTTCTTCAGAAGAACTTCTGGGAAGTTCTGGAGGAGCTAGTTGGATGTGTGAAAGGATGGTGTTGAAGATTTATGGGTGCAAAGAAGGGTAGAACGGGTTGACATCCCAGCGACTTCTGCAGGACAAGCTGTTATCCTGGTAGAATGTTTTTCATCCAGCAAACAGGAAGCCGGAAAAGAACAGTCTGCTTCAGGTCAGAGGCAAAGGCAGCAGAAAGCTGAACTCAGGAAAACAAGGCCCTGTTAAAGGCTGCAGTGGGGCTGAGTGCTTGTTTGACCTCTTGCCTTTTTGCAAAATATCTGGAGCCAAACAGTAATGAAGAACTGAAGAGGACCGCCAAGCAGAGAGAAGTGAAAAACAGAACATCCTTTGCTTTGATGTGGTGTTAATTTTTAATTCTGTCGTCTTCAGGAGTTGGTGCGCAAAGTCTCAACTCTACCTCACCACTCTGGCCCAGAGTCAAGACTTGTATCATCTCACCAGCTGCCCTGGCATCATATTTTTAGACAGTGCAGAGTGATTGACTACCTAGAACAGTGGTTCTCAACCTTTTTAATGCCGCGACCCCCAACCGGTCGTAAGTCGAAGACTACTCAACCAGTCGTAAGTCGAGGACTACTCAACGGGTGCAGAATGGGACTTTTGGCGGGCTCAGCAGGGCAGAGACAGCCTGGACAATTCCTATTGGCTTTGGAAAGCCAATAGAATTAGACTCTATTCAAGAGAGTCTATTCTATTGGCTTTCAAAAGCCAATAGAATAAAAGGGAGTGGCACAGCTAAGGAAAAGGGGGAAAAAAATGGCGGACTGCGTTGTTTGGCGACCCCCGTGAAATGGTCGTTCGACCCCAAATGGGGTCCCAACCCACAGGTTGAGAACCACTGTTTTAGACAGTGCAGAGTGATCGACTACCTAGAAGCATTAGCTTTCCTCACTTCTTTCCGAGCTACAGGCATATTTGGTTCTCTGGGAGGTCCTCCTTGAGAAAGTATATTAATTAGAAAGCGAGAATGGTGCCAGAACAGTGGTTGATAAGGAAAATAATAATCCGGAATAAACACTCTCACAGCTAACTGCCTGAAAATTAAAACAGAGGAATCCCGTCACAGTTACAGTCGACTCAACAGATAAAAAGGCTCCCTTTTACTGCTGCTCTTGTGTAAATGCCTGCTCCTTCTGGGCGTAGGTCTAGCAAGTTCCTGACATATCACTGGTGCTTCATAAAGGCCTGTAAGTAGAACACACATCACGGGTAATGTGTGCTGCCTAGTGCTCCTTCCAGAGGCTTTTCCCATTTGACACTTAAAAAATAATTTTGCATAAATAAAATGGTCAAACCCAACGTGGTCACGACTTTCCAAAAAGTACTTGATGCTTGTTCCTTCCTTTTTTTCTGGAACAAAAGATGTCATATCAGTCAGACTCTCGTTAATTAATCCAGGGATAATATTGCTTTAAGGCGAGCAAATAATGTGAGGAGGCTAGCAGAAGAGATCACCCTTGGTCAGAGAAAGCGAGGGGCTTTAGGAATCTGTAGGTTTGAGGGTCATACCCCGACTTTCCACGTGTGAGTAAAATAAGTTGTATGTGGTGTTAACTTCCCTTGTATTCCTCGTGGATGTAAAAGCACCCCAAGGAACTGCTCCCACTTCTTGACATTAACTTAAAGCCCAAGAGCAATAAGAGTGAAAGAAGAATCTTATCCTTTGAATTTGGTTGTCATCTGGCACTGTTGATTAGACAGCCTCCCTTTTGCTGGCCATTGTGGCTGATAATTTTCTTACAGAAGCAGTCCCCTTCGTACCCTTAAATTTGCCCTTTTCTTTGTTGAGAAACTTGAGAGTGCATATGCAGAAGGTGACTGCTCTTGTGCACTCAATTATCCAAGCCTTAATTTGCTTAATAACCTATACTTAAATTATGATTGGAATTCTTTTGAATGAAATGTGGTCTGGGCAGATGGTTACTATATAACACTGATTGAAGGACTTGTAACTCCTAGCTGGCTCTTCATTTTTCTGCCATACTTTCAAAGCATGTTGGCAGTCTTTCTATTGCACCCTCTGGGTAATCAAATAAGACACCTGAAAAGATAAAGTACTGTAAAGCTAAATTTCCAAACTGCTGTGAATTAGAATCCATTCCCATTGGCCTCAATGCTAGGAAAATCAATTTGGAATGTGACTTGAAAAATTAAAGTTCCGGTTTCTCCTCTCATTTTCTGGGTGCTTCTTTCCCTTTTCACAGCAGAATAATTTGTTTATTTAATTTATGTGCTACTCGTCTCGCTATCCAGAGTAACTCTGGGGGTGCTCACAGTTACAAAGATGTGTTTTTCTGTACTTACAGGCGCAACCTGACCAAATTGTCTCTGATCTTCAGCCACATGCTGGCAGAACTGAAAGGCATATTTCCAAACGGACTCTTCCAAGGAGACACTTTCCGAATCACTAAAGCAGACGCAGCGGAGTTTTGGAGAAAAGCCTTCGAAGAGAAGTAAGTACAATTCTCAAAATAAGCTTCTAGGCCTCCGGCAGTTCTCTAGGCAACTCATAACTGGAGTGGTTTGTGTCTTGTGCTTTTGCCACATCCAACATATGTGAAATGGAATCCCAAAGCTGCTAGACTATCAAGGCTGGGTGAAGCCATTCAAGTACTTCTTTGAAAATATCTGACTGTAGCCCCGACCCGTAAAGGGTTAAAGCATCCTCCCCCCCCCACACACACACATACACACTTACACAAAGCTTCATGATAATCTTCAGCCTTACCCTTTCCTTGATATAGAAGGGTTGACTTTGGGGAGAAAAATTGTTCATGGTTGATTTGTTGAGGAATTGATGTTTCACTTGGTTTCAAGAGGCTAGACTGCCAGAACTTTAGATGTTTATCTCTAGAGATTAATTGTGATCACATTCCAGATTCATGTTTTTCCCATATGAAATATGCACGACATATCTGAAAATTAAGACTTATGAAATATGTGCACTCATAACCTTGCCTGCAAGCTGTTGGTTTTCCTTCATTACTTCCTTCATTTACTATCTCAGTACAGTTACTTAGATGTCAGAGATCTTGTTTAGATGCAGTTATGTGACATTCCTTTATACTGCTATTACGTCAATAGCTGCTTTAACCAGTTATTGGACAAATTAAGGATTATAGCCGATGCTTTTTGCTTTCAGTAATTGTACATTGTTTCTCTTAAAGCAGTTCATTTTTGGAACAAATGTACCTGCATTTGTCTACTTCAGTTCTTTTGCTTGTGAATCTTTATGCGTGGACAGAGTGCCCATTAACTTGGATGGTTTTAACACCAATTTATGGGGGACACCATAATGTCCAGTATCAGAAGTGATGTGTGCTTGAATGTTTATAGCTAAGAAGCATGAGTGGGACAGAGCTGTTGAGCTTCTGTCTTGTTCAGGGACTTCTAGAGCAATGTTTCCCAACCATAGCCATTTTAAGATGTGTGGATTAAAGACCTCAGCCAGCCATTCTCGTGGAGCGATAGAATCAATCCCGGCTGGCTGGGGTATTCTGGGAGTTGAAGTCCACACATCTTAATTTGTCAAAGGTTGGGAAACAGTGTCCTAAATGAATCTGATTGGCTCCTCTAGGAAAGACAACCCTGGGTGGAAGGAAGTCTTTTGTTTGATTTAGCAGATATTTTAAGTCCTTATGATGCAAAGGAACCCATTCCAATATTTTTTGATCCCACTGCTAGGACCATTGTCCCGTGGAAAACCTTTCGTCAAGCCCTACATGAAGTTCACCCTATCAGTTCCGGCCTGGAAGCCATGGCATTGAAATCAACCATTGACCTGACATGCAACGATTACATTTCAGTGTTTGAATTTGATATTTTTACCCGTCTGTTTCAGGTAAGTTTTTTTAAAATTATTATTATTAAGCCATGATTTTCCTAAATACTGATATTGGTTCACCCCTGAAACAGCTTTCTCATTCTTCTATCACAGTGTTTCCCAAACTTGACAATTTTAAGGCATGTGGAATTCAACTCCCAGAATTCCACAGCCAGCGTTGCTGGCTGTGGAATTCTGGGAGTTAAAGTCCACATGCCTTAAAATTGTCAAGTTTGGGAAACACTGTTCTATCAAAATTGCTGATCCTCTTCTCCCTGACGTACAGCTGCAACCTTCAAGTGTTCCTTCTCTCCATCTGTTGGTTTCCTTGCTTCCCAAATCTCTCTGCTTTCTGCTGTCAGTTTGGATTTCTGGGATCAGGAGGATTGATACCCTGGCACGAGGGGTAGCTTTGAAGAGATGTATTGCCATGCCCCATTGGAATGCAGTTAAATTCTCTGCTGCTATTTTAAATGTAACAATTGAGGTTGAACATTGCTAAGTTCATTGAGGGGGATGTGACTGCATGGGAAGTGGAATGAACTACAAATGGAAGGGCTATTTTCTTGTTAAAATAACTGCCCATCTTCCCACCCTCCTCAGCCCTGGTCTTCTTTGCTCCGAAACTGGAATAGCCTTGCGGTGACTCATCCTGGCTATATGGCATTCCTGACCTATGATGAGGTCAAAGCCCGGCTTCAGAAGTTCATTCACAAACCTGGAAGGTGAGTGCTTCAAAGCAGCCTTTCTGCTGTCAAATCATGTTCTGGTTAAGCATTTTCTATAAAAAAAATAGTTGATAGCAGGGATGTCCTAAATTTAAAGTACCATAAATTGCAGTTGTAGGCATATTGATTATTAATTTGGTAATCAAATTTAGATACCGTCCATCTCACTGACTGATAGACTCTGGGTGGTTTACAAAATCATAAATTTCCTCCAAACTCAGACATTGCTCAGTACGGAATGCCCCTCTAGGGCAGCGGTTCTCAACCTGTGGGTCGGGACCCCATTTGGGGTCGAACGACCATTTCATGGGAGTCGCCAAACAACGCAGTCCGCCATTTTTCCCCCCTTTTCCTTAGCTGTGCTACTCCCTTTTATTCTATTGGCTTTTGAAAGCCAATAGAATAGACTCTCTTGAATAGAGTCTAATTCTATTGGCTTTCAAAAGCCAATAGGAATTGTCCAGGCTGTCTCTGCCCTGCTGAGCCCGCCAAAAGTCCCATTCTGCAAACGGTGCTGTACCAGTTGAGTAGTCCTCGACTTATGACCGGTTGAGTAGTCCTCGACTTACGACCAGTTGGGGGTCGCGGCATTAAAAAGGTTGAGAATCACTGTTCTAGGGTGATCAAGCCAACTTAGAGTATCCAAGAAATGTGGGACATCCTTGCCACGATCATTAAAATGCCCATTGAAAGAAGCATTCAGATAATTATGATTGCTAGGATGGGGGAAAAGAGATTTTCTACTGACCTGTTATTCAAAAAAGACTTTATATGTAGGAAGTTCAAATTCAGCTACATGTTCGTTCAGCTGTCAACATATTTCTGTTTTTTGGGTTGTTTTAGTTACATTTTTCGTCTGAGTTGTACCCGACTTGGTCAGTGGGCAATTGGCTATGTCACTGCAGATGGAAACATCCTCCAGACGATTCCCCACAACAAACCTCTTTTTCAAGCACTGATTGATGGCTTCAGGGAAGGCTTGTAAGTGACTTGTTTTTGTGTCCTGTCCTAACTCTGGTTTATTGTTTTTTCAGTTGAGGTTTCTGTACAGGCAATCCTTGATTTATGAACACAGTTGAGCCCAGGATTTTGGTTGTAAGTCATTGTGATCATAAGTCAAATCACCATGTGCTGGGCTTGATTTTACGATGGTTGTTAACCGAGTCACTGCAGTCTTTAAGCAAATCACACATACTTGTAAGTCACAATCCTATGAGCCAGTAAGCATTTTTTCCCCATAAAAAGGGCAGAAACCCTCAAAATGCAATTGCATGACCACGGGGGTGGGGTGGTGGTGGTGGTGGGCAGCAAGCATAACATTGAGGATGAGCCATAAATAAGTTTTTTTGAGTCCATCATAACTTCAGATGCTTGTTAAGCAATTGGTTGTAAATGGAGGACTCCCTGTAATTGAAAAACAGAATAGGAATTCAGTCTGTTCTGTCCTAGAGAAGCTGAAGAGCATCTGAAACTTCTTAGCTCTCTCTCTGAAACCCAACCTGGCTCTCGTGCTTGCCCTGCCTTATCAGGCATCTGAATTCAAGGTTGTGTACAGTCCTTAGATACGCAACAGATTTGAGTTTCTCTTTCCAGCCCTGTGAGCTTTGTCATGTAGGCATCAGTCGCAAAGCACAGCAACATCAAAAAGATGGCAGGTGTGTCAGAGCCTCATTGTGCAAAAGAGGCAGTTATGAACTTGCATGATGATCCCAGATGCCAATAGGTGTGTTGCCTTATTTGCATGGTGACGTCACGACGCATGTGGCATCATTCCCAGGCCTACAAGAGCAAATCAGTGCAAGCTTCCTTAAAACAGCAGACCTTTGATTGGCTAAAGCACTGCAACAGGTTTGGCTCTGAGCAGCTCGAAGCAAAGAGACCTGTTCCGTTTTAATCAATAGGGGAATCACAAGTCAAAATTTATTTTCCCACATTTGGGGCCTTGTGAGGTCTCTTTTAAAAAAAAAAAACCTCCTTTTCATAATTAAGTGTATCTTCTAATTCAGCTCTCTGCAAGAATGTCATCTCTCCCACTTGTCTGAGACTTTGCTCCGTCCGGCTATATCTTTCTGTTAAAATAAATAAACTTTGTATCTCTCCTGTAGTTACTTGTATCCCGATGGAAGAAACCAGAATCCTGACCTGACCGGCCTGTGTGAGCCCACACCGCAGGACCACATTAAAGTCACCCAGGTGAACGGAGATCACTCATTCTTCTCCATTCCTTCCATCTAGTCCAGGGCTCTCCAACCTTGGCAACTTTTAAGACTTGTGGACTTCCATTTGCAGAATGGTGGCTGAGGAATTCTGGGAGTCGAAGTCCACAAGTCTTAAAAGTTGCCAAGGTTGGAGACCCCATCATGTAGACTTCTTAAGCTTAAAAAAAAATACAGAAAGTGCACAAAGGGATGTGTGGAGTCTATATTTGGAGAAAAGGGTACTGAATGGAGTAGTGAGGAATATGGGTTAGAGAGCATTTTCTTTTATCAGATTTTCCATCTCTTGCAATGCCTGCAGTTTGAAGTCCTTGCAGCCACAATTTAAGAATCGCACCCTGTTCCACTCATGATACTCCTTACCTTTTGAAATAAGTGGCCGTCAATGAATTTTTTTTTTTTTAAAAAAAATGCATTGCAAGCTTTAACCTCTCCGTGGCCCTTTCCAGAAAGGTGTTTTTACATCTGTCCCTTTCTGGATTCTTACCCTCAGGAGCAATACGAACTGTACTGCGAGATGGGCTCCACCTTCCAGCTCTGTAAAATCTGTGCCGAAAATGACAAAGATGTGAAGATTGAACCCTGCGGTCACCTCATGTGTACCTCTTGTCTCACGTCATGGCAGGTATGGCAGTTGGCCCTTGTGAGAGCCTCATTTCTTGGAACACAGCCTGCTGCAGCCTGGGCAGAAAGTGGCAGCCGGCCGGTTTGCCTGGCTGGGCATGTGTGTCAGTATCACAGCTATCCCCAGTTTTGCAAAAGGCACCTGGAATGCCTGTTTTTTGCTAGGCTGTGTCAGCTATCATGGAGTTGTGCTCCAGTGTGTTTATGCAGCGAAAATGAGTGTTATGAATATGGAGTGGCTGACTTGTGCAGCTACCTTGAAGGAGACAATGGTGTGTGTGTGTGTGTGTGTGTGTGTGTGTGTGTGTGTGTGTGTGTGTGAGAGAGAGAGAGAGAGAGAGAGAGAGATGCACCATTTGATTTTTCTTCCTCTTTCTTTGGCTATTCCCATAAGGCCTCTAGTCATCCATTCAGGCTAGTTAATTTCCTACTGCAATAGCAAGTTGTAAGTTCCACCCTTTCTTTCTTGCCTCCCTCCCTCCCTCCCTCCCTCCCGCCTGTGTGCCAAACTAACCCTGCTGCCACGTTCCATGAGGTGGCCCTGAGTGAATCCCCTGGTCCTTATGTCCCTCCTTGCTCTCTACCTGCAGGAATCGGAGGGGCAGGGATGCCCGTTCTGCCGGTGTGAAATTAAAGGCACTGAGCCCATTGTGGTGGACCCTTTTGATCCCCGAGGAGGGGGAGGGCTTCTGAGGCAAGGGGCAGAAGGAGCCCCTTCTCCAAATTACGACGATGACGACGACAGAACGGATGATTCACTGTTCATGATGAAAGAGCTGGCTGGTGCCAAAGTAAGACTGGACTGTTGGTCTCCTCTATGAAAGTAATATAAACTGGGATGGGATGGGATGGGATGGACAGACAGACAGACAGAGGTAGCCACTAGGTCTTCAGAATGATATTCTGTACAGACCCTGAACCTTCAGTTTGACCCCTTTGAATCACATGAACCAAGTTTGGATACGTTTTCTAGTATTTGGTTTCAGACGGTTGTCAGCATTCCACTTTAATTAAATGTCTGTATTGTCAATATTAATGTCTGTAATTGGCAGTCACCTGGGAGTTCTGCAGTAAAATATTGCAGTGAGTAGCCTTGTCCATTCTGCCTGCACTCTATCCTGGTATGTTTCCTCCCAGCAATTTGAGCAAAGCTCAGATTAGCAAGGGGTGCTCGTGTGTGTGTGTGTTTTCTTGGATTTTGCAGTCCTTTACACCTACAGCTGAGCTTGTCGATAATGTCTCCTTGTGCTTGAGGTGTGCTGGTTAGCGATGCATCTCTATGAGTCTCTACTTGAGTACTGAATTCACTACCAACTTAGAAAATTTAGCCTTTGCTGAAGCTGCCATTGTTTGCCTGTTGATGTAGCACATTTTATTTACATAATATATGGACCCATTTTGTCTTCTGCTCTCTTGGAACCTGTTAATGATTTCTGGGATTGCTCGGTCCCAACAGAGACCAGTTCCAGCCAGGCCTGTGCCCACGTTGCACCTCAGCTGGTGGCTGTCCTTAAGATGAAGCATCTATTGGTTTCAAAAACTATGCCCACTGCAAGTCCAGTTCAAGAGTAGTAGGCAGATTAATCAGTGACAGAACAGGCCTTGTGATTGCTGAAATGCTGGAATTAACAGGAAGGAAGAGGACCTGCCTATATTTGTTGGGTAGAGATGAATAGCAGGTCTCTCCCTTGGGTTGAAGAGAAGGTGACTTGAAATGCCAAGCTAGTGGTAACCTGATTATTGGGTTGGATTTTTAAAAATGTTTTCACTGATGTCCTCTTGGTATCTCTTCAGGTAGAGCGTCCCCCTTCTCCATTTTCAATGACTCCGCAGGCGGCACTTCCCCCAGTACCTCCACGGTTGGACCTTCTGCAGCAGCAGCAGCGTGTGTCCACCCCACCTGGAGCATCAAGCCCAGGAACCACTTCCAAGGTACCAGAACTTGTAGACTGAACAGGGGTCCTTCAAAAGACGTCTATCTGAAATGCACCAAGGGAAGAGAATATTTGTAGTTGAGGGTTGAACGGCGGGATCCTTGGTGCTCTCTTTCTTGAAGATGTTTCATTACCCAACTAGGTAACCTCTTCAAAGATGATGTCAGCTGGCGCTTTGTGTTCCCTAGCTGAGTAATGAAACGTCTGTGAGACAACTCCCAAGCTCAGAGGGCTCCAAGGATCCCACACTGTCTGAAATGTGTTGGGCTTGATTGATTTTCTTCAATGGCAATGTAGACTGTTCTACTTTCCCTCTTCTTGACAATTCATCATCCAGCTATTGCATTTGTTGAGTTGAATGACTCCATTCACAGCCTTGATTGACTGATTTTTCAGCCAGAGCCCACTTCTTCCTGCCCGTGTTCAGCATGTTGTGGATCCTTACACACTCTGGGCTGTGTGGTACTCGCCTCAGAGTTACCTTTCCTCTATAACTTGCCTGTTATAATTTAATTGTTGTTTTATTGGTGGCTGGAAACATCTGATCGGCTTTTTGAATAAGAATAAAATAAAAACATGACCAGGTGGTGCACGGCTTTGATAATTATACAGGATTATAGGAAGAAGGATATTATGATTTAACTTTACTGCTTCTCCAACCTCGGTGACTTCTAAGATGTGTGGACTGCAACTCCTGGAATTCCATGGCTGGCTGGGGGATTCTGAGAGTCGTAGTCCATGCATCTTAAAGCCACCAAGGTAGAGAAAAAAACTGCTTCAGAGAGAAAGGTTAAAATACAATTGTACTTGGAAAGCTTTCCATTGTTTTACAGGCTGCACCTGGTTCTCTCCACAAAGACAAACCTCTGCCGATCCCACCGACTCACCGAGATCTTCCTCCGCCCCCGCCTCCAGACAGGCCCCACGCCGTTGGGACAGAGAGTCGGTCCCAGAGACGACCCTTGCCTTGCACTCCAGGAGACTGTCCTTCCAGGGACAAGTTGCCCCCCGTGCCCTGTAACCGTCAGGGGGAGCTCTGGCCATCGCGGCCGATGTTGAAGGCGCCCACGGAAGCCTGGGCCAGTCGGGAGCTGAAGAACCGTCATTCCCTCCCCTTCTCGCTGCCTTCTCAGATGGATGCCAGAGTGGAGCCTCACAGACTGGGCAGTACTCTGAGCTTGGACACTCCAGTGGTGGTGAGTGTGTGTGCCAGGCTTCCCACGAGGAGGAGTGGCGTCTTATCTTAGCCCATTAACCATTGTCGGTATGACATGCCCCTGTTGGGGCAACAGGCCAATTGGGAAGGCCAGGTCTTCAGGCTCTTTCAGAAAGCCAACGGGTGCATGTGGGCCTCACCTCAGGGGCCTGGTGTTCCAGTGGATGGGAGCCACAGCGGAAAAGGCTCTTCTCCTGGACCCTGCCAGTCGGAATTCCTTGACCAAACGGGGTCTGCAGCACGAGTCTTCTGCCCCTTCTTACGGCTTATTTATGAAATTGGTAAAGCTACAAAAATGTCAGGCGCAAAAGAGCAAGTCAACCCATAAGATCCAATTAGACTGATTTATTACTACTCATGGTTACGCACAGGACTATTCACCTCACAATTGGCAGAGTTAGATAAGGGTCAAGAGAATTCAAGGAAGGTTGGACTGATTTTGCTTGTGGCTACGTAGGGATTCTTGGCTGATCCCTCTTTTGACTCCTGCTGCAGATTCTGCCTCTCCTTCTCCTACACAAAGGCAACGGTGGGCATAGCAAAATTATTTCTAGTGGACAAAGTTGCTTGGATCTGGACCATTAAGTCAGGGGAGACATGGCCCTTGTTGGTTACTTGGGATGAGTTTGATCCGATAACACCTGAGGAAATGGACAAGATCTGTGATATTTCCTCAGGCTGTTCAAGAGGTGGCAAAATAGTTGGGCCCGTGTGGTGGTGTTATCTTCCTTGAGAAAAGGAGCTAATGCCCTGGCTACATGTCTAAGTGCATTTTTTATAACTACAAAAATGTTCACAACAGGCTTAATAAATATACCTCTTTTGGTCTCTAACTGTACGCTGGTGATGGCGTCTGACGCAATGTTTTCTTGCAGAATCAACTCGGTCTTCCTGCTGGCTTAGACAGCGAACATTCTAAAATAAAACCATCTTCTTCTGCCAATGCCATCTATTCTCTTGCTATAAGGTAAGCTGTGTCCTCAAGGAAGTTCAGCCACTGAAAATTTTAAGGATGTTTCAACATCAGTTAGAGAGTTGAATTGCACAATCGGTAAACCATAGTTAGAAACTCATGTCGAAACTCTGGGGAGAGTTTCTGGTTGGCATCTGATTCTTCACTGGTTTCTGATCCTCTGCAGTGAGGGCCTTGCTTTCTGGGAAGCTGGGATGCACAAAATGGAGCGGGTGATTTTAGGTTAAGCTGCTTAGTTAAATCTTGCTGGAGTTTTTGTTTCGTTTGGGGAGGTTCCATAGGATGGCTTTGGGGTGATTGTGCTCGGGAGAAACCACATGAACGTTGAGTTCAACATCATGAAACTAAAATAGGATTAAATTGGATCTCCTCAGCTGAGTAACTTAATGTAGGAGGCACCTCTCTCTTGAGAGAATGTGAGGCTTTGTGGCCTGGGGTGTGTGTGTGTGTGTGTGTGTAAAACTGTATTGCCAGAAGTGTCATTTGTGATGCAAGGCTGGGCATCTTGAGTCACAAAGCTAAGCTTTTGAAAGATTTGACACATGGACCAAAAGCCTTCTAAACTTTTGCTTTCAACGTTTCATCAGCAGAGAGCAGCTGGCTGCCTTTTATCACAGATTGAAAACTTGTATTGTCTTCTTCTCCCCCCAGGTCATTGGTTACCCCAAAACTGCTCTCTGGAGAGGCCTCTGGGAATGACGAAGACTCTGAGTACATGTCCCCTTCCTCCTTGCCCCTGGTGCCCCCTGGCTGTGCTGGACAAAAGCCTGATGCCAAACTGCCTTTGGAAATGAATACAGGTTCACGGTGAGGGAGTCCTTTGATTCCCCCCCCCCCCCCGTGTTTGTGATTGCGATTGAATTTTAGAGGCTCTGAGTGGAAAGGGGTAGAGCTGTGGTGGCGCAGTGGTTAGAATGCAGCGTTGCAGGCTAATTCTGCCCACTGCCAGCAGTTCAAGGCTGACTCAGCCTCGTTAAAATGAGGACCCAAATTGTTGGGGGCAATAGGCTGACTCTGTAAACTGCTTAGACAGGGCTGTAAAGCGCTATGAAGTGGTATGTAAGTCTAAGTGCTATTGCTGGTGCTTGAAATCGGCTGGCCTTTGAATTCCCTGCAATATTGTAAGCTAGAATTGTTTGAAACTTGGCATGGAGTTGAAAACAACCTGATCAGAAGGATGCTCTTCTGCTTTGTGTAATGGCCAAGGATGCTTACAGGCTCAAAATGGCACAGCTTGTAGATCTATGCTGAAGTTTTGAGCACAGCGTCTCTTCGTGTTGTAGGAGTTGAATCCAATGCCTTCTCTTTCTCTCTCTTCAGCGTATTGGAGTGTGAGCAGGAGATGGAGGGAACGACTTACGAAGCAATGTTCAATATTCAGTCCCAGCCAGCACCGTGTTCCTCTGAAACTGCCAGCATGCCTGGTAAGTTTCCTGGGAAATGAAATCACGTTTAAGCTAGATTTATATTGCAAGAAGCCAAAATGAAGGAAACACAGTCTCTCTTTGCTAAGAAAGGCACCCAAGCGTTCCAGCCAGTGCCTCTGCTTTCATTATCTCTCTGTGTTTGTCTGTATGTCTCATCCAGAGCCATTAACACCTCATTTTCCTTCTCCTGCCCCTTGGATGAGCAGTTCCTCCTTGAGAATATAAGCCCACTTGCACTGGGCATTATTTACACAATAGCTACCATCCTACGTTGACTGTGACCGTTCACTCTGGCAATTTATAGCAGGGAGCAAAAATTACAGGCTAACTCTTCCACCAGATTGCTCTTTCACTCTCTGAAGTCTTTGCTTTCTGTGGAATGAAAGAATCTGCAACTGCCATACTTTCAGATTTCCATTTATTTAGCGTGCGGCATATCCTACGTGGACTAGCAATATAAACACTTCACCTAGGTTCATAAAACACAATAAAATATAAACGTCAAAAAGATCTATGTTCAAATACCAATGTCTAGGCCAGGGGTGGGGAACCTCGGCTCTTTTATGACTTGCGGACTTCAACTGGCTGGCTCAGGAATTCTGGGAGTCGAAGCCCACAAGTCATAAAAGAGCCGAGGTTCCCCACCCATCTCGGGATGGCAAAACGGCTTTTCTGTGTGCTCCACATTACTCTTTTTAAACATTTCTGTGCATTTTGGATCAGCGTTGAGGTTTAGGCTCTCCGTGCTCCTCTTGGAAGCGCTCTCCTGATGCGCCTGCAGGCTGGAGGCCTAAAGGGGTGCTGAAAAGGCTTAATCCTTTTTCAGAGGGAGGGGACATGGTAGCTGATGAAGAGGCCACCAATGGTCCCGAGGAGCCGGGGAACGAGGAAGACGGCTATGACGTTCCCCGCCCATCCGTCCAGCCAGCCACCACTCGTCGCACACTGTCCGATTTCTCCAACGCAGCCACCTCCTTCAGCCACGCCTCTCTGGATGGAGAACTTCTAGCAGGTGCTTACGCCTGTTCCTGGGCAGGCTGGCGGGTGGCCGAGGCCTCTAGGAAACAGCCCTATATTGGACAGGACATAAAAGGTTGGGAACAAGAGAGGGGCAGAGCTGATTATCTATCCTGGACAAAAGCTCAAGCAAAATACCTGGATTTTGATTGGGAACCCCCAGCATTCAAATCCCTGGAGCTGGGTGATAATGACCACTGACTCCCCTCCCCCCCTTTTTCAAGTCCTCCCACATTTTTCCTGACTTTCAGAAAGGGGAGGGATTGGCAGGCCCTATAATGTTGAGCTGTTTCGTTTCCTTGCTCTTCCTCAGGCACTGCTCAGAAGGCCTGTTGCAGCAATAAGCTCCCGAGTGCCGCAATGTCAGCCCTTCAAGCGAGGCCAGACTAGAGGCCCCGAGCTATCAGTTGTTCAATCTAATTAATTAATCAATCAGACTAGAGCTGGAAGGGACCTTGGAGGTCTTCTAGTCCAACCCCCTGCTCAAGCAGGAAGCCCTATACCACTTGAGATAAGGGTCTGTCTAGTCTCTTCTCAAGAGCTTCCACAACTTCTGAAGGCAATCTCTTCCACTGGTCATTTATTCTCACTGTTAGGACATTTCTCCTTAATTCCGGGTTGAATTCCAGGTTGCTTCTCTCCTTGATGAGTTTCCCCTCCGTTGTTCCTTGCCCTGCTCTCTCCTGCTTTGGAAACTCTGAAGGTTAATGGCCAGAAAGGAGCCGCCAGAAGAGAGCAGGAAAGCTGCCGATCCAAAATCCCTTCCTCTCAGCCCCGTGCTGCTTTCTCTTGCAGATGCCTCCTCGGACGTCTCCCAGGTTCCCGAGAGGCCCCCGAAGCCTTTGCCTCGGAGAATAAACTCTGAACGGAAGGCGGGCAGCTGCCTGCAGGCCAGCGGAGCAGGACCGGTCCCCGCGGCCTCCCCGCAGCTCTCCTCCGAGATCGAGAATCTCATGAGCCAAGGTTACTCCTATCAGGACATCCAGAAAGCCCTGCTCATCGCCCACAACAACATTGACATGGCCAAGAATATTCTCCGGGAATTTGTCTCCATTTCTTCCCCCACGCACGTGGCCACATAGCACCTCTTTCGGCCCTACCTGGAGCCTTCCTCCCATGCGTCCACCTGCCTGGGCAGTCTCTTGCCTGCATCGGCCTGGCGTTGAGCACCGGCTCCTTGAGGGACTTCCCTGCAAAGCCGGGCCTGCCTCTGCTGAGATTCGGTCATCAGGGTTTTGTGCAAGTCCAGGTGTTTGAGCGGCGTGAAGCGGAGCAGATAGGTGTGTCCTTCCCACAATCTCCTGTCCCTGTTTGGGTTCTCTCTCTCTGCCCACCCATCCAACGCCCCCCTCCTTGCACTTTTCTGATTGGAGAGAACAGACCTGCTAAACTTTGGATGCCGGTTTCCTTTGCCGTTAGAATACGGGGAAGGGCTGCTTGGTCAACTTGTCTCGTGCTGTGAATCCCAACCAGAGGCCCAGATGCTGAAGGTACCCCCACATCCCTGGTGGTTTGGGGTACCCCCTGCGGGCCTCTTTGCTGCTGTATGTTTTGGCTCAGGCTTTTCGAACCCTCTGCTGTCGGGTACAGATTCTTGATGAAGCCGGAGGTTTCAGCGCCTTCCGTTTTCCCACCCTCCTCTTCCCTGTCTCCTCCGTCACGTTCAGTCCTCCTTTGGAAGTCAACCTCTTCCCGATGCCGACTTTACCTGCCGCACACTGGACTCCACGGCGTGATGGATGTTGACAGCTCTCGCGTGTTGGATTGGGGAAGGTGTTTGGGCGGGTGGGGAGTCGAAGCTCCCTACTTTGCAGCCCCCGATCTTTTCTGCGTTGAGGTGATCCGGGCTGGGTTGGGCCACAGCAGCTGTCGGGACGTTCCTGATGTTATGGTCGGTCAACAGAGCTGCCCATCTTAGCAGCCTTTAGATGCCTTACGGCTCTTCCAGATCCCCTCATTTGCCTATAAAACTCTAATGAAAAGTTAACCACAAGCATGGTCCCTTAGACACTTGCAGAAAAAAGTGTATGTAGCACCCCCTGGAATCTCTTACCTGCTCAGTAGTAAAAATGCAACCATTTTGTGTCGGGCATCTATGGAACAGCCTAAAAGACTCTTTTTCCTGGCTTGTTATATCAGGAACAAAAGAAAGTCTGTTGGAAGACCAATGTCCATAAAACACTGACTTTCCGGTGCCCTGGTTTAAGCTCTTGGTGTTACTTTTCCTGGGTTCTCAGGGAAGAGATACGAGGAAGCTGTTTTGGTTTAGGGAAAAGTCAGCAAGCGTCCTCCCCCTTCCCCCCCACCCTTCCTCATCTATTTCCCAAGTTTTCTTACCACCTGCAGGGCGAGAGCATGTACCCTGGCATGAAAGCGGACATCTCAAGGTCCCCTGCATGATTGGCTTCCATGTTTAAATAGCATTAATTCCTCCTCCCTAATCAAGGATGCTTTCATTCTAAGAGGCCGGAGAAGAGGGTTTCTGTGGAATGATGCTTTCTGCTCAGGAGGTATAAGAAGGTCTTCTCTGGGTAGCGGGAGGCACTATCAAGATGGCCAAGACCTTACGGGGATCTCCAAGTCTCCTTGGAAGTTGGCGGTGCCAGTCCAGTCTTCCTGCCTGCTGGTGACTCAGGATAAAATTGTTGAGCTTGAAGGCCTCCTGGAGGGGACTCTGGCTGGGTGCAAAGGAGATGGGGATGGCGCCTAGAAGCAGGGGAATTCTACATCCCTGCTGCAAGGAGAACTTTTATTTTTTAAAATTGCAGTGGCTTTGTTTGTTTGTTTTTCTCTCTCCCTCCCTCCCCCCCCCCAGCCTAAAAATTAGTGGAACCTTTTTCTGTTTCTCTCCAGGATGGTGGTTAAATCTGGGTCAGTTCAGGAGTCAGTTTCTCGAGTTCTTTGCAAAACCCCGAAGAAGCTTTTGGTGTGATCCCGGGGGAATTGTTGACACTCCTTGCTGGAAGTGAGATGCACGCATTGTATCAGCCCACATCCTCACAAGGACAGGCCTTTGTTTTCCGGCGGGTGCCGTGCCGTGGATTAGACAGAGCAGAGCCAGCACTGCCATTGCCGCCTAGCCGACCGGATTCCTCTCCATGTGTTCCTTCATTTCCTTTTCACATCTTAAATTTCACTAGGACATTTTTTTTTTCAGGCATCTTCCCATGAATGTCATAGTCCAGCAAACACTAGGGAAGTACAGGCCAAAACACTTCTTTGGGGGGAGGGAATGTCCCCTGCTGCTTTTACATCTGACTTTCCTCCACCCCACCTCCCTCCTTCCCCCATCTCTTTTTTTTTGGGGGGGGGGGAAAGTGTTGATTTATTTTACCGAAAGCCAAATATAGAGTGCCTTTTCAATAGGGAAAACGCTGTTCTCCCCAAGGACGAACCTGAAACTAGGTTTGAAACTTGACTGCAGAGCCCTGCAGCTTCTCCTGGGGTATCATAGTTTGAAACTTGACTGCAGAGCCCTGCAGCTTCTCCTGGGGTATCGTAGTTTGGAAGGAAGGAAGGAAGGAGCCAGCGGTTGGCCACCCGCTGGCATGAGCAACAGCCACAACTAGCTCTCCCTTGTTAGCTTCTTCATTACTACCAACGAAAGGCTGGTGTTTCCTGCCCAAAGCTGTACTTGAAGGTGATGGGAGTGCTGCTGGACAACTTTAACGTAGCTATGGGGACCCCCAACTCCTCCATTGTTGGTTTCCTTCTTGAAACGGAGTCTACTGGTCCGGAAGCAAAATCCAGTTGGCTCTTTCAAGGTGTGTCTAAAGCAGCAGTGTCCAACCTTGGCAACTTGAAGACCTGTGGACTTCAACTCCCAGAATTCCCCAGCCAGCACAGCTGGCTGGGGAATTCTGGGAATTGAAGTCCACAAGTCTTCAAGTTGCCAAAGTTGTCAATCCTTGGCCCAGAGCCTGCCTTGGGCCAATTTGGGGGGCATTTTTTTTTTGCTTTTGGCCACTGAAGGGGCAGAAATGGTCTACTAGCATTGCTTCTTGAGCACTGCTTGGACGTTCCCATTTCTCGTGTGTGTGTGTGTGTGTCTGTCTGTCTGTCTGGACAAGGAGTTTCCTGTGGATTAAATGTTCAGTGCCTGTTTGGTTCACAATGGATCTCTTTCCTTAAAAATGTGGCCTCCTACATTCCAGGCATGCAGTTGCATTGAGGGACATTATCGGTAGCTTGGAGCAGATTTTGGAATAGTGGAATTAATCTTGGATGACATTCCCACCCAATGATCAAGACTTCCCCCCTTTTTCTTTTTTGGACTGAAACTGCGATCCGGGAAGAGGTTACACTAAACTATAAGTTATCTTTGCTGGGTAGAAAAGAGTGGTTAATAATAAGTAGCTTTATTTCTCCTGAAGGTCGAGAACCAATGTAATATTGGTGTCTAAGAAAAAAAAAAAGAATCAGATTTTCACTGACTATTTTAAAAGTTATAATATCATTAATATAAAAAAATATATTAGCAGTATTTAATCCTTTCAGACATGTAAAGAGTAAGAACAGAAGGTAAATATTCTTACAGAATAGCCGAGCTTTAAGATTCATTTGGGCTAAAGTCCTCGGGTTTTTGTTTTATTTTGCAGATGCATTGTTAATGTTTTAGAGGTTATACTAATGTTATTTATTTTTTATTTTTCATTCTGGTAAGGGGCCCACTGAAGAGCTTGGTGGGAGGGGTGGGGGCCTTTAGGGAATTTCATGTGTGTCGATAAAAAGAGAAACAAAAGGAAAAGTTTTATTTTTAAATAAATTTCTTTGTTGTAGCACATGGCTTGTTTGATGTCAATGTCAGTTCTTGTGATAGGGAACCCCTTCCACCAGGCTGAGGTTCAGGGGCACCCCAGTTGTAGGGGTTCCCTGAGAATGATTTTTCCAGCAGTTTCGCATCAGTGAAAATTAGACCCATGACTCTAGACAAGAGCACTCCAAATTTGTCAACTTTTTAAGACTTGTGGACTTCAGCTCCCAGAATTTCTTGAGTCAACCATGCTGGCTTGGGGAACACTGGGAGTTGAAGTCCAAGCACCTTAAAGTTCCTGAGGTTGAACAACCCTGTCTAGACTTTGCTTGTAGACTTGATGGCCGCACACAAAGGCCAAGCTTTTGTCTATTGTGCATTGTTTGATAATGGGTGAGGCCCCCTTCTAGTGAACAGACACACTTGCACCGGGAGACCTCTCTCTCCCTCCTCTTAACACAGCTGATTTAAAATAACCGAAGCCATTCCCCATTCCTTTTTCCAGTCTCCATGTACACAAGAGGCCATTCTTGACTACTTCTTTAGCTTCTTTATTTTTCATTTATATATATATGTATATATATATAAAACCCTGAACTCAGACACTCTTAAATTTACACACGTCAACAAAAAATATATGTATATCTCCAACAAAAGCTTTCCATTCTGGCATCTCCTGACTTGCATGTAAAGCACAGCGGCCCCTCACTGTTTTGGTAACCCATTTAACCAGATATGTTTTCTAGCGAGATATTTACTATATGGTAGAGTTGTCCACCCTTGACAGCTCTTAAGACCTGTGGACTTCCAATTCCCAGAAAGTTGACTCAGCCTTCCATCCTTCTGAGGTCAGTGAAATGAGGACCCAGATTGTTGAGGGAGGACAATATGCTGATCCTGTAAACCAGTGTTTCCCAAACTTGACAATTTTAAGGCATGAGGACTTCAACTCCCAGAATTCCACAGCCAGCAACGCTGGCTGTGGAATTCTGGGAGTTGAAGTCCTCATGCCTTAAAATTGTCAAGTTTGGGAAACACTGCTGTAAACCGCTTAGAGAGGGCTGTAAAACACTGTGAAGCGGTATGTAAGTGTAAGTGCTATTGCTATTCCCCAGCCAGCCATGCTGACGGGGGAATTCTTGAGAGTTGAAGTCCACAAGTCTTAGTTGGACACCCCTGCTATATAAGGTCTTTCCTCCCCGCTTCAAATTTTATAAAGGTGAAAATAGGAAACTGCAGCCAGGAAGATCCCAGGAGAAGGAAAGGAGAGGAGGGAAAGGAAAAGGAGGAGGTATGAGTTGATTTCCACATAGGGATCTTGTCCATTCCAAGCAAGGATAGGTTCTAAAACATTCAAGACCATCAACCCTCCAGAGCAGCCAAACACATCTTCTGTATTTGGTCTCTGGCGGTGGCAGCTGCCTCTTCCTTCAAGGATCTCAGCTGGACAGAAACCCAAGAACCGCGTCTCCAATCCCCGTTTTTCTCTTGTTGCAGCCGAGGGAGAAGTGGGCGCTGCTGAGGGTCTTAGCAAAAATTACGGCAGTGGCTGTGAACTTGAGCAGGGATTTCTTTGGAACTGGAGGGAAGAGGGGACTAGCTGGAGATCTCTGATAAGATGTGACTACAGTTTTTACACACACACACAAAATTCCTCTTCTAGTGCTTTTCAAACTTGGCAATTTCAACTTTCAGGATTCTTAAAAGTTGCCAAGTTTGAAAAGCATTGCCTTGTTCCTATCCTAAGTAAGAACCACGGAAAGAACATTTCACTTATTAACCGAACAAATTCCCCCGGTGAGTGTCCTTAAACAAAAACTTCAGATGTGCTTCTTCCTTTTTCACTTTTGAGACTCGCGTCTTCTGTTCAACTTCAGCCATTCTCCATCTTGGATATGCTTTTTAAATGAACATTGCGATTTACCTCCTTACCGGAAACAAAGCCGCTTACCCATTATCCTGTGCTCCAGCTTTACAAATTGGGTGTTAATGGTGTAACCGTTCTAATTCTGAACTGACTGGCTTGTCCAGTATTAAATTGTGCCTACTTAAACCTTTTGTTCCCTTCTTTTCTAAAACCCGGAATGCAAACACATAACATACAACAGAACAGCACAGATCTGCCCACCCTCTTAACACAAATGCTCTGAAATTACAATGGATCAAACCACCTTTCCTTATTGTCTTCTTTGAAAAAAAAATCACATCCTCCTTGAAAAGACAGAAGGCAAGATTGCAGAATATCCTGTACTGGGTCCATCTGTGCGTTGTTGGTTACTTCGTTTCTGAATGACGGGGTGGGGTGAATGTTTTAGAGCGGGCAGGAGAAAATTTGAAGAAAACGGCCTGCTCTCTTCAGTTCCTCAGATCGATGTATTTCTCTCCCTTTGAGAGCCAAGAGAGGAAGATCTTGCATTAGGATCCAGAAAAGCATGCCTTTTTTTTTTTTTAAAGATCCCAATTCACCCAGAGTGATTTCTTGCTAGCACAGGGAGCAGTTGTGTGAACGAGAGCAAGTGACAAGTTTCAAGACGGCAAAAAAAAGCACATGCTGGCTATTTTTTGGGACTCTTGCAAACGACCCACTCTTCCTTCACTGGAAAGGAGAGGACAGAAGGTTGCCAAGCTGGCTCTGGGTTCAAAAGAAGCAGTGAAGCTGCAGTCCAGGGAGATGCTGAAGCGAGGCACGTCTGCGGAATGGGCTCAACCTGTTTCCTGCTCTAACGTCAAACCTGCATTTGCACCCTGTGGGGTAAAGAAACCAAACTGCCTGGATTCCCACGGCACAGCCCTAAAGAAAACCCGCCGCGCTGGGCAAAAAGGCCAGCTAGTTTTTCTCCAACCTGTTCCATGATCCCAGCCAGAGTGGGTGCCAGGGTGAGGTGACTGCAGAAAGATAGGGCTTCAGGGCAAAGGCCCACCTTTGTGGGTGCAAAGGAGAACTGCAGTCCCAAACAGAGATGGGAAGAACAGTATTTCTCAACTTGGGTGACTTTTTAAGATGTGTGGGCTTCAACTCGCAGAATTCTCCAGAATGCTGGCCAGGGAATTCCGGGAGTTGAAATCCACACACCTTCTTAAAAGTTGAAGTTGAGAAGCCCTGGGCTAGCAGCTCACAGAGGAAAGTGCTTTGTGCTTTGCGCTCTGTCGGTAGTCCACAGCCATTTGTTTAGCATCTGAAGTTGCAATGGTGCCGAAACAAGTGACTTACCATCAGTCTTTGCGCTCACAACCACCACAGCACCCCCACAGTTGTGATAAAAATTCAGGCACGGCAAGCGGCATGTATTTACAACAGTTGCAGCATCCTGAGGTCACCTCTGACCTTCGCAGCTGGCTTCCAACAAGCAAAGTCACTTAATGGCTGCATGATGGCAGTGATTTGCTTATCCACCATGGCAAAAAAAAAAGGGTTCTAAAATTGGGCATGACTGCCTTTGCTTAGCAACAGGCATTCCTGTTCCAATTCTGGTGTAAGCCGAGGACTACATATTAAATTGCCCAGTAGCATCCAAGCCACGATGCAACTGAAGTGAATTGCAAAGGAGGAATGAGTGTTTGGGTTTCTGATCATTGGAGCAAGTATTGACGGTATTGTCAGTGTTATCATTTTATTGGATTAGGAATACGTATTGTTGAGGATTTTAATCTTTTTTTTTAATCCTGTAAGCTGCCCAGAGTTGTGTTGTAGCGAGATGGGCAGCAAATAAATTTAATAATAATGAGAAAAGGGGATTCAGTCCACTAAGAAGGAACTGTTTGCTGACAGCCCATCTGCACCCCAAATGGTAGCAACGATCTGGAGGGGGACGATGGATGAAAGTTGCTCCCCCCCCAGGATACACCGATGGAGGGCCCTGAAGGAAAGCAACCCCCCACCTTTTCAGTTGCAGGAGCTGCCTACCTGGTCACCTGGCGATCTCTTCTCACCGTTGGCACCCTGCAGAAGACCCGCCTCTTCAGGAAGTTTATCTGATTTTACTTCAACTACAATCTCGTCTTTATGTGCTTCGGGCCTCGTGCTGAAGAGGAGGAGGAGGAGGAGGAAGGAGTGTG